TTTGCATGCATGTATGTCACTCTGTTGAAACCGAATCAACAATCGTAATGGACAGCCATCGCAAGATTTAGTACTAAAACCAATATTTTTTTTCCTACAGCAAATCAAAGCAAAAGCAGAAGCGTTAAAGAAACCTTCTCAGCCAAAAGGCAAAGAAGAGAAGAAGGCGCCAGACGAAGCTAGTGCTGTCACCTCCAATGTAACAGCAACCACCAGCGCTGACAAGACAAAGATTAAACCGAAGGTAGACCCTAAGCGGAAAGATATCAAGGACGATAAGAAACTTACAGCCAAGTCTTCGATTCAGCAGGTCATCAATGTATGTAAAAGTATACTACTAATTACATTTGTGTCTGTATTTTTTTGTGATTGTCAAATTTCTGCAGACCCATTTTTACATAATTTGATACCTAAAATACTGTCTGAATTACGTTTCCCCACTCCCAGGTATTATATCTCGGAAGTACACTTATGGTTATAGAATCTTTATTTCTGTTACAACTTAAAAAAACTACACAGATACATTTGTATACTTAATTAATTTCTTTGAACCGATTATTAACGATTTGATGCCGGCTGTTCGGGGTATTTGATTTATTTGTGTTTCCCCAAGGGAGTCGAAAATATAAGCGATTTTAAAATAAATAGTGATTCACCAGTATTATATTCGAAAGAGAACTAATCTAAGCGTATGACCAATCAGGCTCAGGAGATAAACCACGCCTTATATGGAAATTGTATTAGTTTTTACAACAAACTCCCAAGCGAAATTAGAGAATTATCACTTATAATACCACAAGAGCTTCAAAATTATCGGGTATTTCCCGATAGGTTCGTTGCAAACAAATGAAGGAGTCAAGTTTTTTAGGTTAAAAAATCACGAGCGCTTCGCGTCTTTATTTGTTTGCAGGGAACCTTGAGGGAAATGCCAGATAATTTTGAAGCTCGTGTGGTATTCGGGGGGGATTATTTTTCCGACCCAAATGTCGGCCAATAGAATTGCACCATGAGACGAAATGTACAGTTAACAAATAAGAATTTCATAATGAATAAAACAACTACTTAATACTTTTCTTGAAGCAACTACCAGAGAAAATTTTCAAAAAATTATGAGTATAATACCATGTAGGTTGTACCACGTGACGTCGAATGGTGCAATTCTATTGGTCGATATTTGGGTCGGAAAAATAATAACTGAATAAATTCAAAACTCTCGTTAGACGTAAATTGTCAATAAAGCTTTTTATTAATTTGACGATTATTTACAATTTGTATGACTTAAAACTTGGCGATTAAAAAAACGCCCTTGACTTGCGAACTGGTATAGGTCGGTTATCGAAAGCTGGCGGGTTCACAGTACTCACACTAATGCAATTTCACATACAGTATGTTTCAAAATATGATTTTTTTGCCTAGCTATATATTTTAGTCCACTCTGGTTTTAGTAAGGTTGGGTGGGCTGTAAATAAATAAAAATGTGTCAAATACATATAAATATTAGGTGCATACGAGCGTGGATCAAAAGTTCTAAGCCAGACCAAGAACGTGAAAGAGTAGTTCGTGTAAATAATTTTACATTTTTCGACATACGCTCCATGTAGCCATGACTTTGTTGGTTGACAAAACGACCTTAGCCGTTTTCGGAGTAGGTGATCCAGATATTTTCCATTGTTTGGACTGTTGCTTTGATTCAGGAGTATGGTGGTGAACCCAGCTTTCAACAAATCAAAAAAAAAAATCAAATCAGCTTTCAACATCTGATGTCAAATGAAATATAACATTTTTTCATTAAACTGTTTTTATTAAAATGCTTAAAATACCACCATTGCACCATTTCACGAGATTGCCCTGGTAATATTTGAAAAAAGATCAACATGTACAGTAAAGATCAACATAAACAGTAGCAAAAGCAAAACAATAACTGTCTCTTTTATACTCATAAGCTTGACCGAGCGCGAGAGAGACGGACAGTCTTTTCATGATGTATTTGTGATTGTATTTCAGTTTGACAGACTTTGACATCACGCTTCGCGCTTATTCACAGACACTACACAAGCACAAAGTGTAAATGTGTTGAAGCCGCCAGCTTTAAATAACATACCTATAGTAAATGTAAATTTAGAATCAATTTAAAATCTTTTCTGTTGACGTTCATGAGTGTACTTGTTTACCTACATGAATAAAGACACAACACAAAAAAGAAAGCAAGATAAAAAAAAATAACAACAATTAGAAATAATTTAAAAAAAAATACAAATCTATAATGTATTCTCAGTCTTGCCACGGCAAAAGTCTTTTAAAGCCGACAACTGTATTGGCTTGTAATCAACGCTGACAGGCTATAAATTTAATAGTTGCGCTCCCTCAAAGATCACCATACTCTTTTATAAATTGAACGTTCGAGCTGTTCATAGCGGAAAATATCCTTTGAAGGGTTTTATAATATGTTCTTTATGAGTTTCATTATTTTTCTTTATAGACACGTTCGTACTTTCACTTTCTATGCCCACTTTCGAAATAATTGTAGATTCGCTGAGAATCGAACCTAGGCCAACCAAGTTTGAAGCTAGTCGCTATATGCCTTCAACTTGCTTTAAAACTTTGGTTGTTTTTACGCATTTAGGTCGAAGAGAAAGAACCAAAACCAACTTATGTTTTATGTTCATACGAGCCGGACCCTATAATTGAGAAGGAGGAACGTGAGCGTGTTAATTTGTTGGCGCAACGAGACTTCCTTATTCGAAGCTATGGAATGCTGGAACAGGTATGCATGCAACATGTTGGAAATACTACTGGTATGAGCTGGTACAAACTGTTGGAAGTTCCTACTACAACGTAGTTTAGTAACAGATTTTTTAATTGATTGACAAATCTTTGCAGTCCTCAGAAACTTATAATTTTACTTATTGGATGTGCTAATATATTAAATACATAAAGATTAGAACGCTCACTGGTCTGAGACATAGTGAACTACCATGTTAAGGGGGAAACACCCAAGTGAAATATGAAACTGCATCATATAAGTTATCTATTTTTATTTTAGATATACTTAGTTATGAAGAAAATGGGCACTCTGAGACCTGAGGACGAACGAAAGTACGGTGTCTACGGGCGCCTATCCGTTGTCTCCAACTCGCCGACCAAGGTTGGTTATTAAAGAAATGTAAATGTTCACAGCCCATTAAGTTAACCGGCTAACACAATGTTTTTTTAACAAATATTGTCTTTTATTTACGCGAGTATGATCTTTAAAACAAATATGGTGGTGTGACATTGTAGAACAAAGATTAATAAAATCCAGAATTAAATAATTTAATAAAAAAAATCTTAACAATTAATCGTTTTAGTCTAGTTTATATGTTTTTTGGTTTAATGTTCACGTAAATTAAAGACAATGAAAATTAACCTCTCTTTAGTTATCTTTAATGCCAAAATATTGTGTTTGCCTACAGAAAATGTGAAAGTAAAAAGTCAAAAATCAATAAAAAGGAAAAATTAACATGTAAAATGAAACGAAAAGATAAAATTTTGTGTGCAGAGAAAAATTAAGAAGAGTAAAGAAATAGTTGCGCATGCACACCGCGGGGAAACATTTGATGGTGAGAAACCAGTTTTGTTTTATTTTACCCATAGACCTGCCCCGAATAAATATCTATACTTTTCTAATATTGTGGAAATAAATATAGCCAAAGAGAGAAATTTTAGGCCTGCCAGTCAGTGGCTGACTGGTCGAGGAGCCTCCAAGTTGAAGGAACTCTCCATCCACATTTAAAAACTAACGTAATAGGGAAAATATAATTGTATTGATGTTTTTGTCTGTCTGCTAAAGCCCACAGTTATTATGAAATTAAGTTTCGTCTTTTTAAATTGTTATAGATACGCGTATTCATCGAATAGACGTGGTGATGAGCGATTCTACGATTTCATCATCGCGATTTAAAATACAGTCTCGCACTCTATGGACATGTCGCAGGTATTAATCATTTTTACAAAGTGGTTCGAATGCTCATGTTACACCCTCCCTCGCGGGGGGTGTTGAGGCCTTTTCGGGGTAACACGGGGGATTTTCAATTATAAAAATAATCGATTATTTTCACAAATCGCGTACAAAAATCGATTTTTACTTCTAAAAAAAACGATTTTAATCAGGAATTTTTCCACATCCCTAGTCAAATGGCTAAGCGGTTATTCTCAACCCGCTGCTTTGGTTGACTTGGAACTGCTCTCAGTAAGAAGAGCTACTAGCAATTTTTTGTCTATGTCTTTCGATAACCAATTAAAACTGTGTATTTTTTCAGATCTTCCGTTTCAACAAATAGGTTTAATGTAAAGTAACGTTCCTGTGCTTAAATAGTCTTGTGTAAATAAAACCTTGAAAGTATTTTCAAAGTGAATAAAACCATCCCAACTTTCGTCTGGTCTCGGCACTTCATAAATCTTTAAGAATATACAATTGTTTTGTTTACATGTTGTTTTATTGTGTTACCAAATAAATTGACCTGGTGAGATCTTGTAAGGGGCTAAATATTGAGACAGACCCCATATTTATAGACAATAAATAGGTTTAAGAAAATGTAGCGACCATTTGTAATGTCACACTAAGATAGGAATAAGAACAGCAAATTAAATGTTGCGCCTTGGAAGAGAATGGCAGAAGGTAGTCGTAGTAAATGCTTTAGAAACTGAAACCCATAAAAAGTATTTAATAAACCGAGCCCTTCATTTGAGACACAAAGGCAAATTCATCAAAAAATACATCGTATATTAGAGAGCGTTCAAGTATTACGTCTCGCAATTTTTGGAGATTATTGACATAATAATAGAATAACATATTGGAAATATATAATTTATTAATCTTATTACAATTTTGTCTTAAAAATAGTCATATTCGTTAATTCCTAATTTAATATGCGTCAAAAGTATATATATTTTGAATACATTGCATTTAATGGCAGTGTGAAATATCTGCTTAGATGATTTAGAAATATGCTAGAACAGGGTTAAAATTGTAGTTTTTTTGCTAATGAACCACCGTCGATGTTGTCCAGCAACTTTCTCTTCAAAGACGGCTTTTCTTGTTCTAGTTTTGTAATGTTTGAGGGCATCGGGAGTTTCGGCCCGACTGTTGGCGGCGGCTTGTTACTGTTTGAGTAAAAACATTGTGTTCGTCATTTAGTTTAATCCAACGAAGAAATAAAAAATACTAAAACTAGTCCCAATGACACATTTCATGTAATGATAAAATTACCATTCCTTATATCCAGGAAATCAAACCCAGATCTGTCATGGAGACGTTATAATTAAATGCATATTATATATAATACATACATATAAAGATGATGAAGAAAGCTGGCGAAACAATTTTGAGCAAATCCTTATACACAATGAAAATTTTATAAAAAAAATTTAATGATACTAATGTCGCCAAAATTTTTGAATATCTTTTGAATTCGAAATCTTAGAAAAAACAAATAAGTCAGCAATGGATATGAGCTGATAACTTACATGTGAAATCAGTGTACGATTTTCAATGTAAACTATATTGATTACAAACTACCCTCTTTTTGTTTATATACACATACTGACCTAAAGTAAGGCATCTGCAGAGCCTGCGTGCAATCACAGCGACGCGGAGGGTATAAAGCTAGGAGGCTCTCTAATAAGTCTATGAGGTCATCAGACGCCGCACTGAAGATATGCCGCAGCGATTGACTCGGAAAATGCTTGAACTTAACGTAGTCTGTAAGGTTTTTCATACCCTGGGGAAAATAGCAGTTTCATAGAGAATATTTCATCTTAAAAAAGTCGTATACTGGCTTTAAGTTGAGGCTGCACTCTCGTAGTGTAACTTATGAAATTTATTTATTTTCTGTGTAATTTAAAAAAAATCAAACCTCTGGCTTAATATTGTAATGTCCTTACGAGAAAAACTACTTCAATTATTACACTTTGTTGCAATTTACAATTAAAGTTAGTATATTTTATAAAACAGCTCTGAAACCACAGTTTTGCATGACAAATGAATATATGAACTGGTAGAAGGTGCCGCAAGTATATAATATTAAAATAAAACTTCTCCGACCGATTTAAATGTGAATCTATAATATAACTTATATAATTCAATATTTCAAGTGCTTTGAAGCAGTTATTATAATATAAATATATTACACATAATAAATTTGTATTTTTATGTTAAATACCAAAGAAGTTTCTTATATAATATAAAATAATAAGTATAAGGCATAGTGCTAAAATTCCTTACTGGCCATGTTTCCTCAGTGGGTGTTCCAAAGACGGAAAATATTTTAGACAGTTGATCTAAATCTGTTTCACCCGGAAGAAAAGGAACTCGTAACAGCAGCTCAGCCAGTATGCATCCAACTGCCCACATATCAACTCCTGTGCCATACTGTCTGGCTCCAAATAGTAGTTCAGGAGATCTACTCATATAAAGAAAAAACTAATAAATATTTTATCAGCATCAATATACTTTGATTTCAGAGATAAATTAATAAGAAAATGTGAAACTATATATAAACAATATTTTTTGTAAACAATGCACTAATTTAAAAAATATTATCTATAATTATTGTCTATTTAAAACCAGTTACCTGTACCATCGGGTGACAACCTGATGTGTATTTATTCTTGTAGGCGACCCAAAAGCTTTTGCTAATCCGAAGTCACCAATTTTCAAAATGCCCTCTCGATTAATCAGCAGATTATTGGGTTTCAAATCTCTGTGCAATATCCAATTTTCATGCAAATATTCTAGACCTTAAACAAAATGTTAATTTTAAAAATTTCATGCAAACCAAAACAAAACAGGTAAGTCATACATTAAATTTCTTCTGAATGTTATTTAAATTAATGAAGGTTCTGCTTAATTAAAAATACTTAAAGCCAGTAAACCAAAAACATGGCTTTTCTTTAGTTTACAGTGTAGGATAAACAATTTGTGGTTGCTTAAAGCTTTTTGGGCAACTCAACTGTTCTGTAAGAACAGGAATGATGAAAAATACTATTTTTTACAATTATGCTGCACATACCTTTGAGAGTCATTATGGTATAAGCCTTAACATTTCCAGGAGTAAGTACGATTGTATTATCCTTAACTATCATTTCTAAATCTGTATCCATAAAGTCAAACACTAGTGATACATTTGACTTGTGTCCAAAAACATCTAAAAAAATTAAAACAATTTTTATTAATCAAAATTGCATAATTTATAATAACCATACAATTAATATTAACTAACCCAATAAGCCGATGAGATTAATATGTTGTAATTCTTGAAGTAATTTAATTTCTCGAAGGGCAGTTCTGTTAATTCCATCTTGTGCCTCCTGTCTTGAACCTATTTTAATTTTCTTGACTGCCACAATTTTGTCTGTTTTAATATCTCTAGCCTTGTATACTGTAGCAAACTGAAATTTTTTGTTATATTCATAAATTCATGTCAACATGTTAAATAAACATTTAAAAAAAATATTTTGAGGTTACTAGAATATTTAAGTAGTAAAAACATGTAATGTTAAAATTCAATAAGCAGCATTCAAGTTCAAGTAATACAATTCAAATAAAAGTAAGATTTACCTGACCCTCTCCCAGAAAGTCAATCTTTTCATAACGTACAATAGGTCTTTCCATATTTTCTTAGTCAAAAGTACACCAAATATACTGACAATAATAAACTCAGTTTGAACTATAAAATAAACCAGTGAATTTCATTTTGATTGTCAATATTTTGTTTCCTGAATATTTTTAAAAAATTGAATTTTACGGATTCTCAACAGCATTTTTTTGAAACCTGTGATGAAATACGAATATTGACAATTTAGCCTGAACTTGCTTGACAGATAATAAATTATTTTTGACAGTTAACAATAAGATTTGAATTTTTGTACATACATACGAAATCGTAGACGGACTATGGTTCTATACTCTATCTACGTAAGAAATGAATGAAACCCTAGTTAGAGTGCTTTTCATGACAGAAGTCCCGCGGTGATTTTTGGAACTAAATTTGACAGGTCAGCAAAGTTGTTATTCGTCGATGTTATCAAGTTCGTTTGTTGTGGCAGATTTTTGTGAATTTTTAACTAGCATAGTGCATTTTAAAGATTGATTACAATGCCAAAAGTTGTAAAAAGTTTGGCTCGAGAAATGATATTAAAGGTGAAAGAGTTCTGTGAAGCGGAACATAAGAATCAAAAGTGTTTTAATACCACTAAACAATCTTCGGAAGAGAGTTGCCGCCATAACAGGTACTTTTTAGAGTTGCCATTTAATAATTTTTTTCTGTATTGATGGGCCTTTTATGATATAAATTCGTTTTTGCGACAAAATTTAATAAATACATAACGTGATGAAACTAGGTAACTGAAATTAAAACATATATTACATAAGCATTATAAACTTAAAGTTACTATTATTTTTAATTGTTCATAATTTAATTGCAGGTGTGTCAGAGAAAACTATAACAAGAATTACAAACGAAGGTATAACAGCGGCGTGTACTTCGAAAAAAATTGTAACCCAACAATTATGCAATAAAACTCTGAATAAAGAATTGTATTGCTTTTCTTTACCCTATTTTCTCATCTTTTTCCTGTAAGTAGGTAGAACACCGCTAATATAAGTAAATAAAAATATACTTTTTACATAACAGAAATATTGTTTCATCGAAGTATGCAGAAAATAATATTATTTGATAAATTACATCTGCTAAATGTAAATAAAATAGGTAAATTTTTTTACTCATAAATGGTTATTTTTTTACAACATTACGTCATGCGATTGCAGCGCCGCGTCTGGGGGACTTCTTTCATGAAAAGGACTATTAATGGTGCGTTCCACTAAGGGCCGGTTTTTTGATCCGTAGTTAACTCAACTATTGGTAAAAAATCGTTACTATTAGTTAAATATCAGGAAAATGCGTTTTTTGATCCGTGGTAAGAGCATCCAATGGTAAAATATCTAACCATTAGTCAAAAAAGTTAACTACTCAGTATCGGAGGGTTAAAAAGATGGCCGCTGGTAATTTATATACTAACAGCTGTTTGTCACAGAAATCAAACTATGATAAATACGTTTATTACTATCTAATGATGAATTTAAACATATTGAGATACTTTAATTAATGAGACGATGAAGAAGGCGATAATATTATATGAGAATGTGTTAATGAGTGACCAAAAATATTTAGGCAATGTCATCCGCCATTAGAAACCTGGGATGATGTAGATTTTTGTCACTGTTACCCCCTATCGAAGGGAACAGTGCTCTGGATTGTTACTGAAATTGGGAATGATCTTAAACTGCCAATGAACAAGAGTATATATAGACAGCAGCTCATACCAACCTATTTTGCTTCATTACTAACTACAGAACCGCAGCAGTATATAATTAAGTCTATTACTAATTCATTATGTGTTTTATTGCCTATAATATTAACTTATAATTATTATAATTAAATAAAATACAAGAACAAGAGTATATATAGACAGCAGCTCATACAAACCTATTTTGCTTCATTACTAGCTACAGAACCGCAGCAGTATATAATTAAGTATATTACTAATTCATTATGTGTTTTATTCCCTATAATATTAACTTATAATTATTATAAGTTAATATTATAGGCAATAGAATACATAATGAATTAGAGTTAATATTATTTATATATTACTAATAATATTAACTTATAATTATTATAAGTACATACAAGTATGTACTTATACTAAAAACTACAGCTACACATTAGTTAGGGACCTATGATATTCTTTAGGGCTTTTATTACATTTGTGAGTTAGCATCTATCTACTTTATTACAAGAATTTATAAATAAAACATTTGACTTGATTAATAAATTGTTTAATTATAACTTAAATACAAACCATTTTTATTAAAAAAACATTACAAAATTTACATGAAACCCTAAAGTAGCAATTAAATATTTTCTAATTGTTTCTTCTTGCATTTCACCTCAATTTGATGCAACTCTTTTTGCTGCTACATATATTTATTGTGCCTTTCTTCCATCTGCTGCATCACTTTTTGGTGCACCTCCTCTTTATGCAGTATGAATTTTTGGTGGGCCTCTCATTGGTGCAGCAAATGTTTTTGATGCTCTTCCTAAGCATAATTGAACAAATCATCCTCTCTTATTTGTCTTTGTTTCTAAACTCTTTTTTTATCCGTGTGGATCATAATCCGCTTCCTTGTTTCCAAAGGGTTAAAAGATTTTTTCCTTTTGTTGTAGGACACAGCTATACAAGAATAAATATAAAAATGTGCCTACACCTTCATTAAATGTATATTAAATTTAACACTTCGGTGTCTAGACCCATCTGAGTTGAAAACGTCACAGAGATTTCCAAGCTGCATCTTTTTGTACATTGCTGCAGTGATCAGTTGTTTGCAGGTTACGACTGTGTAATCCTTGAGAAGCATCACCAGTTTGGCAGTTTCTTTTTTGGCGAAGTTAGCAGTATGGTCCCTTTAACAAAACATAAATGTATTACTTTCTATTACGAAACACAAGATAAACCGGAATAAATAACACGAAAATATGTTTGAACTTACTTATTTGACCGTTGGCTGTTTGCGGACATCGTTATTTATATATTTAAGTATCGTAAAAAGTGTAAACCGTATTAAATCACAGAAAAACAACTTTATTTATATCGTGTTATTTAGATTAATTTGACACTTCAAACTCTTCAAAGCGCAAATAACGAATGAAGATGGCAAAAATGGATTTCATTCACTCAATATGTCTAGTGTTGTCATACAAAATAAATGATCCCCACAAAAAAGAACCACATTTTTTGGGATGTCATTGCTCATTGCACTGGCAACAAATTGACAAATTGTTAACTTTAACTATAGTTAAAAAAGGCATTGAAAAACGCATTTACGATTTTACCAATGGTTATTCATTTAACTATAGTTAATGTAACAAATGGTAAAACCATTTTTTACTACGGATCAAAAAACTGGCCCTAAGCGCTCACGACGATCAAAATGCTCCTTTAGCCATTCCACATACCGACCGCGGTCGTTGTGGTCACGGCGAAAACGTCACTCATGACGTCATGACAAATGCTCACGCAACGCTCACAACGACCCATCTAAAGAGGTGGGTCGTTGTGAACGTTGAGAATAATTTGGCGCAATTTTTGAAATATGACAAATAATAATATTATTATATTCAAAGCTTAAAGATGGCGACAAGAAAAATCACATTATTTGATTCGAGAGAGAAATTGTAAAGCCATTTCGATTATATTTAAACTTAAGTTGTTTGATAACTTAACCAAAATTATTTATAAAATATTCAATTATTCTTCACTTTTAACATATTAAATAAATTTAAGTCAAAAATATCAAAACTTATTGTTTATGATTACCTAACCTCCTTAAAATTCTACTATTTTCAAACTTGACATTTGTAATATTTACATGAACGCCCGAAACGCTCCATAATCCATTCCACTTGAGTTAACGACAGTAACATTCACAATCAAGTGGAATGGGGAAATCAGCGGTCGTGAGCGTGATCGTCGTGAGCGCTTAGTGGAACGCACCAAAAATGATTCAACTTTCAAGTGACAGTTACTTAAATTTATTCTACGACTGTACTCTGTGATAAATGTTGTCAATCATCATTCAAACGAATTATTTGTTATTTATTTATTATTATATAAAAACAAAACAGTACATCAATTACGTGGCAACTATTTCTTATCCACTAAATGAATTTATTTGCCACGCTGTACTGTTGAATGATCTTATTTCTGAAGTTATCATGAATACAGGATCTCCAGATAATGTGTTTTACGAAGATGTACCTGAAGGAAATCTCAACGAAGATTTTTTTTGTACTGAAAAGATTGTTCCCAGAAAAATAAAACCACAAAACATTGTAATAAGATTAATGAATAGAGAAATTTATGGCTCTCGAAAGCCAGGATCACACTTCCATGTTGTGCGTGAATTTTACCAAAACGTTTTCCCCAATTTAACTATTGTAAATGTAGAAAAGCCCCCTTGTTTTCTTCGGAAGTTTAGCCCTGACGGCAAACATTTTATAGCATTCTCAGCAGATCAAACATCTCTAGAGGTATTTTATTTTACAATAATTGGATTTGGATGCATTCTTAATATTTTCTCTTATTTACCTAAACAATTAATTTTAGATTTACGAATATCGAGGAGCTGCAGCAGCAGGTGATTTGGTTGCAGGTTATCCTTCAGACCTGTTGAATGCAGATGCTGATGCACATCACAGAATAAGAACACATATATTTTATAGATTTTTTAAGGTAGTTTTTTAAATTCAATTATAAAAATTGCTTTATAAGCCATTATTTGTACTGTATCTCAAAAATTAAAACATTACATTTTAAGAATATTGCCAGCAAAAGAAACATACTACTTACTAACATACTTACTTAACTATAAACTACTACAAAACTTCTGTGATAGTAATATTAATTGTATATTTGTTTTCAGCCTAAATTTACTGTAAATGTGTGCCAACAAAGAATAGTTGGAAGACATGAGCGAAATGGTGGGCAGCTCCCACTCATGGAACAGCAATTGAATAGGGAATGTAGTCTTTTTACTGAAGATGGCAGATATGTCATTGTGGGATCAGCAGCTCATATTCCTGATGACTTACGCCCACACTTTTACAACATACACAGCAATAATGAAGCTGTTACACCAACTATTAGGTATTTATTAGCTGTGTAGTAAGCTTGATTTGATAATAGTATGGTACAGGTAATTTGTATTACTGGAAATGTGATATATAGAATCTGTAGTTAGTAGTGTTGCATTCATGATATACAAAAGACAACTTTATATTTATTATACCTAACATTAATTATTATCTTAAATGAATTTCCTTAATTTCTAGATCAGCTTTAGAAGACTACTCGCTGCACTTAGTTGACCTACATCATGGGAAATTATGTGATACTAAACATTTTAGAACTGACAAAATTTATCTCTCACACAATCAGGGTATCTATTTGTATAAAGAGGTTTTAGCTGTACTCTCAGTACAACATCAGACTATTCATCTCTTCCAAATAGTGGAAGGCATGTTGATAGAAATAAGAAAAATAGGAAGATTTTGTTATGATGACGATCCATTTATAGTGAGTTCTGTCTTTGCACCTATACTAAATGAGAGACCATTCCATGAAGAAACAATTAATAGTTTAAAACATAGACTTCTAGTTTTTCTATTCAAAAGAGCCAAATTGATCAGTGATGAAACAAAGGACCCATTGGAACTTAGGAAGTTTTATAAATACTTTGATATGTTTAAAAGTTTAAGAATGTGGAAAATGCAACTATTGGATGAAGATCATCTCTTTATCAAATATGCTAGCGAAGAGGTGGTAACCCTGAGAGTTGCAGAGCCTAACAGCCAATCATCTTTTTTTGTTATTTACAATATCAGTGAAAGCAAAATATTAGAAGTATATGAAAACACATCTGAAGGACTTTTACAATTATTTGAAAATTACTGTGATTGCTTCAGAAATGCAAGATTGTGTGCAGATTCACAATTTACATGTTCACCATCAAATAACCTGTTTGCTAGGTTAACTCAACAGCGCTTCAAACAAACAATAGTAAGGGCAATATATGGTGGAAAAACAGAAGCAACTAAGAGAATTTTAGCTCAATTGCCAATCAGTGCACAGTCATACAGTGGCTCCCCTTACTTGGATCTGGGCCTATTTAGTTATGATGACAAGTGGGTGTCAGTTATGGAAAGACCCAAAGCATATGGGGAATATCCTATTAGGTAACAAATATTTCCTGTCTTCACCTATTAAATGTTTAAAATTATATATTGATTATTTCTATTTTTTTTAGATTTTACGCCCGCGACTCTGGATTACTAAAATTTAAAATATATGCAGGAGTATTGGGACAATCCGTTCCAGCGAGTGCCCGCAGGCTTGTTGCATTTACATTTCATCCAACTGACCCCTTTGCAATTAGTGTGCAAAGAACAAATTCTGAATACATAGTCAACTTTCACATAAGAAATGCAGTTTTTAGTTGACATCCTTTTATATATGTTCTATTTGATGTCACTCAAACCACCATTTAGGGCATTATTGTTTTTGTTATGCAAATTATGTACAATTAAATTTTATTGCGGTTATGCAGTTAAGGATATGAGTATTGAATGAGCATGTGTATTAATTTGAAAGTGTAAAAATATTTTATAACGAGTTATCAGGATAGGAACTCTATGCCAGGAACATAGATATTATAAATTTAACACTTTAACATTCAACTATGAGCAAAAAGCGATTTCAATCTACAGTATATCAGATTACTGTACTGTCACTATAAAGGGAATTCCTATCGTGTCATAAAGATTGATTAAATCCTATTTAGGTTTTATTTTTAATATGTTTGACATAAATGACAATTATTACTATTCTACATACCAAAAAAATGGTACATAAATCACACTATTTATAATAAAATAGCTGCAAGATGTAAACCAAAACTAATAGCAGTTCCTCCATTATAACAATGCAGTTTAATCAACCAATTAATAATGGTTTTCAGAATGAACAGTTCTGCCCATATTATGCACCACGTAAGTTGTTATGTACTCCGTAAATGTGTAACATTCAGCGAACCAATGTAATAGGAAACCTTTAATATACTGTTAAACTATGACTGTGCTACAAATAGTTGTTTGGGATCAACGCAGGTACTCATAATAGCGGTTGTGCTTCCGATTTCAATGTTAAGTTACCAGCGCTACAGATATTGAGATAACCTAATCGCAATTGCACAAAATATATAATGTTATAAGATACATAATTCTTAACTTATAAAACAAATGTTTGTAGCATTGCCATACACAGATATAGTTGGTGAGGGTAACGTTGCATCCCTAATGTTTCCCGATGGGTCCGTGCAATTCTTCTTCATACCTACCCATAAACGAGAAAGAAGATTCTACCCATATCATCCCTGTTTCGGACAAGTACAGGGGCCAGTTGAGGCGTGGTTTATAAGACAAATGTCCACACCGTAAGCATAAGTTCTATTCTTCAATAGGTCTTCGCAATTTATGTACAAATTACTATCCTTTCGCTACTTTGGCAATCTTTTCTTCGTATAAATAAGGTTCACATGGAACATTGATATTTTAGAGCTTAAAATATGGAACATACATCATACTTGTGTTTTATTTAACTATTTCTCTCTAGTACAAATCCAAATGCAATGGAAAATATGCAATATGGGGATCCCTCCCTAAGGTCATATTACGCATCAAAACCCAACCTGGATTTAGTACCAGAAAAGCCATATTACCAAAAGGTAATAAATATTAGTCTAATAAATAAAAATTACTCATTGAATTTATTATTAAACATTTTTTTTATAGTTTCATAGCGATAACGTCACCTCGACAACAGATATCCATTATTTTTTCCCGCGCAAAACTACATTAAAGCATTCTGCTTTTGTGCAAGTGGAACACCCAGCCAAGTATAGTATTTGTTCTCAAACTGATTACATCGATGAAACATGTTTTTGTCCAAAGAAGTCTAAAAACAAATGTGAATACACTACGATCGATTCTAGCAGCGCAATGTCCATTGACGAAGAGGCACAAACTAAAGAAAGGCGAAAAAAGGATGCTAAAGTGAGATTTAAAACGTCCAAATCTAGAGAACGCAAAATATGTTACTGCAAACACAAGCATGACCGAGGTGTAGATCAATCCGATAAAAAGATATCAACATACACAGATCAATCAATCAATTGTGCCGGTGCAACAAGTCAAAATTCCCAAACCCCCAGGAAGGGGTCTAATAGCTCTATAAAGCCCAATTTGCCAAAATCCAATTCCAAGACGTCCTGTGATAGCTGTTGTGGTACTTGTTTCTATTGCGTCACTGATTGTACTTCAGACGGTTTTTAATAAAACGACCGAGCCCGCTTTACTTTATATTACACTTTATTCCTTAATTCGACACGTATTTACACTTGAATAGAACAGTAATAAACAAAAACAAAACGAGATTAAATTAACCTCCAAACCTTGTGTGAGCTGCTGTCTCAGTCGTGGGGAATACCTTTCGACTAGTTTCGTATTAGTCGTTTGTTCCACGCGGAACGGAAGACGTGGCGGTAATAACTTTACTTTGGTAATATTGACTCTGGCGAGTCGCTTGGGTCTATTGACGAGGCCGCGAACGGTTCAAAAAATATTTGTGCTTTACTTTTAGGCAGTTTATGGCTTATCATAAGAGATTAATAAACGAGTATGGCTCGGAGTACATATACGATACAAGATAAAAGAAAGTCTAGGACATACTAACGAGGTAGATACAAAACAATATTGCGGCTCGTCAATAGGCCGCATAGCTCCGGATGTTTACTGCTCTCCAATTCACAAATCATAAATAAACCGTAAAAAACAATATAACACTTATAACTAATATTGCATAGGAATAAAATGAATGCATTCCCAATAAAGCATAACCTGAATTCAGAATTGAGAAACATCTTATATGCTTGCAATACTTGAACATACAATACGAGTTATTACGAGGGAGATATATTTACAAACGTAGATATATTAATTTCCTTTTAAATTTGTACAACGACAAGCATATAAGAATTAATAATTACTTAGAAATCTCGGAGTGAGATTCATATACACGTCATGTTGGACAATATAATTTAATACTTGAATAAATTCACAAAACTGCGCGTGCGCAGGGAATTTTTGAACCTTAATTTTTAATACACAACCTTAAGTTGACATAATATGCAACATTTTACCCCAAAACTAAGCACACAATATACATCTACGACACAGTGCACACCAATCTATCACATTCGACGCAGATTTTCTAAAAATGCACAAACAAATATCAGACTTAAGTCTTTAAAGGAATGAAATCCTAAATACATACAATAGTAGAAATAACAAAGTAATCGGCATACATTTGGACTCAAGACAATGCAAGCGTCAGACATTCTTGGCTCACTTCAATCTGTTTTTAGTAATTGAAAAATACATAAAAATTATATATCTGGCGTTTTTATAGAAAACTAAGAGATATATTTATTTTAATATAGATTAGAAATTATAATTGAAATAAGACAAACATATCCTGCTTATCACCCGAAATAATTTCAGCGTCAGATTTGTATAGATCCACAAATTAACATGTGCTTAGGGACAATGTCCAGTCCTTTTTGGGTAATCAACATACAAACGACACTACAAACATTATATTGACTAGACAGTACCATTTAAGGCGTACGGTAGTCAGTGAAAAAAGTATGGGCGCACTGTTTGAATAAAATGAACATGTGCCCTCTTATTCATGAAAACAAACCAATCTAATTGCACCGTTTCAACAGTCTGTCTCTTTTCATCACGGCATAAACACCATTTCACAGAAAGTGACAAAAGAGAAATTTCATTTAATTATATATATATAGAGATTTTGCTTATATGCGCCCATACTTATGTACAAGAATATCCAAGAATAAATTTAGGCCTTCGAAAATAACGGGCTTTTAGTGCGTATTATATTATCTTAATTATTAGTGAATATTGTATAGACTGTATTTATATGTTTAATATAATATTAGATGCATATCAAAATAATTTGCACTTCTAGGTTTTTGTTAAAAAAAGTGAATGAAATAGCACGAGATCTTTACTAAAAGCCCCGGATAATCACACCAATCGGTTAGATCGGCTATTTACGAGGTCTAAAGTAAAATTTAAAAAATAATTTAGTACTTATTTAGATCATTAATAATTATATAAAATACAGTTACCATCTTCACAGCGCCCACATTTTAACTTGTACATTTTTTACTATGTTGAAACCTTCACAATCCTGCCGTTTCTTATTCACTGCAACAAAAGAGATTATATAAATATTTTAATCAAAAATAATGTCTAAATGGCTTAGATTAAATGCTCAGCGGTGTAATGGACGAATAATAATTATGGTAACCTTACATTTAAAATGAGATATTATGCCATTATTTAAAACCTTCAACTAAGAAGCTACATCATTCAAGCAAACTGCCTGGGTTTTCGAGGAATGAATACTTTTACAGTTCTAATTATTAAACTAATATAATTCTAATTATACGTAGATATCTCGAAAACTACTAAACCGAGTTTCATAAAACATGGGAATCCTTTCTTATTTGGAATATAATATCTGATTTAATTTAAAAAAAAAACGTGTACTCTGTACATTGTTACATGCAGGTCACACTGATAACCTCCTTAACAGTTGCTTAAACTGAAGAATAACTGTCAGATTAGCCTATCGTGATATACCTGGTGCGCATGCGCAGCGTCCCTAATAGAAGCGAGGCGTAGACGCGTCTGCGCGAAGGTGGGTCTATGAGCGGGGTCGGCGTGCCACGCAGCTCGCATCACTTCGTAAGGCCCCCCCGGGCACCCCTCGGGAGCCTCCATGCGGTACCCGCGCTCCACGTGACGCACCACCTCGGCCAGCGGCTGAAGTTTCATGAAAATATTGCACATATTACACACAAAAGTAAAAAAGAACCGGAGTACCAGTTATGCGAACTAGTATAAGTCTTATTTGCTAAATTTCACAAAAAATATATACATTAATTTCTTTCATATTAAATATCAACATGTCAAAGCAACAAAAGATAAAAGGCAGCTTTTTTAGCGGAAATGGGCACAGCACCGACTTTCAGTGAGCCCTACATGCCCAGAAGGGCATTAGAGAACTAATAAATGTCTTATTTAGACAATTTAAATTGTAATTCTCACTAGCCACTAATGTAAATTTATTTCATAATAAAAATCAAATATATTTTAACATACAATAAAAGGCATATAAGCCGTTTCTAGATGGTGTTGTATTAATTGTTATGAAACATTTTAAGCGGGGTAATCTCAGGTACACATATAATAACCAAACTGTAAAAATACTTACTATTCGAGGATATGGCACTCTCCCAAATGAATATATCTCCCACAGAAGAATACCAAAACTCCACATATCAGACTTGTTGGAAAATTTCTGGAAATAGAAATTATGATAAATTAAACAAATGCATGTAATAATAAAAACTGTTATTGCATCACAAATAACTAAAAAAATACTGTTATAAAAAAGAGATAAAGTCAAACAAACAGGTACTAATACTTTTACATTAAAAATTATGTTCTAAAATGACTCAAATTTTTTATATCAATTGACAGTATCAATTAAATAATTACGTCTCCGCTACTCAGTCCGTCAGTTTTTCATAACTCGAATGCCCAAATTTTCCTAGATTTGTACAGTATACAAATTCTACGAGAACAATGTTTTTACGAATACAAATACGAATTTTATTCCCATGTTTGAGCTTACTTTTAGTTAAATATACCACGCAAGTTTTGCCTATCGTTAAAATTATACTATATCATTATATAAAGTTACCCTCTTAACTATGTTCACTTACATTATACTTGAGGGCCTCTGGCGCAGTCCACTTAATGGGCAGCTTCGCCTGTACTCTCAACGCATCCGCCGGATCGTCGGGCGTCGCATCACTACGTGCGAGGCCAAAGTCCGCGACTTTAGCGGTTCCCTCTTGAGATATGAGCACGTTACGGGCTGCCAAGTCGCGGTGGACCACTCGTTGGCGCTCCAGATACTCCATGCCGCAACAGGTATCACTGTTATAAATGTTATTATGTAATCCAAAAATATAAAGAGCAGTTTGGGTGACGTCAGAAGCTACGTTGTAACTCTTGAATATATTTTATCTAATATATAAAATTCTCGTGTCACAATGTTCGTTCCCATACTCCTCCGAAACGTCTTGACCGATTCTTATGAATTTTTTAATGCATATTCAGTAAGTCTGAGAATCGGTTACTATCTATCTTTCAACCCCCTAAGTGATGAGGCGTGGCCACCCCAAAATGTTTTTTATTTATTAGATTTTTTTATTTTCTATTTTTTTTATGACACAGTGTACCAAAATACATACTACTACTAAGATCAACCCTTATTTTTTATTACAGTTGATAGTTATTTTTATTGAACTAAAAAAATATTTCCTAGAAATAATATACATGGCAAAACAACGTTTGCCGGGTCAGCTAGTTTTAGTATGATATTCAAAATATTGAGTAAGGTTAAAAAATGTTATTGAATTTATTTTGAACAAATCTGGTAAAATAACTTTACTCCACTTTAGGTAAGGTTTTATTTATATATGTTTTAAGGTAACTAACTATGCAAAATCAATCTGATCCCTCTGCGTGACGTAGTGCCGTCCGCGACTGCGCAAGTAGTCCAGAAGTGAGCCCTGCGCACAATGCTCAGTCACGATGCAAGTGCTTCCGTTCGAGCCGAACACCACGCAGCCCAGCAGACGGACTAGGTTCTCGTGCTTAAGGGACCTGGAATTAACATATACAATTATGGAATAGGGAATCATTTAAGAATCAGCCGGGACAAATACTTTTTAACTCTTCACTTAAACATTTTCTCGCCATATCGGCTTTTAAGACTTAAGGAAATATTGATTGATTAAGATTGTTTTAAGCTTTAGAAAAGCACTTACGCCATAACACTGGCTTCAGCGCGGAATTTGCTGGCTGCCTCTTTATCTTTCAGAATCTTGACAGCGACCTTCTGTGTACCGTTAAGGATGCCCAGCATCACATCACCAAATTCACCTTTGCCGATATTTTCACGAATCTCCAAATCGCGCTCTGCTATTATCCAGCCTAGAAAACATTTTAATTACAATATAACAATTTTTTCATGATGTTATTACATTAGTTCTTTAAGAGAAAAAATAGTAGAAAGTTTCTTGTCAGTTCTTGCCTGCTCTACGCCCTTGACTTGAACTGATAGTAAATATAAATTTAGAATCAATTTAACATCTTTTCTGTTGACGTTCATAAGTGTACTTGGTTACCTTTATTAATAAAGTTATTTCTAGTTAGAGCAGCAAAACAACCACCTTTTTTTTTAATGTAATAAAGTTATACCGCCGCCCATGGGCACATTTACAGAATGTGATATACCAGTTTAAACCATTAATAATATATATTTATCTCAAAAATAAATACATACGGGCATCGACAAACTTCTGCGGCGGAATGATTCCGTCAGGCTGGTCGGTGGGCACTTGGGTGTTGTAGGCGTGCGGGAAATGGCCCGAGCTCAAGGCGTGGGATACGCTCGGCGTAGCTGGGTATGGCGGCGGTTGCTGGAAACGAGTTTCATATTTTATTATACGTACGAAAATTAATATATTAAAGCTTTGTTCTCTTACGTCATACATTCATAATTTGAAATACAATATTATATTCAGTGGTAAGTCAAAAATTATTGATTCAGCCCAAAACTGTTTATGGAACTCAAAACTTAATCCTATTTTGTATACTAATATTTTTATACGTATTAAGTCCGGTAAACTTTCAATTAGGTAGTCTTTATAAATATGAACTAAACCAACGTTTAATTTTTTTTTTAAATTATAAAATTACACGTCAAATTGTAAACATCTTCAGGTTTTAAAATCGATTTAAAAACTAAGACATCAGATACACAACTTGAGAATTATGTTAAATGTGACAAGAAGCTAGGAAACCGGCAGACTCAAAAATCAAGAACGTCGTCGTTATACAAGAACTCATGTTTGTTGTACATTATGTATAAATTTTTAAAATTATCTGATTCCTTAAAATTCATGAATACTAATATGTACATCATAATAATTGTCACTTTTGCGAAAACCTAAGTAGAAAAAACGATCTTACTGCAGGCAGCGGTGAGAAGGGCGGTTGCATGACATTGTTATTGTTGGCACCATTCGGAGATGCTTTTGGCAGACAGCGGACTAGCTTTGTGCATAACCCATCAGCGTCTTTTAGGTAATGCTGAAATTATATTAAGATATATAAGTTCTAACAAGCCAGAAATGTCCAGACACGTTATTGGCAATTCATTTCTTAAAAATTTGTTGGTGAAAAACTTGATTTCTGAAAATTACATCTCCCGGTAATATTTTATGAAAAAAATATTTTATGTTTTTTAAAAGAAAAATATAAATTAAAAAACATAGTGGAACCTAGACTGTCTATTAGTTTCTCAATTTGTCAATTCATTTTTCATTGTAAAATATAAAAAATATAAAAAATATACACAAACAAATAAGTGCAAGTCGTTGAAAAGTTTATGTTGATTGTTGCTTTTATTATATTTAAAGTACGAATATGTGATATTATTATTAAACCTCCCAAAGCTTACATGTATGAGTTCCGTCATGTTATCGAAGAACTCTTCATCATCAATCGTCAGCCGTTGGTTTTGACTTTCCGGTACTGTTGCCCATTTTACTCTGAAAATTAATATTATAAAATTAATAACAAATGTTTTACAATAAAAAAATCTCTCTAATCATATTACAGAACTAAAAATACATTTCGTATGGACATATTGGTGACCAAATTTTATACAAAAAAATCGCATATTTTGTCTGGAGTTACACTGCAGAGCATACTATGCATAGATATGAGATGATATCATGTTATTGGGTAATTAATTATACAATAGAGACAAGTGAGTTCAAGTAAAATTTTACAACACTGTTAGTCTGAAAGTTGCGATAGCAATTCCACACATAATAAATATTTTTTGTACGTCGCGAGCCCAAGGTTGAGACATCAGCGCTATGAATATTGAGAGAACTACTTCGAACTTGCATACAAAAGACGGGAACGATATCGCTGTCGGTATTGAAAGTTACAGAGTGCTGGAGCAGATCTTAATTATTTTGGCGTATCTAAACTTGGCTCATATGACATTTACACATTTATAGGATTAATTATAAAAATATATTTACTTTAAACAATATTACCACACCTGTAATGTTCCACTCGTCCTCTGAAACGTACGCAGAGTGTATGATCACCGGGAAAGTTGGTACTCTCGCGCACAAGGAATACGCCATCTGGCGACCCCGAGAGCAACGCCTCCGCGCGCTCGCGGGATATCGCGCCGTGGTGCCATCTGTTAACATTTACGAATTATAAGACAAAGCTAGTGTTACATAATTATAGTATAATAACAGTGATGGCTTAGTGGTATCAGCGCGCGAGTCTTCGTAAGGTTCGACCCTCGGCTGTCCTCTCTGGAACTTCTAACATCGTGAGGAAAGTGACCTAAAAAGGGACACAGAAAACGGATAGTACAAACATAAAAAAAAATTCTAGTTGTAGGTTGTTAAAAGAAACAAATAAGGACGAAACCGATACATAAACTTGAGGCCCAGACCAAAAAGGTACAGCCAACCGAGCCATTGTTTCTTTTTTAATTAAATATAGATTAAATTAACTACTAGACTAATCCTAGGTAGTAATTAGTAAAATTTTAATGTATATTTAGTGTATGTAAACGTATTTTAGAATATTAGCATTTCGTCAACCATGTATAACGCATGATATTAAAAACTTCTGGAAGCCGATTACCGCTTTACCCTTATATATATGTTTTAATTTATTTAAAAATTCTGCCTTGTAGGTGACCAAAAGCTCTTTCAAGACAAATGAATAAAAAAATTATGATTATTTTATAAAAAAAAATGTAAAATTAAGACTTTAGAACTAAACAAGATTTTTATAAAAATAAATATATGTCTCAGACCTTAAAATAAAATATTGTATAATATGTGAGTGTATTTTTTTAAATCTATTAAGTGTCTTTATTTTTAGTAGTAAAATGTGTGCACAGTATCTTAGCCCAAAAACGATGATAAAATTCTCAATGCAACAAATGATGGATGCCAAGACCCATAAATACAACTTATATTTAAAAAAACAAGAATTAATTTATTGCTATGACAATATCGTCATAAACTATATATTAGTTTTTAGCATTGGACCCTGAACACAATACACCAATAAACATCGCTTGCGCATACACTATGTTAATTGAATGACGCTAATTTGTAAATGCAAATAATATTTACTCGTGTTCACGTGTTTGGTTTGACTCCACTTCTATGTCACCGTTGTTTTCCATTACGAGACACATACTGCTACAAAGATAGCATTTATCTTATCGATTATTTTGTGTAATAATCAGAATACCACATTTTCAAACTATTATCGAAAATTGATATTTCTCGTTCAATATGAATGTTAAGAAATTTCCGGAAAAAATCATGTTACATATAAAATCAGAAACTGCTTTTAAACTCCCTTTTTAGTATGGTGGAAAAAAAGATGTTAGGAAATTTGCAGTATTTTGCTATGCTTCGGAAATTCTTCGTAAATATTATGACTGGTTTTTTGAATATAGGGGGTTAGTTGGAGTATACTCACGGATATTGCGTCATATTGATGAGGCGGTTAGCTGCGGGCGGAGGATTCTGATTAGATGTGTTCACCAAAACATCGCTTGGGCCTTTCGGGAGCACTGAAATTAATATTTCCAAATCAAATATAATCTTAATTCACGACCGTATTAACGAGTACGATAGGTACTTTAAAATTAAAAACTATGAAAATGGGTACTTTTATAATTATTTTTTTACGATTCATGAATGTCACTTGACGGATTTTACCATAATAACTATTAAACAACCTTATAGTCTTTTGTAGTATGTATTTTGAAAATACAATTTCATGTACATGACTCCGTACGGAAGGTATTAAAAATAAGATACGGGCGATTTAATGAGTTCTACTTATTTAGACAAAATCGACTAGTAAGTATAATACAAAATACTTAATGTTTCTAATATTGTAAATAAATAGTAATAACTTGACATGTTATTCTTGATAACATTTGATAAGAAGTCAATAAATTAAATAGGTGGCCTCATTCCCAACTGACCTTCAAACCTATACAATAGTATGTATATTTAAAAAAAAAACTTAATTACCGTAATTTATGAGACCTAATTTCACGTTTTTTTCCGTATTCTTCACTCTTGCATAAATTTATATATATACATAATATATATAAAATATGTATAGTAAATAATATAATCCCTTATTCACAAAAACTAAATCGTTAAAATTTCATGATTTTAACTAAGTGTAAGTTTTATAATGAAACTAGCTGACCCGAACTTCGTACCGCCTAACGGTCTATAAATGTAACAGATTAGTTGAACTTAATTAACGATTTTATGAAAATAACACATATACAAAATAAATATTAAGTTAACTACTATCACCGAATTGGCATTTACGAAGCCCATGAACATTTGTATTGGAATTTTTTTTCGTTAATTTTCCAATGTTTTTCAATAGTTATTCTGCTATTTGGGACGAAGAAAGAACATTTTGACTGATAGCGATAAAAAGAAAACTAATAAAACGAATTTCATTTTAGCGAATGAAGACTTTATGTCCTTCTTTGTACCTCTTATCTTGGCTCAAATGGGCGCTTAGAGTACTTTGATTTAGAATTTACACTTAGTTCGCCCATATTTTTCTAAGACGACGTAAATTCTGGGCATACAGCCTTTATGCTTAGCGTGATTAATATCAATTAATCATGATCTCATAGTAAACAATGGGTTTACACTTTAAAAGGAAGATGACAAAGCGTGAAATGTTACATCATAAACGCTTTTGTCATCCAATAGTTTTTCCTATACCGAGCAGTCTATTAAACTCATGTTTTGCGAACTCATTAAAACAAAGAAAAACATTTTCTTTTAAGCCTACAAAATTATTATAAACAGAAACAAATGTTTTATATTATACTAGCTGCCCCCGCGAACTTCGTTTCGCCTTAATATGTTTTTTTTTGACTTAGCCCACTTTTGAGCCCATGGAACATTTGTTCGGTTTTCTGGAATGAAAACTTTTTAGGGTTTTCTGTGAATTTTTCTCTATATAAACCTCATAAGTCATAAGATTTTAATTAACAATTAAAAAATAGGAGTTGATCGTAGAGGGGTGAAAACAGACAGAGACCACGGATCTCCACTTGCTACGGTCCTGACATACCTCTAGCTTCATCCACTTTCATGACATTCACCATGCATGCTCGTAGCTTATTGGTACCTTTAACTTGTCCCTTATTTAGTACCTACTGGATTTGGTATGTATGTACAACAAGGCCTACCCAACGATTTACAATTATTATTGTTGTAATTTAATATATAAATCCGGGGTATAATAAAAATCCATCTTTATTAGATTTAGTGGGAAGAGCTCATCAGTGATTTCAATTATTATATACATATTAATTAATTCTTTTAATTAAGGGACTTACCACCGGTCTGCGACGTGTGCATCACCGAAGGGGCGGGGCCAACCGGCGCGGGCGCACGCACGGATGACGACATCACATTCTGTTACAAATCGCACGTGTTACAACTCCATTGGACCGAGACACATGTTATTGTTACGTTATATCGCGTAATATGTAGGCTAATGTGCGAAACTCGAAAAACACGATATTATATAAGTCAATTTGTCTATGATGCAAAGCGCTAATTAACCGTATGAAGTCCCGTAGCCTATCGTCTATCATCAAACTTTTAACGAATTCTAAATAGATTTTTTATACATCATTTGAACCTAAGACTTTGAACTAAATTAATTGCCTTGGCCAATATTTTCTTAAATGATTTCTATTTAGCTCATAACTATATCTCCAACAAAAATCCCATACAAGTTGTCAGTTTAAACGCTTTAATCATTAAACACTCTAAACGCAGCCGTTATAGGCCATTAACCTGAATTATAGAAAATGTGGTAAAGAATTGGGGCCACATTGTACAACTTACATTATGTTGAATGGAATTCTGCAAAGCGGTGGGCGATAGAGGAGCGTGGGGACCATTATTGCCGACACCGCCTCCAGACTGCAATTTGATAAAAACATATTATAACCTGTTTATAGCTTATTAATGTGTGAACCTTGGACGTGCCATACGAAGATTTGGATAATGAAACATCGTACAGTAAATTTTCACTAAAAAAATTTGGGGAATATGAGACAAAAAAAATGAAGTTTCTTAGTATTCCTATTCGGAATTTTGAAGGTTCTGTGCATGTTAAGGCTCTATACATATTATATATTATCAGTGTTATTCTTCAGATGGGTTTATGTTTCAGATGAGACAGAAAAGGACGAACAACAAGGGGTTTTTGAAAGGCCGGCGACGCACTTGCGAGCCTTCTGGCAATGTGAGTGTCCATGGGCGGCATCTCACTTAACATCAGGTGAGCCTCCTACCCGTTTGCCTCCAATTACATATAATAAAAAAAAGACTGAGTATATCCCTAACAAACATTTTTATAGAACGAGGTCAAGATGAGATGAAGCATTAATAATGCCCATGAACACTCATATAATATAACTAGGTTTTAAGTTAACACATGGCAAACAATATATTTACATATATGACGACAAAAACAACAATGCCGCATAAATTTTAATTTATTCATCAACTACAGTTTATGGAGCATAGTTTAGTTTTTATACCGTTTTGTATCTGCGCACTTTAATTATTACATGGTTGTTTATGCATCGTACCATCGTCGTATGTGATTTGAGAAGCAGGCTCCACATATTGGGTCAACAATATTAATATCAACAATGTATGATATTTCAGAAAGGTGTCTTATGAATTAGCTTTACACTAGTGAACTTCGCACTGGTTACATTAGTAAACAAAAAATACACTATCAACGTGAAACTTACGTATAAATCACCTCTTAATTAAATTAGTTAAGAAGTTCAGATTAGCTGTAATATAAGTCCAAGAAAATCCTAATTCATAAACTTAACATAAGCTTAATGACTATTCATTTATCATTCTCTAACTAATTCGGGCTGATGTACGATTATGAAGACCTATCGCTGCATAATACTTCGGTCAACAGAGGGAATTTCTTTGCCAAGAATTATTTTTGTAGAATTCATGTAGTTTATCTATAGAAAAGTTCATGAATAATGAAATAGTTTTACATTTGCGCGATTAAATTATCAAAAACCTACTCAGAATACCTTCGCTTTGCATAATGATTTGTTAAAACACAAATACATATACGAAGAGAATACAATATAATAATTGTTCTTATTGCCGCCAATACGAATAAATTAATTGAAATTCTAAGGATTGTTACTTCCTCGAGTAATTCGATTATTGTTGAGTAATATTCTAATCGTTTGTATTACTGCGCAATTAAAATGAAACATGGCGCCTCAAGGTACTTATTGATAATAGCCATTTGTAATCAAAAAATATACTTCTATACCAATTTTTTTTTAAATATCTCTCTGATTAACGCCACCTTATATGACTTATTGTGCTTTATTTATTTCGTAATGGTACAGCAAACATAAATTATATAAAAGTAAACACAATTATACTAAAATATAGGCAAAGATACAAAAAGGTTCAAACATTTAGCAAAAAAAAAAACCAAGATGATTCAAACATTGAACTAAGTAATACCTTATTCAGCTGTGTTGTGTGGTGTTAAAGTGAGGGTATGTACGAATATGTGGGGTGTGCTCTGATGCAGGTGATTTAATTATTTTTTTCTATCTACAGCGTGAGAGTTTTTTAAGATTTTACTAAGATTATTTTGACAGACTCTATAGGTATAAGTAGTACGTATTAGAGCTTGGCAAACCAGTAATTAGAGCTTGGCAAACCAGTAATTAGGTCTTAGCGCCTTACTTACGAAAAACAACTTCCCTAATTAAATGCGTAGTCACCTTAGCAAAGGTGGATATTTGAAAATGTAAATACCGGTAGTTGATGCGGCGGCTGAGCACGCTTGACTCTCGCGGGCGCAGTGGGCGGCGCAGCTGACGCGGAGTACCACCCGCAGGGGCCCACGCCCTGACCGCCGGGGTGCACGCCGTGCTGAAATTTTAAATTTAATCTTATTTCCTAATACTTTATCAACAGATTTCCTACAAATCTAGTGCAAGTGCAAATAAATGAGGTTGATCACTTTCCTTTTAGTAACTAATAGGTAGCATGAAGTACGTCCTCGAACGGAATCCATCAAATCGATTCCTCGATACGGGAGCTAGTCTATAAGAAAACCCCAAAATAAAATATGTCATACTTTTCGGCACGTGTATGTGTCTAAGTTAAAACACACTTCATTTCTTTCGTAGTTTTTGATACTTTTAAACGGGGAGTTGCTTAGATTGAAATATGACTTTTAATTGTATCAGTTAGAAGCATTTTCAATAAAAAAATAAGGAAATAAACTAGTTTTATTGAGCAATAACGATAAGTTTCGTCGGCGTATCGCATTGAGCGTGGAAAAAGACAATTTAGTTGCTTCATAAAGTTAAGAAACATAAATATTTTATAGAATTCTTCCGCACGTAACGCTAATTATAAAGTTGTGAAGCAACACGGAAAACCTGTTACTATAATAATCTGCTCCATTTTCATAATCATAATTTACTTGGTTTTGTTACCGAGAATGCAGTTTCGGTGCATAAATAACTAGATTAGGGAAAAGCACACTCAAACGAGGTGCCCAATTAAAGGAATTTTCTTAGATCCTTTATATTAATTATACACTTAATTAAATGTAAAATCTATAGGTTACTAGCTGTCCCCGTGAACTTCTGTTTCTTCTTAATGTGATTTTACTTAGCCTACCTTTTTAGTACATACCTACCAACATGGGACATTTTGCTATGCTACCCCAGATACTGTTCGGTTTTCTGGAATGAAAACTTTTTAGGTTTTTCTGTGAGTTTTTCTCTATATAACCCTCAGAGTTCAAGTCATAAGATTTTAATTAATAAATAAAAATAGGGGTTGTATGTATTTTTAATGCAACATAATAAAAAAAATATCCAAAAAATTAAAAAAAATTGGGGTCCCCCCCCCCTATTCACTTAGGGGTTTGAAATATATCAAATCTCAGACTTACTGAATATGCATAAAAAATTTCATAAGAATCGCTGGAGCCGTTTCGGAGAAGTATGGGAACGAACATAGTGACACGAGAATTTTATATATATAGAGATTATATATTTCCATAAACATCGATAATAATCATAAAATATTAAACAAATCTGTGAATCTACTTTCAGAAAATCCTACTAGAATTCTATATACTACTTTGTATAAATTGTAGAGAAGATATATGGTTCAAATGGGAAAACATGACGGTAATTGTAACATAACTCAGAGTATAATATGACGACGATAAATTGCATCGTAATACAGACTACGTGTTCAGTGTTTTCATTAGATCAAATGATCATAAAATATGGGAAAATTTTCCTTGTATGATGATACTGGGAAATCGTGTTGATTTATAGTAATGATTAACTCAGATGGATGCACAATTTTCTGCAGTGAGCCTAGATTTGTGACATCTAGTTTCTCAAATAATTACTTCTTTCCGCGAATACGATAGACGAATAAGGTTTCAGTGTTAGTAAAAGCGAAATAGTTTCATTCGAAGAATTTACACTTTACCAACCTTAAAGCGAGGAACCGGCCGATTAAAAGTTTTTCTAAAAAAAAATGCTTTCAAATGGTTTTGGGTCCCAAAGAATGCGTAAGCGATCAGTCATTCGGATATATCTAAGCTGAATTATAGCCTTAAATTTACGGGATACGCGCCAATATCTCCTAGGGCATAAAAAAGTACCTCCAGAATATCGATTGCGCGACTACTAACTAAGGACATCTTATTGATTCCGATAAAAATTTAACTTATTACTGTGAGGCGATATTTTGCTATTATTATAATTTTTCTTTTCAAAGAAAAAACAACTAATATCGTAAAGAAAGCTAAAGTAATTGTTTGTTCGAGTTGAAGGACTTAAGAAGTAATAGAGTTCTCACGAGCCATTGACGATAGACTTGGCTGATCGCCAGATAAGCGGTACTACATATTAAAACAAAGTAATACACAAGTATTAAAGTTTTTTGAAGTGTAGTTTCATTGATCGACATTGTTTATGTGATGGTACTTCAATTGAGTAATTTGACAGCTACCGAAATAAAAGCCTTGAGGATAATGTAACCTAACAGCCGTACGTATAACAGTAGATTAAATTATGTTTATTATTAGATTAACCATTATATACGATAACGCTGCAAACTAAGCTACGTAATTGAATACCAATATTTAACTAATAAAAAGGGCAGTGAAAGACGTTTTAAAATTTCCAGTTAGCTTTGTTTTAAAGTTTACTGTACGACTGTAAAGGTGATACTCAGAGTCTAGATTAGCGCTAAGAACTTCCGAATGTATGTAACATTCGTTCAAAACGTCTTTACCTACTACATACTTAGCTCTAAGTCTGGTTTCTGTGTCTTACTTTAAGTAACATGTATTTAAATTAAGTTCCACAAATTCATCTTTAAAGTCGTGCTACTCTTAACCATTTGGTCGTAGATTCGTTCCCCGTGCACCAATGGACTTTCTTTCCAGGTGCAGACCTAAAGAGGTTGTAGCGTCATTTTTTTTTGTATGTGAAATGCTATACTTTACCTACTACTTAGCTCTGGTTTCTGTCTTACTTTAAGTAACATGTACTTTAAAAGTAGCTAAAGCGTTTATACATTGAGATATAAAGAAGTACTTACTAAACTAAAATAATATAACGTAAACTATATTCGGTGAGGAATGTGATACAATGCTACTCGTGTTTGTGTTCACCGCACATGGTATTGAGATAATTGCGCATGACTCATAGCATACGAACATACAGAACACTCTTTCTTGTTCTTCATCAAGGGGTTTATTTAGTAAAGTACACTGTAAAAGCCGACTTGAATTCCTTTTAAACTATTGTATCGACGTAACTTTAAATTCAATTACTTTCATTTGATAAAATTTAGTAGCTTTAAAAACATTTGCTTAATGTAGTTTCATTTAAGGTAACTTTGGGAATTATGTTTATTGCCGTATATAAAGGGTGAAGCTGTAGCTTTAATGTGCTCTGAAAGGATGTTGTTGATCTAATTAAATAGCGTGGAACCAAGAGTTTTGTTGTCAGCATAAAATGGCGTCAATTAAAATATAATTGTTTCATCTATTTAATATAATATAAATATTTAAAAAAACTGTAAGCAATATCTACCCTCGAAAAGTAAAAATCGTACTAAATTCCTTTGAAGAACCTCGAGGAATGGACGAAAGACTTCCTAGAAAAATCAATCCTTTATATAATGTCTGGGGTTTTCAATTGGTGCAATCTTTCTTCTGTAACTACATTTTTTGCATAATGCATACCTGAGATAACGGCGGATGCGCCTGATGACGGTGCACGTCAGAGTTCATATCAGTCAAGGTACCAAACTGTTGCCGATTAAGTGCGCTTCATCATCTGTTAACAAAATTGTCTTATATTAATAACAATATATATATATTATTCTTATCAAAACCTTCAACTATTATATGCGTCAACCCAGGATAATCTACTCACACAAGCTCAGACGTCCAGTTTCCAGAGTTGTAACTACCTTTACTAGATTTATTTATTTTATTGATATATTTGACAATGCCCAAGACAATACAGTAGCTCAAAATACGTCATGGTGTAGTCTAAACGTGCCCCGATGATCCTGGATTCAATTTTCGGCAAATAATTGTAAAAGGCTATTTAATTAAATTGTGGCTCTGCCTAATAAAGCTGATATAATAATTAAGTCTGTTTCATACGAAATAACACTAACAACCGATTGAAGGAGGCCTCAATAGCTATATATAACGGCTAAAACTTTCAACTATTGGCACTAAAGCAATTGATTCAATAAATCTTACATTTCGGGCGATAAAAAAATAAGAATTACTCTCAACGAACATTATTACTACACCGCCTTAAGTTACTATAGTGGAAATATTGCGGGAAATGTGAAAGCTTTGAGCAACAATGGATGCACTCTACGCTACATCATAAATATAGTTGGGTCAAGTGTTATATTTAAATGAAAGTTGGAATGCAATTTAAATTAAAGATGCCAAATTTTTACTTTATTTAGAAAATAAAGTCGTAAATTAACAATTACAAGTATTTATGAAACTTCTAAATATGATCTGAAAACAAAATTTAAAAAAACCAGTGGTAACAACCTTTTAGGTCTGGGCTTCAGATTTGTGTATCTGTTTCGTGATCATTTGTTTTTTCTAATAGGCAAGTAGGTGGTCAGCCTTCTGTGCCTGACACACGCCGTCGACTTTTTGCGTCTAAGGAATGACGGTTTCCTCATGATGTTTTCCATTGCCGTACGAGCAAGTGTTAAATGCGCACAAAGACCGAAAGTCCATTGGCGCACAGCCGGGGTTCGAACCTACGACCTCAAGGATGTGAATCGCATTCTGAAAAAATATACTCTATAAAATAAAATCAAAACCTTTGTTTCAATTAAAAACTTGTAATCTGGGCAACGTTACGACAGTCAACAAATTTGAAATAATAAATGGGACGAAAACTAATTGAAATTTATATGAATGGCCGTACATTCATATTTTAATTACCGCTATTTACTGAGTAACGAAATTAAATTCAAAAGGTAAACTAGATAATGAATAGATGCCAACGGACTCAGCGGGTGAAAATTATAATTTCCCATCCCGCTATCGTAACAAATTAGATGAAAGTTGGGAGAAACCGCGATTCTTGAGTAATATTTGATTCCTGCAATTACGTATAAGCTAATAAATGAGATTTTCCTTAATAGAGGAAAGATTTAATAAATACATATCATCTGCACCTATACGGAAAAACAGTTACAGTGAAATTAAAATCATTGTTGAGTTAAAGATAAGTAAAAATTATAAATTATTTATTTATTTATAACCACTTCGTTGCAATTTGCAATATAAAAGTTTTACATAATTAAATTAAAAGGAGGTCAACTAGCGGCCTTATCGCTTTCGAGCGATCTCTTCCAGGCAACCACTGTGAGAAAAGAAAAAAAATGTATTAAATTAGATAAGGTAGGCAAGAAGTGCAAAAGTGTTATTAAGAAAAAAACTAAACACAAAACAAAAACAATTAGTTGAAAATCAACTACTTTGTTAGAAAATAATTAATGAAATATCCCATATGTGGCCAGGACCAGTAAAAGGTATCGCTACTGAATTATTATATTAGGTATGTACTATTTGTATTAAGATACATATATTAAACTTTACTGAATTGTTCGAGAGTTCTCCAGTTTTGCCAAACACATGTTAATTAGTGACAATGTAAAGAATAGGCTAAGTGGTCTGGGAGTGGCATGGTGATTCACTCTTCTATCCACGGGCACAACAAATACTTAGTTCATATATAGCAAGTCTAGTGTCGACCGACCGTGTCGTATTCCGTGACTGTATCGCATGAACAAAATGACATAACTGCGTAATAAAGAAAAATTACTAAATTGATAAATCACCGATATAAAATACGATAAACGTTTTGTTCTCGTTATACCGTTAAGATACTAAACGGATTGTAGAAGCAATTTATTAAATTATATTTTATGAGCCTGTCATTTTATTAAATACACAACTAATTGGATTTTATATTCAGTTGCGTTTAAAAGTGGACGCTTTTTAAAGTGAAAACATACTTTTTCGTTAAAATATATTCCAACGGGCTAAATGTGGGACGCGGTGAGTTTTAAAAGCGCTAACCGTTAAAGTAGGTTGTCATTTAGTATCACATATTAAACTAAAACCTAGAAATTTATGTCATACATATGTGTATATAATATATTTTTTACCAGTGACGATTAAAATGTGTAATTATAGAATTCGTAATCCTGTAGCTGACATAAATTATATATAACAAAAAACAATTATACTAAATATATAACCAAACACGGAATACATAATCCTCCGTAGTTTTAACTAATTTCGGCAACTTAAAAAGTACTTTTTAGTATTTAATTGTTTTCGTTATTGAGGGTGGGTGTAATGCTATGTAGAGTGTATCATTGTATGAAGGACAAGCTAAACCAACCAAAGCCTATTGATTTCGACGCTTTAGGGGGTTTGTCGTTAAATCGAGGAAGTGATTACATGGAGTTTACACTGTATATTACAAAAAGGTTCAAACATTTATGAAAGGAAAAAAGTAAATAAAATAATTAAATATGTGAAAATGGTGTGAAATTGTATGTATCTGTGGGGTGTCCTCATGATTCAGGTTATTTAGCGCTATGGAGATATATATATATATATAAATACTCCTTTTAAGCATGTTATGTTTCATAATAAAGCGAGTAAGCAAGCGTAACTGCTGCAATGCTATTTACAAACACATATCAGAACCGAGTTTTGCAAACAGCAAGCAGAGCACGTAGATTGTATGGCAGGAAATTTGCCTTCCTAATTTAGTAGCGCGCTGCAATAGCACATTAGGAGCTATGCAAGGTTTCTGCGATACACTTAGAACTTGTTTATATTATTTATTGGGAGCGTTACTTTTAAATCGCCTTTTAAAAACATACATATAAATGCCGGATGTTATCAAAATACTTATCGTAATTACTGCGCATCGTAGAAATTATAAGAACGCTAATTGGTTTTTTTTAATAAGACGGGTACAACGACCCAAGGTAAGATTTCGAAACGAAACTTAGAGAAAGCTATGACTCCCCTATGTTAAACCTATTGGAATTTAATTACCCTTACGAGCTCAGGAATTATGGCCAACGTAAAGTTTTTTCTTCTACTCAGTGAAATCTTAAGATTCGAGTTTACAGTCCCCCCTTCTGGGCTAACAATTTACTGAATGCATGCTGCTCTATTTTCATACACTTAAATAAATCAGTGGCACTACAACCTTTTTAGGTCTGGGCCTCAGATTTCTGTATCTGTTTCATGATTATTTGTCAATCTAATTGGCAAGTAGGTGATCAGCGTCCTGTGCCTAATACACGCTGTCGACTTTTTGGGACTAAGGCAAGCCGGTTTCCTCACGTTTTCCTTCACCGTCCGAGCGAATGTTAAATGTGCACATAGACATAAAGTCCATTGGTGCACAGCCTGGGAACGAACCTACGACCTCAGGGATGAGACTCACACGCTGAAGCCACTAGGCTAACTGCTCTTCATACACTTATCTCGTAATATAAGTGTAATCTCAGTCTCAGTCAATCAGTATACTTTATTTTTAGCACTAAATTTGTGTGTCCCAATTTGACAGTGTTAAACATTTTTCAATACATATTCCAATGCTCCTATTTCAACGTGCTAATTAGCGCTTATTAATTAACCCATATACAAATCAATTAATGACTCAAGCCGTATATAAACAAGACATTAATAAACTATTACGTACATACTTAATAATGTAGTGCTGAATGTAGTGTTGACACATCTGAGCATATAAGCTAGAAGGCTTGCGTGAAGGTCACTGGTGTGTAATTTATTCAAATTACAAACTAGAGGGAACGTGGTCAAGTATTCACAGATATTGGGAAATTTAAATGCCACTAACATAGCATATAATAAAAACGCTCGTTAATTAAAATCAGATCAACCCTGACTCGAACCTTGAGAGAAGATGCGCTACTAATTAATCCCCACATTCACGATAAAATTTTAGATGACATTTCTGATTGAATGCCGTATTAATAAAATATCACAATAAAGTAATATAGTATGTAGATATAAAAATATATCTCACGAATTAACAGTTCATGGACACAAAACTATGTACAAACAAAATTTTATCTAGAACATTTTTGTCCTACAATATGCATAGATATTGCAACGAAATAAAACACGAGCAGAACCATAGCGGGATGCAGGCGCGTGCCGGGTTGAATGACCATAGCAATACGCGAGTTTCACTTTCATCCTCTGACGCCAGCCGACTTCCACCACAAATACCGCCAGACGCCAGTACATTAGTACAGACTAACCACCAATTCGATATCTGAAATGTTTAATTGTACAATAACTCAGATGTTGATACTAAAGTACTTATACGGATCTTTCAGTCTAATTGTTTTTACGCGGCGAAGACACAAACCAAAGCTTTAGTGAAATTACCGACTTCCTATTTACAATAAGGGAAACATTTTTATGATACGAATTTCATAAATAATCTAAAAAAATAACACTTGCTGATAAAATCGCATTTACATTTTACAATAATTAAAACTGAAAGTCAAACGTTTTGTGGTTTTTTCAAGCGTATAAATATGCGTAAATCAAATATATGTGTAAATCAAAACAACTTAATATTGTGTTCAAATGTGTGTGTATTTCAAAAGAGAACTAAACATATGTAAACGTGACCATTGCTTTTCTCTTGTCGCTATTGATTTTGCTGAGGTATTATTCTTTTTAAAGTCACCTTGCCAAATTTTATTAACACAATATGCAACCTGCAAAGCGGTGATTATTTAGAATATGTCAGAAAGCCATTAACAGCGTTGACATCACTCTCGAATTTGACCTCAAAAATCGAGGAAGTGAAACATTGGACTGCTACTGCATTTTATGTATCTGTCAAGTCTTCACATCACTGTTTACTTTAACAACCATCTGTTTATCTTTTATTTCTGTTCGTAAAACCAGGAACTATATTAATTACTATTCCACACGACGAACGGAAAGATTAACTGCGAAGGACAATGAAGTAATGGTCATATTATATCCTTTGTAATTGTATTTACTTACAATTTAATGATCAAACGAATTAAAGCGATGTTAGTATTTAGTATTATCACGAACTTGTGCGTAGAACAAATACTGTAGAACTTTGTAATTGACGCATTATGATTACAAATAACTTGCATGTTGGGGAACACATCAATCAACGCTACTTTTTAAAATAGAACCTTAAAACTATGGAATATGTTTTATTTGTCATTTTTACTTCACTGTAAAAGCGAAAGTTGACCTTTTAATATGTTTTTAATAATTAAAATCGTATTTACGTTACAGTAATGATATAAATAATAAAGAGATGCATTTATAAAAACTTTTTTTAAGCAGGGAAGTTGTATTATCTGTTAATTGGTACCGCAACTATAACTGCTGATTAAATCGTCGTGACCTTAATGCTAATAAACTTATTTCCTTCCCTCCACGGCCATGTAAAATGGCATAAAAGGAAAACATAAATTTTACCAGCTAGGTACTTCCTACCATCGTATACTACAATTTAAAAAAATCATGTTCTTAGCGAATTTCATATATTATTTTCTATTAAATGTGTAGACAACATATATACTAACTATAATTATTACAATAAATTACTTGATTTAAGTTATAATTAAAGATTTAATGTAAAATCACTTAGAATATAAAAAATGTATAACGTCTAAAAGTTTTTATACCAAGTAGGTGTATTACTCCAATTATTGAAGATTATAATGAGATGATTCATCACACCTACACAATTATTTCATAATAGAGGTACAGGTATCCTTTGGTATACACGTGTAATAAAACAAGTACAGCATGGTAAACTTTTAAACTACACAAGAGACAAAAGATTATTTCCCTATCATGAAAACCTTAAGAAGTGTTACAATATTATCGTATTTTGTTACACTATATAATTTTTATGCGATACGGCTTCTCCTAAGCAGCGATTTAACGTTAGTACCTACTTAAAATATTTAGGAAAGTTTTATTTAAATATTCTTTATTTTATTTAAAATTCAACACACGTTTGCGAAACAAAATTTAATTTACGCGATACCATACCTATCTCACATTGCTAAATATGTACATTACAAAAATTCCTAGCCATCATTTAGTTGATAGGGCCGACAGGCGCGCTGAAGTGTGTAGTCTGGACACTTGCTTTAATATTGATTTTGTCCCAGAATAGATTTCAATATGAATTTGGAAACTTTTTAAATAATACATACCTACCACTTTAACTTCTCATTGAAAATCACAAACACTTTGCACACGCACTGCTACCAAAGATCATGTTGTTGAAATAAAACAGACGTCGTCCTGGTCTCACAACAGAAAGTAATGCAGCTTTCAACCTTATTTCATTGAGGTGAGTCAGCAAACGCAGTCCTTTTGTTTATTTACACAAACAACTTGAACAGTCCGGAAGGCGTCATGTAGGAGGTACACAGACGCTTATCATCTGCCAGAAAAGTTGACAACGTGCGAACAACGTGATCGTCGCTCAAATACTGCGGACTGCCGGTGAATTGCACGATTGCCATTTACCACGTTGCTGGACTTAATTAACCATAATATACAATATGATATCAAGTTTCTAGTGATATTAGAGATACATGTAGGATTTAAATATTCTAGTGAAATTCTACCTTCATTTCGGTTTTATATTGTTTATCATTTATAATATATACTTACATATATATCACATATTTAAACTAAATACGCGTTGTCGTGTTCATGTTCAGTAATAAATTCAGTGAGATAATTAATAAATAGGTGGCTGAACACAATACTACCTAATACATATATCAAATCCTAAGCTATGCTAAGTTGGTTAACTTAATATATGAGCCTCATTAATTTGCTTATAATAAAATTCAATTTTGCACTTTCTATCTTCAATACACGAAAATTAACTGGGTATGAAATAGGTAATAACACTGCATGACTGACACAAGACACGAAACCATTTACCTCCTTGCAGATGGCACACTAAGTGGGACAGAATTATTTTGCTCTAATAAAATAAGCTAAGAGTAGATCAGCAGAGCAGTCGTGTCAACATAACCATAATTCTTCAACGGTGCCCGTAAAAACGCAATACAATTAGTGGTATTCGTGACAACTGGAGCGTGAGAGGCATACGGTGCGGTAGTGTTCGCCACAATGCCCCGTGACCGACTCTGCTGGTTACTGAGTACTACGGAATGCCCTACATCAATAACGCTTTAAATACTTTTCAATACAGGACAAGTATAACTAACATAAGCGTTTCTAATACGAATATAAAGATATAGTCAAATGAATAAGTAAATCCTATAACTGCTTTCCATGAAATATTAAAAAGCGAAATAGCCGCCGAAGGGCCCCAAATTTCACGTGGGGGAAAGAAATACTCAGGTAATTTATAGTCAATGGTTTGCAGGACGATGATGTCATCGGACGCACCCGTCGTCGTTTGTCAACACGCATGGATAATTTAAGCACAAATGTACTATGTTTAGCAAAAGGTATCCTTGCCCCAGACATAAACGGCGTCATTGCCGAACTTACTCATTTCCGTTTTAATGTCTTGGGGATCAAACAGAATAGCTAATTTATTCCGTTTCCGTCACGCGAATGTAGTGTGAATTGATTCATAATTAAAACTAGTAGCTGACACTAGCACTAGACATCAATATTATAAAACTATAATGATAATAATTATTTTCTTCTCTTTTTAACTCTTTCCTTAAGAGTTAAGAGACAGACCAAGTATTAATTAATAATAATTAAATTTAACCTGAGTATGCCTTATCGTGAATTTGTTATGAATTAAAAATATTGATATTTTATCTAGTAACAGCCTTATCAAGAGACGTAATTCTGTCACAAATAGTTAGTTACCCAAAAGGCTTATTATTAGAACTTTATTGAAAGTATTTCTTTCATAGGATTTAATTCCTGGGGGAAAATTTAACCAGTTGGGTCAGGTTTCATGTTGGAATTTTAAGAAATATATCAGTAAAATAGTCACAAAAATTTGCTTACTTCATTTGGCAAATATAGTAAACCCAAATCCTAAATATCCAGCATATTTTTATATAAATTTGTTACATGTAAAAATCCACTGCAGATCCGAGCTAGGTAAATTATACAAAACATACAATGAAATAAGCAATTCAGTTGCAAAAACCTTCAAGTGATTTCACATTAATGAACTTATATATATAGGCAAGATCAACAGTTTGGCAGTTTATAAGATTTAATTACATCAATCTTAACATTTAAATTAATAGCTACAGCTATTAACAAAGAATCTCACAAGAACAATGTGTGCCTCTTTTACAATACCATAGATGTAATGAAAATTGTGATGCCTGTTATTACAGAACTGGTGAAGACGCCAGGAGTTCTTCAAAAAGGTTAAAAGTGTAATATATTTAATATAACAAAAGCAAAACTTTTGTAATAGATATTTAATACTTATTTTAACTAACTAGCTACAAGTATAAATTTGTGCCTTATACTGATTTGTTAAATATCTTGATAATTGAAGATACTGGCCATGAAACATATTACATGTTTTAATAAAAATAACTGCTACGAACTCTACAACCTTGATTCATCTTAAATATTAAATGTTTCAAAAACTTACTGACAATGATTTTTAAAACATGGCGAGGACTTTTATTCTCTACCTTTTGGCAGACTTTTACAAATTTTATCAAATAAAAGCATTGCTCGAGCAGGTACGTACTTTAGAATCTTTACGCCTACAGTAATTTGTGCAACCTTAACTCCATGCAGGCAAAGATCGATTTGCGCAGCTAAACTTAAGTATTATTCATTTTTACTTACCAAAATTGAAATATGAAATCCCTTATCACAATTTTAAAATCTGTACATAATTAAATAACACCACTTTTTAAAAACTGATGATATTTTTATAAACACAACACATAATACATACGTCACACTCAGTTACGCCATTTTGTTAAAAGTATCTGTTGGCTATGATCATAGAGTAGGTATAATATAGGGTAGCTATCTACGGCTAATGGCTTCCACTTTGCCGTCATATCTGAATGGGCCTATAAATTATTATAATATTTTAACACGGAAATTTACCTTTCTACTTCTTAATTTTTTGGGTTCGGCACGGTTTGTGCATTAGCCAGCATCAAGCAATAAGAGTTTATAATTCGCCGTTTTAATTATTTACAGTTTATGAATAATAATAAAAATTTACCTTTTTAACTTGTTTTGTGATACAAAAAATTAGGTAATACAATATAATATCAATGTATTGTTTGAAGGTGAGACTCTGTGAGACGTTCACTTCTACTAACTTTTTTCTGTGGTCATGTTCAAGCGCTAGACCGTTGACGACTGACGTGACGTCAATGTCAGTGTAAGACTGTAAGGTTAAAGGTTTATATCGGCGATTTGAAATTTTTTAAAGACTAATATTTCATTTTGATTTTAGATCATATTTAATTAATGAGATATGAAAAATAATACATAACTTAAATGTCTGTTATATATTTTTCCTAAAATGATAAAAGATTTATTTTAATACATATCACGCAGGTAAAGCTCTCAAGCTAATTGCAAGAGGCAAGATGAACCATCTGAGTTCACTGTCTAGGACTATGAGAGAATACAGTCGAAAGAAATCTGTTAAGTATGGTGTACCCTTCATTTTATTTATAGTAGGAGGCTCTTTTGGACTTAGAGAATGGACTCAACTTAGGTAACCAAGTTAAACATTAACTTAAGATTCTAAGGATTTAAATATCATGTTAACAATGCTGAGAAAAGATTGTAATGCTCATACAATTTTATTATAAATGCTATAACTCTGCATATTCTAGTAATAAATAGTTTACACAACCTTGTTAAAATTATTAGCAAAAAGAACTACATATATGAAAAATATAAAAACTGACATTTTATTTAAGGTACCAATTTTCACAAGTAAAAGGGGTGAGTAAAGAAGAAGCTGAAAAAATGGGACTTCATAAGGCAAGGGAGGTTACCTTGGAAGAAGCTTATGAAGAAATACAAAACCTAGACATTGATAATTGGGAAAATAAAAGAGGGCCAAGACCTTGGGAAACTAATGAAGAACAAAAATAATTATGTCATATTTATTAATAAACTATTAAGATTGAAAAGATATAATGATATGATAATGTAGATTAAAGAGTTGTGATATTTTAAAATAGTTTTTGAAATTACAATTCTCCTATTTTATCAATATGTACACCATACATATTATATAGAGCAATAGTAATTCAGATGAAAGTTCTTAATAATTAATATCTAAATGTACTGTAATGAGTAATCTATTAAGCCAAGATATATAAATAAATGTTAATATTATTATCAATAAGCTTCAAAAAGTTTATTATTGATTGTATAGTAGTAGTAATAAACATTGAATATTTACATACCTATCATGTCTGTTCTACAAATGAAAGTACTGATTTCTAAATGTACAATAATCTATAAAGCCAAGATATACAAATAAAAGTTTATATTATAATCAATAAGTTTCTAAAAGTTTATTATTGATTGTATAATAGAAGTAATAAACAAATGTATATTTATATACCAATGACATTGAAAAATCACATTTCTAGAATTAGAGTTGATACAATTTTTTATTATAATTACCTACTGAGTCATAAAAAGAACTTTATACAATTAATTATGAATTTTGTACACCATACATATATAGAGCAATAGTAATTCCGATGAAAGTACTAAATTTCTAAATGTACTCTAATCTTTAAGCCAAGATATACAAATACATTTTAATATTATAATCAATAAGCTTCAAAAGTTTATTATTGATTGTATAATAGAAGTAATAAACAATGTATATTTATATACCAATGACATTGAAAAATCAACTTTCTAGAAATTTCTAGAATTAGAGTTGATACAATTTTTTATTATGATTACCTACTGAGTCAAGAAAAGGAACTGTATACAATTAATTATCAAGTTAACGATGTTGCCAAATTTCTATTTGTAATTAGCTAAATTTTCTTTTATTTTTCAAATTGTTTTTGAGTGTGCTTATGGTACAGTCCACGTGAAACATCTAACAACTTTAATTCACTAACATAATATGATTTATGTATTATGCTAAAACTTGTTTATAATGCTAGCAGGCGTGAAGCCGTTGGCTAAAAAAAGAAAGAATAAAGTTTTAGAGAAATGGAGGTCATCAAATTGTACATGATAAAGACTATATACTTTAGTTAATCAAACATTGATTTTTGCATTCATAGCAGAAAGTGAAATGTTATAAATACTCTATATTATAAATAAAGATAACAATAATTTACTATTTTATGTGTTGAATAATCGAACTTATATTCCCAAAAGCATCGCTAAAAGTCTTAAGACTGGCAATAAAACTTGAAAACTACAAACCATTTTTGTCTGACTACGAGCTGCTATTGGCTATTACATAGTGATTTTTAAAATTGCGTCAGGATCAGTGTGACCGTTTTTAGTTTATTCAGTACCAAATTGGTATAATTTGGGCTCTGTGTAACTAATTTAGTATTTTTTTGGTATCCTTTTATATTCTGGTATTTTTTGGTACATTTTTCGGCTGGGCGGGAAACACTTACTTCCATTCGTTCACATGTTTTTGTCTTTGTCTGATGTTTACCGCAAATGTATCATTTTGTCTCTTCCGAACGGTTAATGCTAACAAATTCGCGAATCGTGCTTTAGCTACGTATTACTATCTACGTTACATGCTGTATTTTTATAAATGTGGTCCCTTTTGGGACCACGGATGTTTTAGTTCTTTATTTATTTCTCTATGTGTGCATGTGTAGTGAAGATAATGAAGCGCAAATACGATCAGAAATATAGATCTGAGTGGGAACAAAATTCTGAATTTCGTTATGGTTGACAAAAGATAAAAATAATGAGAACGCCTTGTGTAAAACGTGTGGAGCAACATTTTTAAGCAGAATCGCTACAATTAAAAGTCATGCATATTCTGAAAAACATCGATAGAAACTTATACATTATAGTGGACAATCCAAGGTAAGAAAGCTATGCCGCCATTAACATATTTATAAGATTATTGTGTCCCTTATTTTTTTATGGCACATGAATTAATTGTCCTACTTCTACAGGATGTCCGATGAATCTTGGATAGTACATGTACAGTTGTACACACATGTATAATTCATTTAAATTCATCAAATTAATCAAATCCTGTTTATTTTCAGAACGATGATAAATTACTTCAAAGGAAAGAACCCATATCTGAAGAAGTAAGAAAAGCAGAGCTTATATTTTATGCAGCGTTGGCAGAACAGAACATACCATCTCGGGCCATTGATCATCTCAGCGATTTAGGTAGCAAAATGTTTTATGATTCGGAAATCGCAAAGGGCTTTTCCTGCAAACGCACTAAATCTGCTCAGTTAGCTCAGTGCAGCGAATACTGACTTAGTATTTGTAATAAAACTTATTGTAAATATTTATTATTATTTTAATATGTCTGTATAATGAAGGTGTGTACCTAATTGGTAAAGTAACTGATAATAAGTGTTTTAATAAAAAAAAAATCCTCTTTTTCTTTTAGTATTATTCAGCATGTGTTTTGGTATTATTTAGTACTGGCACCTTGTAGTTTTGGTAGATCGCCATTTTTTAAAACGGTCACACTGGTCAGGATTCAGCGCAGTCCGTGTTTGCTATTGATTGATCCACATTCCACGGCCGTATTCTCTCTCTTTCATACTCAGTGACGTACATGTACGCTTTGTTCGTTTCGTCTATAAAAAGGTTGAATTGGGGAATCTCGTGTATTAACAAAGCGAATTTATTGAAGTACGGAAAGCTAAGTGAGGCGAGAACGGTTTGTTCTTTCTAGAACAAGTGCATTGCGTTTAATTAGTTTTACAAATAAAATCCTCAAATTTCAGTGTTTTCTAAACAGTATATTAAAAAGTAAGTAGATTTCAAAATTTGGCTTCGAAATATTTTAAATAAGTATTTATTTTTTATTATAATATTAAATCCATCACACAATTAGAATATGTACAAAGACACAAAAAAAGCCAATGCTTTAATGATTTTTATATTTAAAATCAAAATTAATGATGAAAGTAATCTTAATGCGCAGTGCGCACTTCGTTGCATCAGTCATCAATCATCATTCCGTAGTGGCCACCATTTTGCGAGCTAATTTCTTAGTAGCGAGTTACGACGTGATTCATCGTTTTTGTGAAATCGAACTTAGAACTAGACGAAGAAATTAGTTTACTTGCTCATAGAGGACTGTTCACTGTGCATTTGGGCAACAAGCAACATCCAACAACATGGATGTTCCATTGCCACTTTAAAGCTTGATGGTATTTGAAAAACAAAAATCTACAATTGCAAGAATATTATTATGATACCCTAAGTTCCTAATTAGCGTAAGACTGTACAATCTTCTAAACTCAGAGTAAAATACAAAATTTTTTGACACGTCGCGAATCATACCCTTATATCGTGTTTTAGATGAATGAATTAATACTATTAAAGTGTTATTATACTAACATGACACAATCGTAACACTCAACTATAAATGTTATACTTTGTTTCAGATCAAAATGCAGATATTTGTAAAGACCCTGACTGGCAAGACCATCACTCTGGAAGTAGAGCCATCAGACTCAATTGAAAATGTGAAGGCAAAGATTCAAGACAAAGAAGGCATCCCTCCAGACCAACAAAGACTCATCTTTGCTGGTAAGCAACTTGAAGATGGCCGCACCTTGTCTGATTATAATATTCAGAAGGAATCTACTCTGCATTTGGTTTTGCGATTGAGAGGTGGTATGCAGATTTTTGTAAAGACCTTGACTGGCAAGACCATCACTCTGGAAGTAGAGGCATCGGATACAATTGAGAATGTGAAGGCAAAGATTCAAGACAAAGAAGGCATCCCTCCAGACCAACAAAGGCTTATTTTTGCCGGCAAGCAACTTGAAGACGGCCGCACCTTATCTGATTACAATATCCAGAAGGAATCCACTCTGCACTTGGTTTTGCGTTTAAGAGGTGGTATGCAGATATTTGTAAAGACACTGACTGGCAAGACTATCACTCTGGAAGTAGAGCCATCAGACTCAATTGAAAATGTAAAGGCAAAGATTCAAGACAAAGAAGGCATCCCTCCAGACCAACAAAGACTCATCTTTGCTGGTAAGCAACTTGAAGATGGCCGCACCTTGTCTGATTATAATATTCAGAAGGAATCTACTCTGCATTTGGTTTTGCGATTGAGAGGTGGTATGCAGATTTTTGTAAAGACCTTGACTGGCAAGACCATCACTCTGGAAGTAGAGGCATCGGATACAATTGAGAATGTGAAGGCAAAGATTCAAGACAAAGAAGGCATCCCTCCAGACCAACAAAGGCTTATTTTTGCCGGCAAGCAACTTGAAGACGGCCGCACCTTATCTGATTACAATATCCAGAAGGAATCCACTCTGCACTTGGTTTTGCGTTTAAGAGGTGGTATGCAGATATTTGTAAAGACACTGACTGGCAAGACTATCACTCTGGAAGTAGAGGCATCAGACACAATTGAAAATGTGAAGGCAAAGATTCAAGACAAAGAAGGCATCCCTCCAGACCAACAAAGGCTCATTTTTGCCGGTAAACAGCTTGAAGATGGCCGCACCTTGTCTGATTATAATATTCAGAAGGAATCTACTCTGCATTTGGTATTGCGATTGAGAGGTGGTATGCAGATATTTGTAAAGACCCTGACTGGCAAGACTATCACTCTGGAAGTAGAGGCATCAGACACAATTGAGAATGTCAAGGCAAAGATTCAAGACAAAGAAGGCATTCCTCCAGACCAACAAAGGCTCATTTTTGCCGGTAAACAGCTTGAAGACGGCCGCACCTTGTCTGATTATAATATTCAGAAGGAATCTACTCTGCATTTGGTTTTGCGATTGAGAGGTGGTATGCAGATTTTTGTAAAGACCTTGACTGGCAAGACCATCACTCTGGAAGTAGAGGCATCAGACACAATTGAGAATGTGAAGGCAAAGATTCAAGACAAAGAAGGCATCCCTCCAGACCAACAAAGGCTCATTTTTGCCGGTAAACAGCTTGAAGACGGTCGCACCTTGTCTGATTATAATATTCAGAAGGAATCTACTCTGCATTTGGTTTTGCGATTGAGAGGTGGTATGCAGATATTTGTAAAGACCCTGACTGGCAAGACTATCACTCTGGAAGTAGAGGCATCGGATACAATTGAGAATGTGAAGGCAAAGATTCAAGACAAAGAAGGCATCCCTCCAGACCAACAAAGGCTCATTTTTGCCGGTAAACAGCTTGAAGACGGCCGCACCTTGTCTGATTATAATATTCAGAAGGAATCCACTCTGCACTTGGTTTTGCGTTTAAGAGGTGGTATGCAGATATTTGTAAAGACCCTGACTGGCAAGACTATCACTCTGGAAGTAGAGGCATCAGACACAATTGAGAATGTGAAGGCAAAGATTCAAGACAAAGAAGGCATCCCTCCAGACCAACAAAGGCTCATTTTTGCCGGTAAACAGCTTGAAGATGGCCGCACCTTGTCTGATTATAATATTCAGAAGGAATCTACTCTGCATTTGGTATTGCGATTGAGAGGTGGTATGCAGATATTTGTAAAGACCCTAACTGGCAAGACTATCACTTTGGAAGTAGAGGCATCAGACACAATTGAGAATGTGAAGGCAAAGATTCAAGACAAAGAAGGCATCCCTCCAGACCAACAAAGGCTCATTTTTGCCGGTAAACAGCTTGAAGACGGCCGCACCTTGTCTGATTATAATATTCAGAAGGAATCTACTCTGCATTTGGTTTTGCGATTGAGAGGTGGTATGCAGATTTTTGTAAAGACCTTGACTGGCAAGACCATCACTCTGGAAGTAGAGGCATCAGACACAATTGAGAATGTGAAGGCAAAGATTCAAGACAAAGAAGGCATCCCTCCAGACCAACAAAGGCTCATTTTTGCCGGTAAACAGCTTGAAGACGGTCGCACCTTGTCTGATTATAATATTCAGAAGGAATCTACTCTGCATTTGGTTTTGCGATTGAGAGGTGGTATGCAGATATTTGTAAAGACCCTGACTGGCAAGACTATCACTCTGGAAGTAGAGGCATCAGACACAATTGAGAATGTGAAGGCAAAGATTCAAGACAAAGAAGGCATTCCTCCAGACCAACAAAGGCTCATTTTTGCCGGTAAACAGCTTGAAGACGGTCGCACCTTGTCTGATTATAATATTCAGAAGGAGTCTACTCTGCATTTGGTATTGCGTCTGAGAGGCGGAAGTTAATTCTAATATTGTAATGAAATTTACTTACAATCTTAATAAAAATAATATAATATACAATTTTAGTGTCTTTTATTATAAAATTTGAGGTATCTATAATAAGTTTTATCCTGTCATACTAAGTGTTTTAATGCAATAAATATATAGAATATCTTTTATAGTGATATCAGTTTCAAGTAATAAATATTATTAAACTAATAAAAATGATTAACGGGACATAATGATTCATAAGTAATGCATAGTTTATCGGAACTCCAGTGTAATATGTACACATATAAAATATTATAATGTACGTAATAAAAAAATTAGGAGAGGGTTTGCATTAAGAGTTTAAAATAGTAAAATGTATTTCATAGTCTGTGATCATAGATCACAAGCTACCATTTTTTGACATGTCAGAGATGACAAACCTTTTGGCCAGGCATATTTTTCAATTTCAATACGAGTCTGAACATCTGAGACCTGAGTCTATTCTTACATTTTATTTATTAGAAAATGTATCACATTAAAAGTGGTTTTATGGTGAGTGATAATTACGTCCCTTTTCATCACTAACAGTAAAAACGCATAAGTAAAGATAACATTTTATTTTATAAAAGGTTTACTAAGCCTGTTATTAGTGGGCAGTGATGCTAGCTAGAGAATAAAATTAAGTAATTAAAGTTAATTCGATATATTGTCCGTGATATTGAAATATTTGCTTTTTTTAGTATTAGGGCACTTGACTTAGTAAATATTTTGATTTACCTTTTTGTAGATAGAACGTAAAAATACGTCGCATTTTATTTTTTATTGCCTTCAAATGGGTCAAATTTGTAGCAACACTTTTGAAATGTCAGAATTCTACGGAATTAAAAATCAGTTATCAGAGTGTAACTAAACAATTTTTTTCGTTTAAATTAGATTAACGTCAGGATAAATATAATGCATGTTTTTACAAAATATTTTAATTTTTAGGTAAAGTTTAAACATGGCAGTCTCCATTCGTATAATGATAAATAGAGCACTCTTTCTCATATTACCTCTATTTTATATTGGTGACTGTAAGTGGATATATTTAATAATAATAATTTTATATTGTTGTAACTCTTACAGGAATCTTTATATCTATAAAGATTTCTTGCATTATATTTAATTTAGCATTTCAGAATTTACTTTAAGTTTGCCTTATTCTCTTAAGTGGTCAAAAGCTTTCATGTAGGTTCGAACAAAAAAAAATTTGTTGGGAAGTAAAAGCTCTAATCTATTATATTTGTTTGAATTTTATATAATAACATAAAAAAACATTCTATTGTAATTTGAAATTGTTTGAAGTGTACTGTTTTAGGAAAAAATTCAGGAATTATGAGTATATAATTATTTAGTTTTGATAGTAATGATGGTTTTAATTTTTAAGGCTCAATTCATCATAATTTGCGGTACTTTGAAACTCTTCATGCATCCAATCTTAAACACCACATAGTGAAGAGGGGCACAAAACAATCAACACACCCCTTTAATACTATCAAGGAGCTAAATTTTCACACTCTCGGAAAAGATTTTAAATTAATCTTACATCCTCACAACAGTGTTCTTCACTCTAACTTCAGAGCATATGCTGTGGATGGTGATGGAAATAAAACTGCTGTTCACATTGGTACGGAAATAATTTCCAATAATACTTCTTACATAGTCTGTTCATAGAATGAAGAAACAGTTTTTATACAACTTAAATAATCCTTAGCTCTATACAAAAATTTATTTAAAATTATTGGTTTTCAGACCGCAATAACTTCTACACAGGCAGGGTATTTGGTCAGACATCTTCAGAAGTCAAAATGCACATAGAGGATGGTGTTATTACAGGAATTATCCATACTCCTGATGAGACATACCACATTGAGGTAATTATATGTCCTTTTTTATTCCTCATATCAAATTTAAATCCTTTTCTGCTTCACCTAGAATCTAGATGTTACTGTGCTGTGATTATATTTCAGTAATTGTTAGGGTTTTTTGTGTTCTATAACAATGGAAAACATGCATATTGCATTGTGGTGATATGTTTAAGTAAACATAGTTATTTATTTACACAGCCATCCTGGCGTCACCTACCTCACTTGGATAAAAAAAGCATGATATCATATCGCTCGTCTGATATTCTCTTCAGTTGGGAAAACACTGGCGGTAACAAGCCACGTGTGTGTGGTTATGTAAAAGAGGGAAAAGGTAAATAATAATAATCATATTATATAAAATAACTTTTTTTTTTTTTTTAATGGAGCGCATCGTGCAATCAGTCTTCTGACTATGAGCAGATGAGTTGTAGGATGGTTTGCGGGTGGAGATATTCCTCATTAGGAATATCTACCATAATAATATTAGCTCAGTCAATGCTGCTGAGCTCCAAGGTTCTTCGTCTTTTGAGTCGGTTTATATACTCCGGTAGGGTGAGTTGAACAGCTAGGTGGTTAGGATGATATTCCAGCCTAGTCTTGTACTTCTGAGCGTATACTTTTATTTCCTCCTTGACTGTAGGTATGCCTAGGTGTTCATGTGCTTCAGCGTTTCTTATGAACCAAGGCGAGTTGCTTATTTGTTTAAGGATGTAGTTTTGTGTTCTTTGAATTTTAGTTTTGTTAGAGTCACATGTAGCTCCCCACAATTGTATCCCGTAGGTCCACACGGGTTTTATAACAGAATTGTAGATAAGGAGTTTGTTGTCGATGGACAATTTCGAGTTTCTACCCAGTAACCAGTACAGCCTCTTATATTTAATGTTGATCTCACGCCGTTTTGTTTCGATGTGTTTTTGCCATGTCAATCTACGGTCCAAGTGCAGTCCAAGATCACTCAAGTCACTCAGAGGCAGTTCCTTTCCTCCTAGGCTTACAGGGGGGCATGTCTTTCTTCGCAGTGTGAATGTCACCTGTACTGATTTGCTAGTGTTCACCCTAATTCTCCACCTATCGAACCAGTTGCTTATTTCATCTAGGCTTCGCTGCAGCTTTAACGTGGCTTCTTCGGGTTGTTTACTTGAAGCTAGGACTGCCGTATCGTCTGCATAGGTTGCAATGTTGACTTCAGAGGTACGCGGTAGATCTGAGGTATATATGGTGTACAGCACTGGGCCAAGTACAGAGCCTTGAGGTACCCCTGCAAGTATATCATGAAAACCTGATGTACAATCCATCTCTTTCACTTGGAATATTCTATCGGTGATATAAGACTCTAGGATTCCATAGAAAGTATGAGGCAGAAGTGACTTGATCTTGCATAAGAGCCCCTTGTGCCATACGCGATCGAATGCTTGTTGAACGTCCAGAAAAGCTGAGGAGCAGTACTCTTTTAGCTCAAGGCTATTGCTTATGAATTTACACACCCTGTGAGTTTGTTCGATAGTGCCGTGTTGTGCTCTAAACCCGAATTGGTGATGTGGAATTATAGAATTTTCATGAATAGCTTGCGAGAGCCGTCGTAGTAGTACCTTCTCCAGTGCTTTAGAGACGATCGGGAGAAGACTTATAGGTCGGTAAGATGAGACGTCATGTGGCGATTTCCCGGGCTTATGGACCATAATCACCTGAGAGACCTTCCATAGCGCTGGAAAGTATCCAACACTTATAATCCGGTTGAATAGGGTCGTCAAGTAAGTTATAGCCTTACGAGGTAATTCGGAGAGAACCTTTTTGTCAATGAGGTCAAAACCTGGTGCCTTCCTATTCTCCATTTGTTGTATGGTTCTTTGTACCTCCCTTGGTGTTACTATCTTCAAGGGCAAATGCAATTGGAAATCCTGCTGGAGAATGTCATCTATTTCTGCCTCATCCGACCCAGGAGTGGCTTCATTTGGAACAAATACTTTAGCCAGATGGTCAGCAAAAGCATTTGCTTTTTCTAGTTTAGATCTAGCCCACTTGTTTCTATCTAGTCTTATAGGTGGTTTAGGGTTTGTGGGTTGATTCAGATTTTTGCATGCCTTCCAGAGAGAGTAGTCGGTGTCTGTTGTAGCTGTTAACGACATCAGGTTTTCCTCAATAGTAGCATCTAGATTTTCTTTTATAGCCTGTTTAAGGTGTTTAGCGTAGATGTTTAGTGCTGTTTTATCATCGGGATGACGACTATTGTGCCACACTCTACGTAATCTTCTCTTCTCCAGGATCATGTCATGAATTTCGTGGGGTACAGAAAGCTGTCTGGTCTTTTTCTGAGCCATTCCCTCAGAACTCCTCCAGCATGCGTCCTGCACCACTCTCGTAAATGCCAAGACTGCACTATCTATTTCCTCCTTACTCTTTAGTGAAATCCGTAATTGTAGGGCGTCCTCTACGAGGTCACGAAACATTTGCCAATTTGTTCTCCTGTTATACAGTTTTGGTTTCCGTTGGCACTCCAGAATATTGGTACTAATAGTTAAGATCACCGGGATGTGAGCTGAAGAACCATCGAGAAAGCCATCAATGTGATAAAACAGTCGTGAGAGACCCTTCATTAAAAAGAAGTCCAGGACATCAGGCAATCTTCCAGGGTCGCTTGGCCAGTGAGTTGGCTCGGCGGTGGAGATTGTTGTTAAGTGGTTTTTATCAACGCATTTTTAAAGTTCTCTACCACGCGTGGTTATCAATCTCGACCCCCAGTGCAGATGCTTTGAATTCCAAACAGACTGTTAATATATGTGGTGAAGTGTTCCTCAGTTATAACGTGCTTTGGAGGACAATAAACCGAGGAGATACAGAAATTCCCATTTTCATCCTGGATATTTATTGAGGTGGCTTGAATGGATTCCGATCGAAATTGTGGAAGTTCATAGTGTTCAGTGGAGGATCTAATTATAATAGCTGTGCCTCCATGTGCAGTGCCATCGGGATGATTTGTTGTGTACACATTGTAGTTTTGTACATGTATTTGGCTGTTGGATGTAAGGTGCGCCTCAGAAATAAGCAAGGCATCCAGATTATGCATTTTTAGCAGGATTTCAGCTTCATTTTTCTTAGGCGATAGACCATCTATGTTCCATGTAGCAATTTTGAGTTTATTTATTTTTATGGTAATTTGTTAACTAGTGTAGTCAAGAGCCCCAGAATGGTGCTCATTTGTTGTAGGATTGTATCAATTTTTTGTGATTGTTTTATAAATATTTCCTCAATTCTATTATTCAGTGATTGTTGACTGGCTTCTGGTACAGATTGTTGGTTTGTACCTTGGACTAAATGATTACTTTTAGCCACTTCATTATATCTCTTAGGCGTATTTATTGTGGGTGGGTTCGGGGGTTGGTTTGTAGGTTGGGGGTTTGGGCTTATACCACTATTGGGAGAGCTTGACGTAGGAGCTTTTCTTGCGCTTAGAGACGAGCGCTGTGTTTTTCTGGCTAGAATTTCTTTATATACCTCGCAACCTTTATAATTCGCAGGGTGAGGGCCGAGACATAGGGCACATTTTGCTGGGGTACTGCGGTCCACTTTAGGACAATCTTTGGTTAAGTGTGATTCTGCGCATTTGAGGCAACGACCTGGTCTCATGCAGTAGTTTTTGGTGTGCCCATACTGCTGGCATCTTTGACACTGTACTATAGTGGTCCTCTTTTTTGGGTCTTCTATAGTAACAATTTGGTGGAAAATATGTCTGATTTCCTTGGCTGCTTTATTATGCTGACTAGGTTGCAGGTTTACAAAGAAAGTTGAGGTAGGTTTTTTATCAGGCCCAAATCTGGGATTGATAATCTCTCCAACTACTGTTTGCCGTTTTCTCAAATTCAGCTTTTATAACATCAAGTGGAGTAGTGTGGTGCAAGTTTCTTACTACCAGTCTGTAGTTTCTGTCTTCTTTTCGATTGAATGTATGGCCAATGAGACCCTTCTCTCTTACAGCTGTAATAAGTTTTTTGTAAACATCTATGTCTTCACTCATAATTCTTATTTGTGTTTTGTTTACTATCTTAAACTTGAATGTGGTTCTTTCAGTTGCAGATTCGAGAAATTCCGTCAGTTTATTGACATCTTGGACTCCATATAGTATGATTGGAGGTGGATTGCTGGGCTTCTTTCCTTTGGTTTGGGTAGGTTCTTCAACGAGAGTTAGTCCATCGAACATGTTCGAAGTAGCTACACTTTCGGGGGACTGATTTGAGAGTTTCCTTTTTTTATTCGGCTTTCTATTTACTGGAGCCGTTTGCCATTCAGGCAAGTTGGTGTCGCAGGTTACTTCTTGAGAGCTTTGTGGTTCCTTCTCCTCATTTCTGGTAGGCAGTAAACTCCCAACCGATACACTTCTCTGTCTTATAAACAGGCTTGGATGGAAGGCTTGTTGTACATATTTCTTACTTTGACCAGTAGCATTCACTGTCACGGGGGCCTGGGTACCCACCCTCGTGGAGTCTTCGGTAGCCAATTTCACACTTTCAGCTACCTCCATTCTGCATCTTGATGAATTAAACTAGTTAATATTCATTTTAATTAAGAATGCAAAATTTGCAGGTAGATTCAAAAGTGTTCACTTTAATGTTCGACTAAGATCTTGCGTTTAGACGTATAACAATAGATTATTTCAATAACTTAATAACGAACTCGTAGTGTACAATCACTGATTACAAGATTATGAGCAATCACACACGCAATTCTATTATAAAAGTTTATTGTTGACCGACGCGACGCGACGTTGTTCGCGCGAGTTGTAAGACTATATTATAACTAACTATAACTGACACACCATACAGTTTTTATTAAATATTAAATGCATCAGATGGTTTCAGTTTCTCGTTATGCAACATAAATCATTTAAGTTTATTACATTCCAGAATTAGAAAATGAAGCAGAAGACGAGAATGAAGACTTAGAAACAATACAAGAACAGTCAGAAAAAGATAAGTACTTAAGGACACAGAATAAAAACAAACAAGCAGACACTAGTAATGTACAGACTGACACTAAAAGTGGGAAGAGAGTGAAGAGGCAAAGTGACTATGAGTACACTCCAACTAAAACTCGATGTCCATTACTCCTGGTAGCCGACTATAGATTCTTTCAAGAAATGGGTTCCAGTAATACTAAAACTACAATCAGTTACTTGGTAAGATATACATAATCCTATCTCATTATTTTCAAGTAACTTAATAATTGTTTATATAAAATTCTCGTGTCACAATGTTCGTTCCCGTACTCCTCTGAAACGGCTCGACCAATTCTTATGAATTTTTTTTATGCATATTCAGTAAGTCTGAGAATCTGTACTATCTATCTTTCAAACTCCTTAATGTTAAGGGTGGGTCCACCCCTAAATTTTTATTTTCATTTTTTAGATAAAAATTTTTGTTAATATTTTTTTATGATACAGCATACAAAAATACATACAACGCTTAATTTTCATCTACCCTCTACGATCAATCCTTATTTTTTATTTGTTAGTTAAGAACTTATAACTTGAATTTGGGGTTTATATAGAGAAAAATCACAGAAAAACCTAAAAAGTTTTTATTCCGGAAAACCAAACAGTCTCTGGGATAGCATAGCAAAATGTTCCATGTTGGTATGTACTAAAAAGGTAGGCTAGGCATTAAGGAGAAACGAAGTTCGCGGATGCAGCTAGTATTATATGTAATACTAATTTTGTTACTATTTTACAGATAAGCCTAATAGACCGTGTACATAAGATTTACAATGACACCATTTGGCAGGACAGACAGGTTAGATGATTAAATATTTTTTCCATCACTTGATCAGCCTTCTCAGATATATTTTTGTTTTTCTTATAAAAATAAAGTCTCAATAATTAAGTATGTAGTTATGAACTATGAAGGTTATTGTAATGTCCTGCTTCTTGGAGTGATTTACGGCTCACCAACACCACATTACTTGTACAAACGTCCTACACACAACCGCTCCGTTCGGATGTCGGATTACGACTGACTGTCTGACAAGTGACGTAGGCGCATGAGACAACCAAGTAACACTTTATTTAGTCAATACACTACATCCCTTTTTTGTTTTATTTGTTTTTATTGATTATATCTTTCTGATTACTCATTAATGTAACTTGGATGTAATGTGATGGATTTTACATGAATCAAACATAATTAATGAAATTAAAGTTTTATGCAGCTACCTAGTGTAGGTTAAGTTCCGACATTGATTTCCTCGTCGTTAACTTCATTTCTTTTCAGACATTCCATTCCCCTTGAACTCTTTTCAAATGTACAACGTCTCTTCTTCGAGTTTGACCGGTTTCATCGTTTCTTACCGTGATATCTCCTCCTTTCGTGATTTCCACCGTGTGTGTTTCTGGATTTATTTATTTTATTTTTATTTTTATTTATTTCCTTTATTTATATTTTTATATACACTATGTCTCCTGGTATAGAATCACACTATCCAGCCTTCCGTTTATCGTATCCGATTTGTTTTCCAAATTTGTTTTTCTTTTTTTTTCTCTATCCTTAACCTTAGTGTCTTGTGCTGTCCTCTCTATTGTATCGTTTACCATAGGTAATTTATCTCTAAACTTCCTTTTGAAGAAGTTCTGATGAGGTTCTTTCAGTAACAGAATGTGTTGTACATGGTTAAATATTTCAGTAAACTTTCCTTCCAGTCTTTATTTTCAGCTATACTTATTTTAAGACGTTTAAGTATGACACAGTTTTGTCTTTCGACCTCTCCGCTTTGTCGCAGCCAATATGGTACTGTATTGAAAAGAATAATGTTTATTTCTGTTAGAAATGATTTAAACTCTTCGCTGAGTAACTGTCTTCTATTATCTGCAGTTATTGATTTCCTAATCGACTGAATATTCCTTTAAGTTTGGCTACAATTTCAGTAGAGGTAATTTTGCGACAAATCTTCACTTCTTTATAATATGTTGTCACCACTTGTAATGAATTGCGATATCAATCCAAAGCACTTCTGGAAACTCACGCCGTTTTATAGGGTTTTGTGGACATGGTGCAGATACTAGAGTACATCCTTTACAGGCTTTAACAATTTTATCAGCCTCTGTCGCATCTAGGCCACCAGACTTTCGTACGAAGTCTCGCCTTCATTGACACGATACCGGGATGTCCCTCGTGAGCTGCATCCAATACTCTTTTACGGAGTGCCGAAGGAACCACAATTCTCATTCCTCTCAATAATATACCCTCATGAAAACAAAGTTCATTTTGTAAGATTTTATACAACTTCACATCGTCGTTCCATATGTTTCGATATAAACCCTCTTTCACGATTAATATTTTCCTATCGTCCATTGTGCTATCTATTATTTCTTTAATAGAAACAGCACGAGGTCGGGCAAACTCTACAATATGACAAATGTGATTGTCTTCCAATTTTATCAGGGATTTCTCCGCATTTTTGCTTATTTGTTGTCTCGACAATGAGTCGGCAATATTGGTTTTCCCTGGTTGGTAAACTATTTTATAGTCGTACGATTGTAAGCGCATAACCCATCTCTCTATCCCTGCACATGGTTTAGATTTAGGACCAAATATTACCTCCAACGGCTTGTGATCTCTTATAAGTTCAAATCTTTTACTATAAAGGAATATGTGGAAATGTTCCACCGCCCACACGAGAATTAACGCTTCTTTTTCTATCTGGCAATAGCGGCGTTCACAGTCAGTCAGAGTTTTGTGGCCATATGCAATAATCCTGGGCTCACCTTTGGAATTAGTTTGAACTAAAACTCCACCTAAATCAACAGGACTAGCATCTGCTATGACAATCGTACGATCGCTAACATTATAATACCCTAAGCTAGGAATATTTGTCATGATTTCCTTCAACGACTTAAAATACCCCTTTTGTTCTGGTCCCCAGTTTTTGGTTACATGATATGACAAACATGAGTCTCTTGTATCTTAATAAGCCTTTACTGGTTATAAAGGTGGTTGTTTCTTGAAGCAGGATCTATGTATTCAAGTTGGTGAAATGCATCTTTAATATCCAATATTGTATCGTCGGCAATGGGTAATTTTCTCGTACAATGGCTCCCATCGTGCACCCATTGAGGTAGATTTACCGTTACAGTCAAACTTTTCCAGTAAAGGAGTGACATCTTTGGGGCGACCAGGAATTTATCAATTTAATGATTCAGATCTTGTGTGAATTTAATGATCGGATTATATTTTTATCCGCATAAATCTACTTAAGCTGTTCATACCAACAAACGTATAAATTGAATTATCAGATCTGCTAAGTTAGTACCCAATAACGTACAATAATAATTTTATTGTAAAGCTTTTATTTTATTTATTGGTATCAATTTAATGATCAGAATTTTAATCTGCTTTTGTTTTTATTTACTGATATCAATTTAATGATCAGAATTTTAATCTGCTTTTGTTTTTATTTACTGGTATTAATTTAATGATCATACCTTTAATCTGCTTTTGTTTTTATTTACTGGTATCAATTTAATGATCAGACTTTTAATCTGCTTTTATTTTTATTTACTGGTATCAATTTAATGATCAGACTTTTAGTCTGCTTTTATTTTTATTTACTGGCATCAATTTAATGATCAGACTTTCAGTCTGCTTTTATTTTTATTTACAGGTATCAATTTAATGATCAGACTTTTAGTCTGCTTTTATTTTTATTTACAGATATCAATTTAATGATCAGACTTTTAGTCTGCTTTTATTTCTATTTACTGGCATCAATTTAATGATCAGACTTTTAGTCTGCTTTTATTTTTATTTACTGGCATCAATTTAATGATCAGACTTTTAGTCTGCTTTTATTTTTATTTACTGACATCAATTTAATGATCAGACTTTTAGTCTGCTTTTATTTTTTATTTACAGGTATAAATTTAATGATCAGTTGGGTTCCAACTGCTTTGAGTAGATACTCCCTTTTGTTTTACAGTATTAATCACAACCACATAGTTTTAATTAATTTAGTGAACCAGATCCAATTTAGGGTCTTTGTTAAATCTGCGTTAGTTAGGTAGACAGGTACCTACCGATTTAACGGTCAACGGTTGTAAATAAACCTTGCTATTCTTTTTATTATTATTATATTTTTTTTTTGTAGACAAATAGAAACATCACTAAACACAAGCATAATCTTAGTATATATAAATTACTGGTCACATTGTTTGTCCGCTATGGACTCCTAAACTACCGAACCGATATCAATCAAATTTGCACACCGTGTGCAGTTTGATCTAACTTAAAAGATACTAGGATACATCTCAATTTATACCCGCAATATTATTTTATTGCAAAATATTTGTTTCTTATTTAATAGTCACCATTCTAACAGATGGCGCTGTGTTACAAGTACCAACGTTTCATATAATTCTTTCAACGTTTCTACAATTTAATTTCATAAAGCATGGGGGTCCCCATGACTGGTGTTTTCCTACCGTTTCCCTTGAATAGTTTACTACTTTGTAATATAACAAAACCCTTAGCCACAGCAACGCTTGGCCGGTCTACTAGTACAATATATTTCTATCAGTATGTAGGTAGGTGCTACAAAACAATCGTACATTCAATGTAGGTACCCGTAGTTTAGATTAGCAGAACCTATAGGTAATTATTTGTTTATATCCTTAGCCCAGTAATTGCAGAGGTTTGTTGCTTACTGTTTAAATGTAGGTACGACAATATTAAATATTGTAATACAAGCAAAACATTTATAAAATGTGAAAACAATAAGTACCTAAGTGCTGTTCATAATTCCCGTCAACAATAAAATTATCTACATTTGTTCAGAAGCCAAGATGCAACTGTTTCTGCTATCAATAGCTAATGATTAAAACAACCGGGTCATAGTAAATTATAGGCAAAGTACTCTGGGAATGATGTCACTTGTTTAGTGCACCGTATCTTTCCCTTTTTTTTTCTTTTTTACTTATGTGTACTCACTTTTTTCCTCGTCGCCACATGTAATGTCCTGCTTCTTGGAGTGATTTACGGCTCACCAACACCACATTACTTGTACAAACGTCCTACACACAACCGCTCCGTTCGGATGTCGGATTACGACTGACTGTCTGACAAGTGACGTAGGCGCATGAGACAACCAAGTAACACTTTATTTAGTCAATACACTACAGTTATCATTTTATATCGGTAACGGGCGATCATGTTGCGAATTTAATCGAATTTTAATATCGCTGGTGAATCCACGTGTAATTATAAATTTAAAATAAATAATAATTATAGGACATGGACGGATTTAAAGGTATGGGGTTCGTAATAAAGAAGATTTTGGTCCACTCGGAACCCACTCGAGTTCGAGGCGGAGAAGCTCATTATAATATGGTCAGAGAAAAGTGGGATGTGCGAAACTTACTTGAGGTAAGTCTTATCTATTAATATATTTTATTAATTAGTTTTTTAAAATTTATCATTTATTTAAAATCTTTAGTAATGTAAAAATGTACTTACCTTAATAAATGATGTCGGTTTAATGCGGCAATAAAGTGAATTTTCTTTTAGTGAATTACTTAATTATACATGACAAATAATTAAATTATAAATATAGGTATTTAGTCGCGAATACTCACACAAGGATTTCTGTCTGGCGCATCTGTTTACCGACTTAAAATTTGAGGGTGGTATTCTCGGTCTGGCTTATGTGGGTTCGCCGAGAAGAAACTCCGTCGGCGGTATTTGTACGCCAGGTATGATTTTCTCCCACTTGGAGATTATTTCGAACAAACAATCTTGAATTAAGTAAATGAAAGCATTTTAATTATAGTTTTTTTTTCATTAGGATTTTTTGTAGTATCCTGAGAAATAAGTTTGAGATATAAAAACGATCTCCATATCCATAATAACTACATCAGCCTAATTACACCGTTTAAATAGCATTAAGCTATCTCTATTCATTAACGCGGAAATACAACTTGAGGGAAAGAGACAAGAGTACTATAGTTGATACAGTACAATAACTTAAAAGCACTCTTTTTTCTCTTTCTCTCAAATTCGGTTTACACTGTGATGAAAAGAGACATAAGTTTAGTTAAAATGGAGCAAATATTCTGATTTATTTCTTATAAATAAGAGGATAATTTTATAGAGTTTGTACGTTCTTCAATTATATAAAGACGGTAACTGTGTAAATTAGAAAAAAGATATGCTGATTTGTAGAATTTTAGAGTAGCTTTTTTATAGTTGTGTTACCTTAATATATTTTCGCTTATTTTTATGTTTTATTTTATGTTAATGTTGATTTTTATTTCCAGCTCTTTTGGGTGTGAGATGTGAGTGTCTTTTTGTTGCTTTATAATTTTGTTTATTTGTTGTTAATATATATTACTTGTAATTTAAAAAAATTGTAACATAAATATGGTGACGGATTATTATTAATGTGAAATTGTGATATATAACGTGTTTCATAATTTCTTTTACTCCAACTATAATATTAAGGGTCTGTTTAACAATGTATGGATGGAACCAAATAGCTATGCAACACATAAATTATTTGGAAGATAAATTGTGCTATTTGACACTTCATCGGACTCATAATTTATGATGGACTTTATGTGACGAATAGCGCTATCTGACAGTCGTGAAACATAGCTAATTTGGAACTTAGGTAGAACTTATCCGTACATTGTGAAACAGACCCTGAATATTATAAAATTATTTTTTCAGAAAATTTTATCATAATGATTATTATATATAACTTATTATTTTGAAATTTTTCGTTATGAAGTTTTTCGTACGTATTTCTCATAGTTCATTAGATACTAACACCTATGATTCTAGATTCCTATTAATTATTCTAGAATACTTCAAAAATGGTTATACATTATACTTAAACTCTGGCTTGAGTTCTTCTCGCAACCATTACGGCCAGCGCGTGATTACTCGTGAAGCGGATTTGGTGACTGCGCATGAGTTTGGACACAATTGGGGCTCCGAGCATGACCCTGACGTGGCTGAATGCTCCCCAGCTGCCAGTCATGGGGGCTCCTACCTTATGTATACGTATAGTGTCAGCGGGTACGACTTGAATAATAAGGTGCCAAAATATTAGCATTTTATCTTAAAACCCATATAGTCCTTTGTTTATTGTCCCTCAAAAGCGGGCAACGCACCCACTGAAATGGGTCCCTCAAGAAAGATGTCGACAAATTACGAAACATTTAAATAAAACATCTCAACGGTTATAGATACGAATTTATATTTTTTTTACATAAGTTTCGAGTTTTTTAAAGCATCGTAGATAAAGAGGCTCTCGTGGACTTATATATAATGTAATAAATTCTCGTTTGTATCCGTTATTTAAATTGAAACTGATAGGGTAGGTAAGTTTCAGAAGTCCTAGCGCTAAGTACGTACGTCAAAAATGTATTGGATTTTGCCCAGTGTCCAGTCACAGTCTTCTCACAGATGATATATTCGTTAATCTTTATTTCTTGTCTTGTAATTTATTATCCATTGTTTGTGATCATGATTATTTTGTCCAAAAACGCGTCTAAATTTGCAAGGAACGAATAACACCGGCTTTAATTTTTTGTTTTTAATGTAGAACTGTGTAATTGTTTTCGGAGTAAAATCCTAAAAATGCTGATCCTTTACATTATTCATTTAATTTTTTTTATCACTTGATAACGCTCAACTAAGAATTTTGTAAAACCCCGTAGTCTAATTGCACTATTGAACTAATTTTAATTTGACAGATAATAGACAAAACAATGACAAAACAAACAGAAAAAAGTAACAGTTAATTGTTTATAAAAATCTAAAAAATCTCACGCATTTAAAAAAATATAATGTTTAATATTTCAGAGATTTTCCCCGTGCAGCCTTCGATCCATCCGCAAAGTTTTGCAAGCAAAGTCAGGTCGATGCTTCTCTGAGCCCGAGGAGAGTTTCTGTGGAAATCTCCGGGTAGAGGGCGGAGAAGAATGTGATGCTGGATTACTTGGTAGTTATTGTGATTTTTTTAAATATAACACGGTGCCAACGGGCAGGACGCTCACCTGATGTTAAGTGATACCTCCGCCCATGGACACTAACATTGCCAGAAAGCTCTCTAGTGCGTTACCGGCCTTTAAAGCTTGGAACGCTCTTTTCTTGACCCTAAGTGGTTTTGGAAATACTACAGTGCTGTGGATACGATATTTTAATTATTACCATAATGTTGATTTTGTACCTAGCAAAAAGTTTTCTATATTTTTCACTTTATTTTCGTGGCAAAGTACCCAAAAGTTTAATTTCTAAAGTGTATAGACATGTATGCGACCTTAAAGGTACGGAGGACAACGACATGTGTTGCGACAAGAACTGCAAATTGCGAAGAGGCCAAGGCGCCGTGTGCAGCGACAAGAACTCGCCTTGTTGTGCTGGATGTGTTTTCGCTCCACCTGGCGTTGTCTGTCGCGAAGCAGCACATTCTGCTTGCGAAGGAGAGGCGACCTGTAATGGCGCATCTGCTGATTGTCCTAAGGTAAGTTAAGTTGCTATTTATAAATTGGCGATGTTTGATTATAAAAGTCTAGTGATATGGACCTTCACAATTTATAAATAATGCGAGAGAACTTCTTTATGAATACTGTACACAAAGGTAAAAGATGAAAACTTATTGAAATCTCCTACAATTAATAATTAATTATAAACCAAGTCAAACTCAAAGCCAGAGTACACATTTGTTCACTATCTAGTTCCCCAAAGACACTTTATTTTTATTAAATCCTATTGTATTAGTATACGTATGGTGGCCTGTTTCCATACACAAAGCATATTAATATTTGTAAAGAAAGAAAGAAAAATAATTTATTTGATTAAAGCACACAACTATATACGTTCTAAGATCGATAATTCACTTCACACGTATTACTTTACACGATTATAAATATACAGACTACGTCCGATAATTACAGTTTCCAAAAAAAATACTACAAACACAGTAACTTTAATAAAAAATGGGTCAAATTCCTTAAGTTTCTGTCACAAGCAACACTGATTTGAGGTCCCAGGATTAAAGGTATTTCTATTCCAAGTCAGAGATAGCTAGAGCTGAAAACATGAAGAATCTAAGCTGGTTAATAATATGCAGGCTCCGGCTATAGCGGACGAGCACGAGTGCCTTGAACGAGGAAGATGCCGCAATGGGAGTTGCGTACCCTATTGCGAGACGCAGGGCATGCACAGTTGTATGTGTGATATAGGTAAGTAAATGATTCATTAGTTTGACAATGATCTGTAATTTTTATTAAGTGTTACTAGATACGACATGTTTAAGACAAACAGAAAATGAATAAAGAAATATATGCAACCTGACCATATAGGTTGTAGCACCTCTGAATTATTATTTATTTAAAAAGGTTTGCCAACGGACATTACAATAAAAGCTTACACACACAAAAAATATTGGAAAAATGAATTGTACACTTTAACAGGAAAACACAGCGTGCTTTATACTTAGACTTTTTTATCAGAATTCTCACCAATTCTCAATGATTCTCAATGTGATCTAAATTTTTGGAAAAGATTGCTCAGCGAAACTAAGATGTGGAAGGGATCAATTTCAGGGGAAAATTGATTGACTTATACATCCTAGGATCCAATTATTATGAACTGGTATTATGTATAATATATATATTATGTATAATACCAGTGTTGGCCAAGTGGCTTAAGCGACTTTCATCCCTGAGGTCGGCTGTGCATCAATGGAATGTCTGTCTGTGTGCATTTAAGACTCGCTGGTATGGTGAAGGAAAGCAACGTGAGGAAACCGACGTGCCTAATAATACAAATGAGTTGAAAGAGTATTTGAAAGCATCCACGAATTTCTCTATTATATTTATTTTTAATTCGTAGTATTCGACTTAATGGATATTTTATTTGTAAAAATGGTATTTCAGTTGCTGATGCATGCAAGCGTTGTTGCCGCAAGAGTTTGAACAAGACGTGCTTTCCCGTCGCCCACAGTGATATTCTACCAGATGGGACACCATGTATTCAAGGATTTTGTAATAAAGTAGGTAAACGATTATCTAAACAAGTGTTCCCCAACGTGGGGCCCACGCTCCCACGGCTATTAAAAAACTTATTAAATTTTTTTTTGGAAGTTGAATTTCACTTTTTTCATTATTTTCTTCCTAAAAAGCTAACATTTAAGTGAACAATTAAATTGTTATAAATTATGTATGTTGCTCACCCCCTAGTCTCTAAATAGAAACTCAAAAGAGTACGAATAATGGTATTATTAATAATTTCAGGGCGTTTGTGAAAAGACGATCCAAGATGTGGTGGAGCGATTCTGGGACATCATAGAAGACATAAATATCAACAATGTTCTGGGTTTCCTGCGGGATAATATTGTTGGAGTCGTAGTATTGGGCACGGCTTTTATCTGGATACCCGCAAGTTGTGTGGTAAGTAATTCAATTCAGTTTTTGTTTGCAATAACTGTGTGATTTTTTTTTAACTATTTAAAAAAAAAAAATAAGCACAAAGTTAAAAATAAAAAAAAAATCAAATAGTGTTTTTACTCCAAAATTTGCTGTAGAATTGTTACTGTATTCAGTTGTAACGGCACAAGAAAGCTTAAAAAATCTTATATTAGTATTTTACCTGCAATATAATTACAATCTCTTTATTGTAAATGATAAAGTGCTAAACCAAGTTAGAGTGAAATTTAATAAGATCCAATGACAGAACAGAAATGATACTTAAACCTCAACCGCAGCTCTGAATCTTACCATAGAATTACACTATATGTTTGACATGTCTTGAATGTAAGAGAAGTAGGTATGTTATATATATGTTATATTTTATATTGTGTCCCACAAATATCATGTAAATAGCTGTTAAAAAATTATGGAATAAATCAATCCCGTTCAATTCTGCAGATAAGTTATGTGGACCGTCGAAGACAGCGGATGCAGCAGAAATACCTTGCATGGGAAAGACAACATGATCTCGTACATCCGTCATCACCGCGGAAGATACTTTACACCAGGTACTTGTATTTTATATAATTTATTTTTTGTAACTTGTATTCTAACACATCTTTGACTCAATTTAATTCCTCTAAAGTGCTTTTTGTTGGGGTTGAGTTGTGTTGGCGAAGTCTCACCGTTGACATGACTTCAACGTTCTTAGCTGTGCACCAATGATTTTTTTATGTATGGTTAGAAAAAATGACTAATTAGATGAACTAGAAACTAGTATAGCCAGTTCTGTATTAGACAAAAAAAGCCTAATCTACTTGTCTATAAAACAGATGCAATCTGAAGAGAAGGGGGACATTCAAGTATTACGTAGGCAAAGCTCTTAAAATAATAGTACATAAGCATATTAATTTTTGTAGGAATCCTCGAAAATACATCTCGTTTTCAAGCATAGATGTGGGTAATATGTGTAAAAAAGTAATTAATTACTGTTGACGTAATACTTGATCGGCCCCTAAGACCGATAGGGAATTAAGCAGAATTAAGAAATGTTTCTGTAGTGTTGAGTATATGTTTTAATTGTTGTAATTCTCATAGTAACCACTAACTATTAAAACTGATTGTAATTTCAGATTGCCGAAGCTGAAACCTCCAGGAATTAAATCGGTTATTCAAGGCTCAAGTCAACTGTAGTTTCCAGTATTTACATTTAATAATAAGGATTATATACGTATCTTAGAAATAAATAAAACAAATTAATATTGAACATTTTATTTCATTTTGATATACTCTACTAAATAGAGCATTAGCCACATACAGTGATTGATAAGTGTATTAAGCAGATAAATGTATATAAATATTGCAAATAGAATGCCTTATTAATAATAATAGCAAAATGTTTAGTTGAGTGCGGTAGACGTAAGTAGTGCGACTCCTCGTTCGTAGAAGGCGTGGGGCTCTTGTCCCGGTGCGATCGGTAGACGCACGGTGAATAGTAGCTCCGATCGCGCGCTGTTTAAGTAGACTGGCAGCGTCAGTGTTTGACCGCAGCTTGCAGGTTCCGGGCCGCTATAAGAAATACAACATTTGAATTAGAAAAAGAAAATTTGGGGAAGTATGTACGAGCCAAGGCTGTACATTTTGCTCACTCAGGCTTTCGTAGTTTTATAAGCGTAGCGATTTCCGAAATCGTCGGAGTTATGCCCCGAGAGTATAGCCAGACGCAGGCACTCTCTTCAACAGTTACGCATATTATATTCTATTGTTGTACGCAAGTGGTTAGAATAGTGTAAAAATAAAATTCTAATATTTAATAACCCGATGACCCAGGAAACCGTATAGACATTTTTTTATATCTAAAGTAATGAAACCTTTCTGATAGCGTAATTAAGAAAACACTATATTAGTAAGTCCTAAAACATCAAATTGTAGCTTGAGAATATTAATTTAACTTTATGCTAAGAGGCGCCCATCGATTGAAACTAAACTAACCTTTAAATCGCACTATCGGAACAGAAACATAAATAAATACGTATGACTGAAACTAACCGAATCCAGGTGAGAACCGTGAGCGGCAGATCGACCATGATAGTGTTTGTGAGAAGCAGCCTGTTTCCTTTGACGGTGGCGCCTTGTATCTTCAGTCCTGTTACGCAGAAGGACCACTCGGTTTGAGCGTTCTCACTCTCTGTGCCAGGATCGGGAATTGTCACCTGGAAATTTGAATATTCATTATTAACAATTACACTATTATAAGTATATTATACTGTTTCTCTCTGTGGGGCGTGGTCCCCAATTGAAAAAAGTGTTTTTTTTTGTTGAAAACAATTTCTTGTTTGTAATGTATTTGTTATTTGATTTGTATGGCTATTTGGCAATTCGAAAAATAATTACAATTATTTGGAATTTGAATTTCAGTTTTACATTATATGTTTTGAAAATTTACTTACTGTGTTTCGTAAACAATTTACTAGTAATTTATTCCTTAAACCTATAATTTAAGTTTGGTCATTACAATAAAGTTTTTGAAATATTACGTGTCTGTGAAGTTCAGTAAATCAAAAGTATACCTGTAAGTTAAGTTCTTCCAGGGACCAAGAATTGGCCTGTGCCACACACTGTCGAGTCGCCGTAATATAAGCCTCGGGGTTAAGCAGACCGCCAAGCCACACGGGGATGCTCTGCGAATGTTAAAATTAAAGTTATTGATAATCTTATTGAAAAATATGGGGCTTTATATAAAGCAACCTTCTGCATGAGCCTGAAATCTGTTAATTCTGTCAACGGGTCAAGGGTAAGGTCACGTGGCTTTTTTTAGTTTAAATAAAGTATTTAAACTAAAAAAAGGTTATATTTTATATGAATTCCGCTTCAAGCAGAAAACAGCTTTCAATGGATTCATGATGTCTAATTGACAGTTTTTGTCTTTGATATTAAATAATTTAGTGTCACGGGCGGATCGTGATTTTGTGGGGCCCTGGCCTATAACGGTGAAGTCCCAAAAAAATACAACGACCGAAAACAAGCGACGGAGAATTTCCCGTTCCATTCAATAGACGCGCATCGCACATTGATTTGATTGTTACCAGGGAATCCAGGTAATCTTAAAATTTCAGTTTTTTTTAAATTTAAAATATCGCATATTGTTTTCAGTGCGGACTGGGGGCCCCTTGTATATGGCCCTGGGCTGCAGCCAAAAAAACCCTTAAGTAGATCCGCCTAGAGAGTTTTATTTGATCCAATTATTGTCAATGTGGCTTTTACATCTTCATACCAAACATTTAGGAAATATAAAATTGAAAATCTTTAAATATCTACCTGGAGACGTTTAGCCCCGCGTTCACAAACAGTCTCAGAGACAGTCGCGAGTTGCAAAACCCTACGGGCGAAATCATCAACCCATTGCTGTACGGTGCAGCCCCTGGCTACAGCGTATCGTCTCCATCCAGATGGCAACATACCACGTACCAGAGATCCCACCATAGCGCGGGTTTCGTTTGTTTGTTTCATCTCACCCTGTCAACAGTCATTATCAGTTTTTCTAAAATTTATATCTAGGCGTAGGCTTGCTAATGGCTAAATTTATTTGCAATCAAATTCTGAATGATTCGTTAGTCGCAATAGCAGAGCAGTGAGCAGTGACTTCAGTGTGTGACTGTCATCCCTGAGGCTGTAGGACTTTCTGTCTGTTTATTTAGGTACAGAAGGCCAACCTACTTGCCTATTAGAAAAACAAATGATCACGAAACAGATACACAAATCTGAGGCCTATAAGGTTGTAGCTCAACTGGTTATTTTTGCTAAGTCAGAATTACCCAGTTTATTTTAAAAATATATCAGTTTATAACAAAAAAAAACTATGAATGCTGTATTTTTCGGACGTGGGCCTATGTGAATAAATCTTTAAAGACTATTTAGTGAACTATGATCGTAAACAATAAATTGTATTTTTTATCTACGGCTTTATGGCTATTTTGGTTTAACAGTCGATTAAATCAGAACTTTAACTTTTTGTAGGCAAGCAATATATTTAAAAAAGTGTCTTGATGTTATAAATCACGAAACAGTTACAGAAAGTCCTAAACGAAAGTTTGTAACAGTTTCTCTTGCGATATAATACGTATAATAAAGAAGATAGATCCTTCCTTAAATAATAAATAATACAAAATAGTTAGTAAGAGTTTAATATTAATAAAAAAATCTTACCTGGCAAATAGCAATGACGTTTCTCAAATCATGCAACACTTGCTGCAATAGATCTGCTCCGGCGGCTACTTCCCGCTCGAAGAATCGATACAATGGGTCCTTTATGTTCTCAACAGTACGACGCAGCGTCTAAAAATATATTAACATTATTTTCAATTACGCGATAAATAACAAAATAAAACAATTACTATTTACATATTTATAAAAGCATATATATTTATTTGAAAAAAATACATTGTCTCTTCACTAAGACATCATGGAACATTACGATCTAGCCTAACTTAAAACTAATAAGTAATTTAAAACTAACTTTATTTATTAAAAATGATATTAATATAAGAAAGTGTCCAATAACGCTTCTTACAGTTTCTATTAAGAAGAAGACACTCAGTTCTTGTGTACTTTTTTTTCCACTTCCGACTGTTTAGCACTTAAGACTAACGTGCACTCACACTAATTCACTAATTCGAAGGGTTTTGTCCTTTTCAATCTTCTCACTAAGCCCGTGGTGTCAAGAAGTTGAAAAGCCTCAACAAAACAATCACGTGTTGGTCTCACGCCTTTTTTCGTGGGCTCTAGCAATCTTTTGATATAATTCTGGGGATGTCCTCTACATTAAGATCCCGGTGAAGGTTTTTTTTGCGAATGTACCAGGGAGCATTGACTGTTCCCCTGAGCACTTTGTTTTGGCATTGTTGGACATATGAATTAATAGACAAAATATATTTTCAAAAAGATACTTACAGGTAGTTCTTTGGGCAGCACTTGAAGCCAGTTGGTAGCGGTTTGATGCAGAGACTTCATCCAAGCTGGACGACCGTCGCCTTCAACTACAATTAAATCTGTAAAAAAATTATGATTCTTTAATCATTAATTTACTAATAATTGAAAGCAAAACCTTTATTCAGAAAATCAAGTTTAAGAATTAGAAATTGCACCATGCCATGACTCTTTCGGCCAAATTAATTATGAAAAATGGGAGGACTTTTTTTTTAATAGGTAGTCCCCACCTATTAAAAAAAAGCAATTCAGTGGCGCTACAACTTTTTTAGACTGGGACTCAGATTTCTGTATCTATTTCATTACCATTTGTCAATCTAATATGCAAGATAAACCGAATTCTGCGATTTATTTTTTATTTTTATTGTCTATATTCAGCTGTGAAGTATTGTTATATTTTTCAATGGACGTCTGCCAAAATGGATGTTATATATGTTATGTAAATTTATGTTAGAAATTAAAACTAGTTAAAAAAAGCGTAAATTTAAATCCACAATTCAATTTTATCTGTAAAAAAATCGCAATATGTTTAGAGATAGAGGTGCAGGTTAAAATGTGTTTAAATATTTTTGATAGACAACGCGGTTAGGCCTTGGTTTGAAAGTCGTGAATAATTTAAAAAGAACTTACTGATTGGGTCGTCTTGATTAGCGGCGTTATAAGCAAGCTCCTCTTCATCTTCAAGTTGCTGCATCTTCAGAAGTTTAGATACAAGGTCGCTTCCTTGAGTTGTCAATAGGACCTATTATGAAATTTTAATTTCATTAGATATAGTACAAACACAAATTAGTAAAGAAAACATTTTTAACACTTTGAAGGGAGAAAATTAGTGTTTTGATTTAAAAAGTTGTATGTATGTCAAACTACAACTAATTAGTTTTATGATAATAATTGTACTGACGATACATATATTATGGATTATAATAACCCATCATTCTCAAATTTAAATGTAAAAAAATAAAATTACACGCCAGCAAAAACGTCATCAGAAGCAAATAGGAATATCAATTTAGATTAGAAACATTTTATATGGAAAATTATTTGCGTAGTGACGGACACAATTTCAGTTTTTACACTTATTATTTATGTAATAGGAGGCAAACGGGCAGGAGGCTCACCTGATGTTAAGTGATACCGCCGCCCATGGACACTCACACTGCAAGAAGGCTCGCAAGTGCGTTGCCGGCCTTTCAAGAATTGGTACGCTCTTTTCTTGAAGGGCCCTAAGTCGAATTGGTTCGGAAATACTTCAGTGGGCAGCTGGTCCCACATAGTGGTGGTGCGCGGCAAAAACTGTAAAATACCTTTTCAGCGTTGTTGGGTAGTCCAAGCCAGGAAGGTGATTGGCGATCAGAGAGCTCCTCTATCCACTTAAAGAATTGATCCCGTCTGTTGCCATCCGGCATTGTTATGTGACGTTGGTTGCCACTCGCCTAAATTAAATCAAATTATGTGAATTAAGTTAATGTCCTAAGAAAATTTTAAGTCTAAAATTCATTATTAAAAACATATACTATATCGTTTATATAGCAAAAATTATGTCTGTCTTAACACTAGCATTAAACAATAATTTAAAATACTTACTCCGTCCACATTAGCAACAAGTGCGAAGTCGGCCTCAAAGGACTTCGGCGTGAAGAGCTTAGTCAAGAAGGAATGCAACAGCCGTTGGTCGAAAGCGTTGTCAATCTTTCCTCCGTAGATGCATTGCGAGAGGAGACGAACTATGGCCTCCCATGGGACTTTCTCTGGTGGTAGGTTGGTACGACCCTGAAAAAAATTGATTTCAACAATTATTTATTTTTCATTTATAATACAAATATTTTCCGATTGCTTACAACAAGCAGAAGATATGCGAAATGTAAATATATGGACTTTTTTAAAATATGATTCTCTAATAATGTTAAGGTGTGATGTTATTGAAATTATAGAGAACCAGTTGCAATATAGATAACGTATGCGATCGTGAAGTGACGAACACTTTATAGTCATAATTTAATGTAATTAATAATTTATATATATAAGTTTAAATTTTAATAATTTGCGCTGACAAAACTGAAAGAAACTTTTTCCAATTAATTTAAAAAGAAAGTTACATTAATGAATTTGTCTTAATTCTTAAATAAATAATAGTACCATAGCCGTAGAATCAATCCAGGTATCAAGAGTGTCGCAAGCCACACGGAGATCCGACTCATTGAATTCATAGTACTTCGCCCATCCCAAAGGTACGTAGCGAAGACGTTCTTGAACAATACCTGAGGAAGAAATTACATACATGTGATGATTTTATACGACTTTATAATTGAATATGCTTTTATTGTTATTTAGTAATTAAATTGGGTGAGCCTAGGCTCTACATTTTGCTCACTCCGGCTTTCTTAGTATTCTCTTACAAGCAATGCGATTACCTAAATCGTCGGAGTTACGCCCCATCAGTATAACCAGACGCAGGCACTTTTTTTCAACATTTATATTATTTATTTATTTATTCAGTACGAATACGTATTCGTATAATTTTTTTTATTAGTAATACAACAAAAAAAACTTATTAACCTACCCATCAACTTAATTCATAAAAGATAATCAGTTTAACTGGCATAAAAGGGTAACGAAAATTCTCTTTGTCTGTCAAATGGTGTTTTCCTGAGATGAAAAGAGACATGAGTGCTTTATTTAAAAGACCAATAAGGCTGATCTATTTTTGTATGAATAAAGTGGTAATACAATTTGGAAGGTTGATTAAAAACCTGAACAGCGTACGGCGCTTGTATCGTCAGTGCTCCGTCTTGAAACTCTCAAGAAAAAAGGCACACGCCCCCTTATAAATATTTATATTTGTAGTCTATGTATCAACTGTCTATGTATGCTGCTCTTCCTATTTTTGCTTTATAAACGCAAAATATAAGCTCTTCTATGTCGTTTGTATTTGTTATTTCTTTAATACTATATTACATAATGTCACGGACTATAAAAATCTGTTAAACATATTAAGATAACTCACCATGGAACCAAGCCAGCAAGAAGTACAATCTGGCTCGCTCTGAAGGTGGCTTCATCATACGTGCGGCTGGCACCTACGACAGAATTTTAATTATCAAATTTTTTGTTTTAAAGAAACTATATTTTAATTTAAACATTTCCTTAAACCAAAATTATCGAATTTTTATATCAAAAACTATACCGTTGCGAATGTCCTAAGTAAGTTGGCCCGTATGCCAGGTGGCGGTTCGAAGACCAACACACGGGAAGCCCTTAGCAGATTAACTGGCAACTTGGGGCTGATCTCTGTTGTGAGGAAGAGACGGAAGCTGGGATGCGGCTGAAGGGAATGCAACTTCTTCTCGAGTTGCACCAACCATACAGGTGCCAAGTGTACGTTCTTGAGCATGACCCATCTGAAATGTTAAATATAAATATAGGTGTTATTAAACTGAATCGAGAACTTCAGTTCAGTTCTAGTGTTAGATTAACTGACGCGAGATCTTATTTTTATATTTCTTAGTTTTTATATACATAGCTGCAAAGACGTTTGGATTCATTCCCACCTAATTTTAAGTAAAATTCGACCTAATGGAGAACACGCCCATGCACCCCAACGGCTGCGCGCAGCGAGTACAGACCACGTCTCCCCGCACGCTGCAGTCCCCATCAAGGGTTATACATCCCGCCCCCGTACCGCCAGGTATTAGCAGACACCACCTGAAGGGCGCATATGCCCCGAACGAGCCTAAACACCCCCCTCGCGAGGGAGGGTAAACTCAGGGTAGGCTACCTCAATGCAAAATTTTATCAGATTTTATTGTGTAAAAAAAGAAAATATCCTTTTTCTAGTATAAAATATTGACTTCATATAAATTCAATTTCAGTTGATTACATTATTTACATATTGACACATGTGGAGACTATAGTAACGATTTAATTAAAAAAATGTTTTACTTATCATTTAAAAAAAGTTACATACCTGCCAGTTTTGCACGCAGTGTTAATAGCGCGCTCGGCTTGATTGAAACCTTCCGCTGAACCAATGGCAATACTCGATAGTGGTTTGTTGAGTTCGGTCGCCATATCATCAACACGACCTGAACGAACAAAATGTTTTTGTAAATACACAGTTGTTACACAGTGTGTATATTTTACACGCATATCAAATGGTTATTGTAGGCTAAATTTTTGTCAACTCAGAAGCAGTCATTGTCTACAATGGTCAAAACCGGCATGTTTAGAAACAAAAAGTCGACGGTGTGTGTCAGGCACAAAAGGTCTATAAGAAATAACAAATAATTACGCAACAGATACAAAGATCTGAGACCGTAAATTTCACGTTAGCCGTATATAGTCATTCAAAGTAGTATTAAAAATTACCGCTAGCATCATATCCGGGAACAGAGCAGAGCAAAGCCGGTGTGGTCGCATTCAGTTCGGTGTCAGTTAGAGTAGTCAGTTCCATTTCAGTTTCGGCGCGAGACATGAACGATTGTCCCAGCACTGAGGCCACTAGTTGAGTAGCTGCCGCGATCACCCGGTCTGGTCTAAATGCCTATTGCAGAAAGAGTAAATAACTTTAGTTCCTAATGGTTATTGAAGTGTGAAATTGAATTGAAGTTCCCATAGACTCTTAAAAACAGGTTTATATTATTAAAATAGATATTTTCATGGCCTTAATTTATTTTTATTTTTATTTATATCTCCCTGGGAAGACCCCCCACTGCGAGTCGATTTCACAATTCGCAAAAAAAACAATTGGATCATAAAGTGAAGTGTAATTACTATTACATACATATAATAGTCATGTTAATTACAATTTGTCAGAAATTATAAAAAAATTCAGACATTACTTGTTTTTGAAATCGGCAGTTTAATATGTTTCCTATTTAACTAAACTACTATTAGATTACTATATTTATAAAGGAGAGAAGAGTTCAGTACCTGTATAAGCAGTAATCGGGACATGGCTAGTGTATGCGGTTGTTCGGGAGCTGTGGTCTCCGAGTCCCAAAGGGTCGGTACACATTGTTCAGGAGCAGCTTGTGATAACCAGGCGCCTATCTCCGGCAGTGAACGAGCCTTTTCGAGCAGATTTCGGAAAGCTACCAATCTATTTGCAAGTAGTAACAAAATCTTAGAATAAGCTTAGAAAAGTAGCATCAGTATAGTAAAATAGATATGTTGATCTCTGACGGCGTAATATTATCTATGTCATTGAAACGGATTTCTTTATTATTGTAGTAGAACTAAAGCTTAGTTTGAGTTATTCCCAGGGTAACATGTTAAAAGATTTAATATGGATATTTAGAAAGTTTTAGTGATAGGTTATATAATAAAGGACCTACTACACATAATAGATAGATAGGGGGCCACTGCAAATCAGAGTTGCCTGTGACAGTAAATTGGGCCCATTTTTTGTGTGTATAGCAAGCAAACGAGTATTTTTTTCTAATAAATCCAAAAGTGAAGTTAGTGAGGTAAAACCTTAAGAAATATTGAAAAGAATCAGAGTATATTTATACTCATATATTTTTAAAAATTTATCTGAGTAGAACACGACTTCAATTGTTTTTAATAACACCGTTAATGAATTTCTTTTACCTAGAGCCGAGTCTAGCAGCGGCTTCATGTTGTTGTGCTGTAAGCGCATCCAATGGAGGTTGAACCGCTGAAGATACGAATCCTTCCCTTCCTCGCAGGAATACAGCAAACTGTTTCTCCAAAGTGTCAGCGGCACCTGCGCCCTTCAGTTGTATGCGACACAGCAGTAAGGCGAACGTAAGTCGGTCAGTGTGAAGCATACCGCGAGCAACGCGTTCGTAAACAGTCTAAAATATATTATTTAGAATTTACAAAATCGTCTAATATTGTGAGAACATAAATCTAAAGTAAAATTTTCTGATTAATTCTTGTGTTCAATAAAATAAAGTGCCATTAGCCTTTACAATACTGAATACTCCGACCCACCTCAGTTGTTTCGTTGCGTACGAACATAGGGCTTTGAAGTATATATCACATGCAGTACCAACAAAACCACAGACAGTGAACTATATATTACTAACTACTATTACTAGTCCAATTAATTGGTGGTTCTGATAGGAATACTGATTCTGAACTACTGATTTTAGTTCCGGATTTCTATAAATAAATAAAATCGATATTTTTTAAAAGTACTCACAGTAAATAATTCATCTGTAATGATCTTCAAACGAGCAGTATAATCTGACAAACCATTTAGACCGGGGGATATCAGAACTGAACTGAATATGTCTAGGAACATCTTCAGAGAATATTGGTAGAGGAAATGAACTTGGTGTAGCGACTCCATTGTAAAGTAGATGCTACTGCAGGCCTGTGTTAAAAAATAGGGATGAATATAATATATTGTATTGTAGTTAACTAAAACGTGAAACATTGGCGAATTACGCAAATAATTTGCAGAAGGATTCTCTATCGAACCGTCCATTTAGGATAGCGTGCAAAAAAAAAATCTTGCTGACTCCGCCGACATTACAAAATTATTTGCAAGAATCTGCATAACTGTTGATATACTATATAAATGTATCGTATTTTTGGGGTTTTACGCGGAAAAGTTATCTTGTTACATTTGTTCATAATATATTTCTAGCCTATATAATTGGTAGGTTTAAGAAATAGCAATACATACTTGGGATAGCGGTAGATATTGTTGACTGACAGTCTCAATTTCACCAATAACCTTATCAGTTTCTTCCACCTGAAATATTAAATTGTTAAAAATGATTCAGAATTCAATAAAATTATCATTTAATTTATATATTTATCTAGAGTTCATTTAAAAATGTCATGCATTAGGGATGTTACAAAAGTACCTTTTGACCGATATCGTCCGCCTCCTTCTTAAGAGTCTCAAGTGTCGCAATAACCGAGTCATCATCTAAGATCTTGCCCTTAGCGTCATTGAGCGCTTGAAGCAACGATTTCTCCAGCTGTCGTAGACGTAGATGGAATTCACCTGTACAATGAATTGCAATTAAAAATCTCAAACTTATAAATCTTTCAGCATGTGTTACTTAGGAACGGTCTTATCGTTAGATAAATATCTCGACTTAAGTAGTAAAATAATATTTTTAAAATTATTATTTACGGAAATTGTATTCGTATTGTGTACAGAATTCTCACTGCATAAATTCAAAACTCTCGTTAAACGTAAATTAATCAATAAGATTATTTAAATGATCCTTATCCTTGGGATTGATTTGATCCTATTCAAAAAAATTATATGAGTCAAAACTAGGCGATTAAAAAGAGTGGCGGAGAGTTTCTTGCCTAGAGCAGGCCAGCAGCCCACGACTTGCGAATTGGTAGTAAATGTAAATTTTGAATCAATTTAACATATTTTCTGTTGACGTTCATAAGTGTACTTGGTTACCTATATGAAGAAAGTTATTTTGAGTTTACCATTTTCGACCATGTTGATAAATTAATATATTACTTAAAAGTTAAAACTATTTAAATATCCTTGACATTAGGCTTAGACCACAGCTTAGTGTATTTATTGACAAAATTACTAGTCCTCTCCGTCAAACTATTTTAATAAAATAATGTAATATACCTTGTAATTTGAGCAAATCAGATCTCTTGGTATCAATATCCGGTCTTTCAGCTTTCAGAACTCTATGCAGACATTGTGATTGAAGGGACGATCGCGTTACTGTGAAGTTGACGAATGTGACACGCGAACACATATCTGGTGGGAACTCTACTGTTGGGTCCCTAAAATTTAATAAATTTAACAATTAAGCTATTGTTAGATAATTTGTTCTTAACAGTTCGGTGCTAACAAAAGCGCCCGATTTAATCTATGCCATAAATTAATTTTCATATGTGACTTATTTGCAGTAATTTCAATACATAAATTAAGTGTGATAACACTTACCGAGTACTCAGGAATATAACAAATGATGGACTTAAATCAATATCTTGATCTCCAAGAGTAATCAAAACACGACCTCCTGTACGACGCAATTCCCGATTCAACACTGGGTTCAAGATTGGATCATAATTTTCCACATCCTGAAAGCAAAAAATATTGCTTTAATGTTTGAAGCTTAATTACTAAATAAATAAATAAATAAATCAGTGGCGCTACAACCTCTTTAGGTCTTGACCTCAGATTTCTGAATCTGTTCCATGATCATTTTTAAATCTAATAGGCAAGTAGGTGATCAGCCTTCTATGCCTGACACTCGCCGTCGACTTTTTGGGTCTACGACAAGTCGGTTTCCTCACGATGTTTTCCTTCACCGTTCGAGCGAATGTTAAATGTGCACATAGAAAGAAAGTCCGTTGGTGCACAGCCGATTGCACATTGCACATTGGGATCCAACCTACGACCTCAGGGATGAGAGTCGCACGCTGCAGCCACAAGGCCAACACTGCGGTATCATAAATATAAAAATGTATTTACCTGTACTAGCAGCGGATTACCGAAACGGAGTGCAGATTCCAAATTCTTTCTGAAGGAGTCGTCCAAGAAAGATGTCTTTGTGATCTTTCGATTGTTGAATTCTCTCATTATGAACTCCGTTGCTTGACCTGATGGATCTATGATGAGCGGGTAGCGGTTGAAGCGCTGCAAAAAGTTAGTATTTTAAGTAACAATAACGACATATTTACAGAGAATTTTTCAACTATATCTTTACCTTCAACATGATAGCATTCTCAACACACAATTCGTCTGTGGGCAAAGCATTCGCCTGCCAACGAAGCCTTTCATCAGGATTACTTAGATATTCTGTACGGGCGATTTCTGGCCGGTATTTAATATTAGCAGCAGCCAAATGAGAGGTCCAAGTTGAGAACAAGTTTTGACGATACTGAAAGAACACCCATTTCATTAGTTCTAGTGTCTTGATCATTTAAACAAGAAACGTTGTTTAATATACATACATGTTGATCGAAGTATCCACCATACGTAATGAAAGCTGCTGATAATAGGACGTCACCGACAATTGTGCTCATTTGAGAGCGGAATGTTTCTGAACTGGATTCCCATCTTTCCCGTTCTATTACCAAACTCTTCAGAAGAGCAATTGACCTATCCACCTTGGCCTGAACGTTTTCAAGATCAGTTTTAATGGCTTGTGCCTGACTGATGAGTTGTGCGTATTCCTCCTTGTAGGATGCAATAGATTTCTCTAGTTGAGCAATCAAATCACGGACTTCATCTCCTGCTGTGACATTTGTCTGAGCCTGGTCTTCTAGAGCTTGGAGTTCATTACGTAAAGGCTCCACACGTTTTAACATATCAGCATATTCAATCTACAAAAAATCTTCATTGTATAAAGAGTTCAGAATTTTTAATGCGGCAAATGTGATTTTTAATATTACCTGAGCAATAGCCCACTTGACCATAGGACCACAAGCCATACTGGCTCTGTTTACTTTTTCGAAGTTGTAGTCCGGATTAGATAGGTATCGCGTCTTCATTTTTTCGCGAACTTCGTCACTGACGATATACAAAAAGTGCGTTATTACAGTTCTTATAAAACAACACGAATGAATTTAATGCTTTAAATCAACCAAAACCAGAATTGAAATAAACCAATTCATGCAATAATTCCTTTAACCAAATAATATGGATTGGACGTCACTTTTTAACGCAGCAAATAAAAACGATGCCTTTTAAATAAAACATTGATAGATAGCAAACATAAAACTTACATGAACTAAAGGGAAGCGAAAAATCACTGCCAATAGTGATATTATATCCTTTAAACCAAAATAAAATGGACGTACATTATTTATTGGCAAATACATTCATGCATTCTAATATAAACTTGTGAACGTCATAAATAAGGATGAAATATAGATATTAGGTTAAAGTATCACCAGAACCAATCGTAAAATTATACTTCATGTTTCAATATGAAGACTTCCTTAAACCATTCAGCGTAATGCACTTGTTGTATGACAATTATTTCCCAAATCATGCCACATTCAATTGTGCACAAGGATTGTTTTGTTCATAGAAACTTTCAATCGTTTAAAATTATTCAAGCACTAACAATAATACCACCACATCATGCTAAGCAAGCCCGCAGCGAAAAAAATCCAAACCACAAAAGCATACATGCATACTAACACAAACATTGCAAACTTCGTGCATTTTTGCAATATTTGTGCGAGCTAATATTATCAAAGTCGTACTTTAGTTGAGGTATTGTTAACGTCTCTAAGGGTTTATTAAAGGGATTTTATATGTAAATTTACAGGAAACTTTGGCAGGCTAAATTTCCTGCTACGACTACTTGATAAGCACACCAACTAAAATCGTACGGATTTAAGTAAATTCAGGATAGGGTAGGTGACTCAAAAGCGTTCTAGGCATTGCTCACGTGATATCCTCGGTCGAGAAGTTGGATACGATGCTGTTGATGAAGTTCTCCCGCATGATGACCGTACGAATGGCCTTCCAGTCCGTAGTATTCTCGCCCAGGAGCAGGCAGATAGATTCAAGAGCCACTTTGACGAGCGCCGGGGGATTGGCCATGGACCTCACTTCCACGAGGTGCTGCTTCTTTATAGATTTCACGGCTGTATCGCGTCGCACACCACCAAGCGAGAGCGACAGAGTACAAAAAAGAGAGAACAAAAAGCTGGTTTAGCTGACCGTGTCACATGCGGCTGGCGTTATTCTATGACACGGATATCGAATCGGTGGTTAATCACGTTCCTAAACGAGGCTCAGCGGTGTTAGTCACATTTGGGTTATTAGTGCGTACGGATGCCGATATATTGTGTTCGCAATTTTAATAACAACAGTCACATATGCAAGCGAGCGTATTTACAATACCGAAATTAATCTTCATTCTTAAACTTACTACATTAACGAATACAATAATATAGTTAACATACAACTCTAGATACATCATTCAATGCACTAATTACTCTGTTTTTGCCAATAAATATGAGACTGAGAGAAATAAACGCTTGCTATCTACAGTGTGATCATTCTATTTAAATGATATTCTATTAATCTTCACGGAGGCAACACGACAGGCAACTAAAAAGTTCAAAAGAAACAGGAAAAAAATTTAAAGTTACAGCGTGAAACCTCAGTGTAAGAGAGAAACTAACGTGATATTCTCAGTCTCGAAGTTAACAATAGTCGATATGAAGTTGTCCTTCATGACAGCAGATCGGATGCCTTTCCACGTGTCCCCTTTCTCCCCTAGCAGCACGCAGATCGACTCCAGTGCCATTTTTACGACAGAGGGGGGATTGGCCATAGACCGCACTTCGACCAACTGCTGCTTCTTGATCGATCTCACCGCTGTTTAGAATCGCCTTCGGTTATACTTAGTACTATGTTTAAGCGATTAGTTTTATGTTACATACATTTTCGTAAGTCGAATTTTAAAGCTCGCTATGCAATCCTACTAATATTATCACAAGGATCTAAAATGTGTTAATAGATGTTGGCTGCGAATTAACAATAATTTTTAACTCAAAAAAAAAAAAACAATACATTTCGGCATTCCCATAATCAATAATTGGCTACAATAACCCAAACTATATTTTGCAATAAAAAATCAATAAAAATATTTTACAAGTATCAAAAATCAATCTGCATATTACAAACTAAAGACTGTTCCTTATTGGCTATGGTGTGTTGTGAGAAACTATTCTAAAATTAGTTATTTCTGTAATTAATCAGTTTCTAAAATTACTATTAAATATTAACCGTTTGATTGTCGAGGAGGGCAATCGCGCTCCTGCGCGTATGTGCCAAAATGTATAGAAGCGCAACAGCGCTCCCAATCAACGATTTTTCTTTGGCATTTTTAGGCATACATGAGTAAATCCCATGGCACTCAAACGGTTAAATTAAAAAAAAACATTGAATGGTGTTTATTCTGCATATTCTTGTACATATCTTTCACTATAATTGCTTTAAATACTAAAATATTGTACATTGTTACCCGAATCATAGTAACAAATCAATGCATGACATGGTCTAATAAAAATAAATTCTATTGAAGCGCAAAAATGCGACCACCTCTGTCCAACGGACAACAATTCCATGACTGTTTACTCGACGAGCATTATTTGAATGTTTGCAAAATATTAGGAGACACTCAAGTATTACAAACAAAATACCTTGTTCTATTTCATTATGTTACGCGGAATTCATAAGAATTGAGCAATGCAAAAGAAACACTCAATGTTTTTTTGTAGAAAATGCTAAACGAAATAAGAAATGTATCAAACCATTTTGTGCTTCAATAACCGCCGGTTCCACTTGAGCGAGATCCGCCATTACATCTTTACGTTTCTCCTCTATTTCCTTTGTTTGTTTTTCTAAAGCGACCTGTTTCCAAAAAAGTTTTACAAGTGTTAGTCTACGAATTTGTTTTAAATGTTGATTAATTGATAAATATGCTGTGTAAAGAACCTGAATTTCTTGACTTTCAACTTTTTTCTTTTCGGCTTCTTGTTGATCTTTGACCATCTGTTTGAGTTTAGCATTAGCGGCTTCGTTTTTAGCGTGGAGTTCCTGAAAATATATTTATTCATGTAAACTACAATCTTTACTTCCATCTATCGATTCGAGAGTGAACCTAAATCTTACAATATCTTTATATAATGTACTTTGAGTTTCTTTTTAAGTTAAATTTTCAGGAAATAATAGAACCAAGTATCAAGCATATAATTATGTACACCTAACTTGTTTAGCCAATAAATAATATGATTAAATTAAATTATTAATAACAATATTTTTAATCCCCTTAATTCTCAAAGACGTTCCCAATATTTATTATAAATTAGCCTGTAATTCTACTACTAAAATCGAAATACGAAAACTGATTAAAATACTATTTTTTAATAAGAGGTTTTTTTACCTGTGATTTGACAGCAAGACTCTTCTGCATTTCCTCGACTTGTTCCACAGTTTCTGCAATCTTACCAAGACCTACATTCAAATGCAACTGTTGTTCTTCGAGGTCAGCGCGCTTCTCAGAGTACAACTTCACCATTTGTTGGATAAAGTCCAAGTAGTGTCTATTTAAAAAAAAAGTTAATTTAAGGATTGTATACCATATTATATACATTAACAGAAGTAAAGGTATAGAATATTTAAATATATATTTATACAAAATAAGTATCTATAAGTTGTTTTATATTTACCTGGGAGTGATAGCCATAGTGCGGTTAGCACGCTTTGCAAGACGAGCATTCGCTCGATGCAATGTTTGGTGAACGTATACGCACGCATTGACGACCGCTTCTCTTTGAGACGGACGGGGGCTTACGACACTACACGCTGCTGGGAACAGCTCTGGCGGAATATAGTCTGATGAATCCAGGTCCATACGGGTCGTAAATTCTTTACCCACCTGAAATATTTTATAGGTATTTTTTTTTAATCCGACACGAAGGAAATTATTACAAACGAAAAATAGTATGTTCAGTGCTTGAGAAGTATTTTAATATTATTAAATAATAACCTAAACGTATGGTATTATACCTGGAACAGAGCAGAATCACTCCAATCACCAAACCAGTTGAGAACACAACGATTGAAGAGCGCGGGAGATGTCGCAGCACGGTCTTTTAATCCTTCTGAAGATGGGTTCATTGTGAATACTACGTGAAGATTGCGCATGACTTGCCCTGTGAACCTGAAAATAAGAATGTATAATACTCTTACGATGCCAAACATAAGCAAAGGAAAATTTTTTCATACAAATTCGTAAACGCAATTCAATGTAAGTTATTTATAATTAATAAATGTAATATTTAATGAAGATTTTTAATAATAAGGGGTTTTGTTACCATTTGTAGAGCTCGTCGTTCGAATCCAACATAAGACCCTCCCTTTGTGCACCTTCCTTACATTGCGTCATAAGAGCAGCGAATTCGTCTCCTTCGAATAATCCAGGAACCTACAAATAAGTAACGATATAATAAGTATTTTCTAATAAAACTTCAAATTAATAATAATACAATCAAGGTGCTTAAATAAATATATAAAGTAAAATTAATCTAAATGTGCACGAAGACTCGTTATTATTAATCCTTTAAAATATTGTTTAGTAAAAAACGTACCTCTCCGTTAGCGAGCAACGTGTTCATTCTCTCAAGGAAACCACTGTCGAGTACGTTGGACTCGTCAAGTATGAAGGCAACCTTCTCATCGCGACATCCAGCGCGGCGAAGCACCGATCGGAGATCTTCATCAAAATCGGCACCCGTATATTTGTTGTGCACCTAATTAAAAGGAAGTTCTCTATTAAATATATACATATATATAATTTAACCGGATCAAGACGCCTTCAATTGTCACTACGAATCCGTGACCATGCTTGTTGTATAGCAGCATATTTTGTATTAATATATATTTAAACAATATAATATACAAACAAATGGCGTATAGCTTAACCAAAAAATATATATATTCGAGTGAAAAAACAAACCTTGATCTGGAAGATGCTAAGACCGTTCATCCAAGCGACGAATCTGCTGAGTGTGGTTTTACCAGCACCAGAAACTCCAATGAGCAGCAAGTGCCCTTGTGGCTGGCGGAAGATACGATCGATCCGAAGCACGTGTTCTAACACCTCATCGAATAGTACTAGGGGCACGTCCAGTTCTTCTTCGTAGAATACCTAAAATTGTAAATTTATGAGTATATAATATATACATACGCACACACACCCATTCGCGCTTACATAATGTCTTATACAAATGTGTTTGATTTGTTGTAACACTAACACTATTTTTTCTTAAAAAAAAAAAAAAAAATGTTTTAAACATGTACGACGGCATAATTGTTATTTAGTTTCCCACAACAGGGACTAGTGATATATGATTTTTGTCACAACCTATTTCTATCATGAATACATTTTTCATTATTATTTAACGGTTACACAGACGAGTTAAAAATTCGTTGAATAATTTTGAAATAACAGTTGCGACTTCACTCGATAGTATGAATTTCTTTACATGTTAAAATTATATGAAGTACTTGATTTTTGGCATAATACGAAAGACGAAATCATAAACAATTTATTGAAATAATTTTATCGATTTATTTAATTTAGTATATTTACAACAAAATAAAATTTAATTCCTAATACGAAAACGTAATTCAAAGTAAATAATAAATACCTTAAGTCTGGCCTTAACATATTCGCGAAGTTGATCGCGTTGAACCGGTATGTAATCTTTGCTCAACCAGTTGCTGTACAGAATCGGTCTTTCAAGTGCTTGTTCCCTGTTGATACCTGCAAATAAATATTTTTGGTGATATTTCTTGACATTTTATTAAGTTTTCTTAGCAACTTATTTTTAAGGATATCATAAGCATACCTGGGAAGAATCTCATGGCAACAGTATCAATGTTTTCATCGGTCCACTGGCGTTCTACATCATCCACGAGACGATCTTGGAATAATCTCAGAGCTTCGTGAGCCCAAAGTCGTACCAAACCTTCGACTGATAAGTTGTCCAGTGGTCTATAACAAAAATTACGTACAAACGTAAGTATTTTAGTATAGGGATTTTTTCACTGATTTCCAGGAGGGTATAAAGTTTGATATTTTTTATAAGATATGGATACATTTAAAATATCGCCTTTTTAATAGAACGGGGGGCAGACGGGCAGGAGGCTCACCCGATAATAAGTTATACCACCGCGTGTACGTTGCCGGCCTTTGAAGAATTATTACACTGATTACTTGAAGGACCCTAACTCGAATTGGTTCGGAAATACTTCAGTGGGCAGCCGGTTCCACATAGTGGAAAAAACGCTCAGTTGTGGAACGACGGACGTCGAGGTGATACGGGTGGAATTTCGTATTCTGCCTCGACGCCCGATGATGAAACTTAGCTGCAGGTATTAATCTTTAGCACTTTTTTAGTAAGATTTTGTCTAGTTCAACCAGTATTTAATTATTTTTGAAAGACATGTTAAAATATGAAGACATTTGTTTACTTTAAAATATTAAATTATACCTGATAGCTTCACAAATGCCTCGCACCCATCTGGTCATTTCTCTGGGAGAGTACACATAGTGCGGTTGCATGTCTTGAGTGAAGCGTTCTTGCGAGGCGAGATACAGCTTTACCATTGCTTGGGTTAGAGGTTCCGCGTAGCCACGTAATGCTGGTTGCATTCGAAGCATGGCCCGAGTGAAGGTACCATAGATCTATAAGAAAATAGATTCACATAAAAGTATACATTTTATTATATTTACAAAAGCTTGCCAACATTCGGCACACTGATACATTTACCAATGATAAATAAAGAACAAAAATAAAATAAAGATTTAACGTGACAAGCACTTATAGGCAAAGTTAACAAACACGAAGAATAAAAAAAAACCACATCGACAAATTATAAAAATTAAAGGATGATTGTTTTGAGGGGAGCAACTATGGTTATCCAGACCTAGCTCGTTTAGCGGATGCTCAATCTAGATATAGGCGAGTTTTGGCCAAAAGGCTAAAGTTCAAAAAAAAGGTCTTCTGCAAAGAGGTTTAGGCTTGTAGGCTGCAATGCTGAAGTACTTAATGAAGTATAACAATAAATATAATATATACATTTATATATTTAATTATATGTATATATAAAATAATAATATAAACAATTTAAAGGAAGTTTAGAATCAAATTTTCCTTTTATTTCATTGACTAATGACAGTTCTAAGAACATGGCATTGACGAAAATGGTGAGAGGAAAAAAAAATTTGGTTCCTAAAAATCTAGCACTAATTTTATTTGTGAAATAAATAGAAGTTTACCGTTATTAGTTTAATACAGTAGAATTAAATTTAAATAAAAATATGGTGAAATCGAGTTGATGCTGACCTGTTCAAGGGATGTCTCTCCAGGGTAATCGACGTATATAACGGGCACATGTCGCAGCAAACGATGAGAGAGCGGCTTACGTCCCGGATCAGTTGGAGGGTTACACGCACCAACGAATTGTATACGTTCCAAATGTACCCAGGAATGATCTATAACGATAAAATGGTCATACCGTGAGTTATGTAACCTAACATTAGTTATGTTACATACATATACTTTAGTTAATAATAATTAGAAGCGTCAACCAAATGTTAGCAATCGTCGCACACTTGAAGCCAATATGAGCCCTTTAGTTTTGTCCACTCATAAATTGAAATACAACATTCTTGTTTCCGATAATGTCTAAAAAGGTCGACTGCACTTGTTTTGAAGTGTCACTTAGATTTATGAACCCTTAGATAAGCCAACTTAAGTTTTGTTAGCGTAGCAACCCCACTACCCCTAATTTTATGTTAGTTATAAGCTCCTATTTTAAAAGATTAAAGTTAGTTGTTACCCAGCCTCAAATAAAGTGTTTCATTTTACATACATTTGAACATATCTACAACAACCGCCACCGAACTTAACTCTTGTCAATATTGACTAATAAAAAATAAAAAATGAAATCTTACCGCTAGCTCTAAAGAAGCCTTTATGCTCTAGAAGTTGTCTCAAGAAGGATATTACACGTTGAGTGCCATACTGATCCATATCCGGCAAGTTGATTTCGTCGCAGAACAGAACGAGCCATTTTCCCAACTGAAACAAAAATAATAAGGTCATTATAGTCATTCCACACAAGGCTGGAACAAAAAGGCTGAAGGAAGGAAATGACTAAAATGATACCTCACAATTTCTCATGAATATGTAATACATACGTGAACACAAGATCTATATTAAGAAAATCAATATCAAATCTACAAAAAGTTAAAGCGAATCTGAAATTTAATAGATTAGAAATACTTCTAAGCGATCTAGGTTTTTTTAACTGTTTTATAACAGGGGGCTAACGGCCCATCTGATGTTAATTGATATCGCTGCTAACACTCAATGCCACAGGACCCGCGAGTTTGTCGCCGGTTTTTTAATATTTGGTACGCTATTTTCTTGAAGGTCCCTAAGTCGAATTGGTTCGGAAATACTTCAGAGGGCAGCTGGTTCCACAAACTAAGGAGTAGTTCAAATAAAAATATATAAGAAAAAACAATACCTGCACAGGTGCTAATACGACTCCATTAGGTGTTTTGCGATATTCACAGTAATGGTCAAACGTCTTAAGCAGCAATTCAGGAGTGGTGGCCGACGAGAAGTTAAGTCCCACAACTTCCATGTCGGGCAAGGCTCGCAATGCGGAGAACAGCGTCATTGTCTTACCAGAACCGGGTGGTCCACAAAGCACTACATAGAGATTAAAATTGTTTATAATTTTTTTTTAATATAGAAAAGGCCAGTTATTTAGGCTGTTGCTATGTAAAATCAGAAATTGATGGTTCGCCCACGTTCCAATGCTCTTACCACAACAATAAAATTAGTAAATATATGAGCAATAACTTTGTAATGTCAAAATAACAGACAAATCGATATGAATATTATAAAGTTTATTTAATTTCTATGTAATATATATATCGTGTCACAATATTCGTTCCCATACTCCTCCGAAACGACCGATTCTTATGAAATTATTCATGCATATTCAGTAAGTTTGAGAATCGGTTACTTAAAAAAATATTTTTATTTATTAGTAAATTTTTTGTTTTTATTTTTTTATGATACTACGATCTACCCCTATTTTTTATTATTGTAGACAGTTATTTTTATTTAACTTAAATAAAGTTTCCTAGAAATAATATACATGGCAAATAAAAGTTTGCCGGGTCAGCTAGTATTTAAATAAAAATGTATACCTAAAGGCTTATGTTCAGCCAGCCAAGTGTACAGTAAGGATTCGTGACGAACGGTGTCAAGTGTCGGCACTACCACATCGGGAGCTGCCACTTTGTGAGTCTCCACTTCAATTTGTGGCACTTTGGCAGACCACGGTACCCATTCACCAGTTATCGAAACCTATGGAACAAATATTTAACTTCACACATCTTGTATATGATAAATAACACTCCAGTCCAGTTATAAGTCAGGCCCTCAACTACGGTAGACACTTTTATATGTAAAGTAAATGCCATCAAAAACATAACTTGTATACAGTTGTGAGATCCATGTAATGTAATACTAAGTTATATTTTTTTATAGAATGGGGCAAACGGACAGGAGGCTCATCTGATGTTAAGTACCATACCACCGCCCCTGGACACTATCAACGCAGAGGGCTCGTAAGTGCGTTGCCGGCCTTTTAAAAATTGGTACGCTCTTTTCTTGAAGGTAAGACCTAAGTCGAATTGGTTCGGAAATACTATAGTAGCAGACCCTACTTAAGGGACCTTCTGTCTTAAGTTATTACGTAATTAGCTAACCTAACATCTAATAGTGACCATATCAATATTAAAAATTTATACTGCATAACTAACCTCAAAGTCAATGATATGTTGATTAGCACCACAGTTCGGCAACTGCATGGTGCTGGCGGAGCGTATAAAGTCTCCTAATTCATTGCGGTCCTTCAGTTTTGCGTCTCCAGCAAATGACCACAAAAGAGAATACACGAGCCACTTGGGTACGTATGCCTCTAGCTGGTCGTTTGTCACGGGGAAATCAGGGTGCTGGCGGTTATACCCAAGGATGTTCCTAAAAAAAACAGACAGTTAATTCATTTAATATTTATCTAATTTTTATGGTGGGCAAACTAAGGGTGTCCAGTAGAGGAGATGCCGTTTTTGCCACAATACGTAACGAGTTATGCGTATACTCGTACGTACGTAAAATATAGTTTAAGTGAGTCGTGGGTATTCAAAGGTTTGTGATTTTGATTATTGTTAATGATTTGAAAAAAAAACTTCATTTCTCTTGTTTTAGTTTAAGAACCTGTATTATTGTTTTATTAAATATCTTATATATTGTTGATGTTTTTAGATACATAGTTTAGTTACCTGACTCCACGATTAAGCATAGAGTGCAGTGAAGAAAGTGCCCGATGTCTTGTGAAGTCCATAATATGATCGAGGGACACCGCTCTTTCCAGAGATTTCACAACCAGACCGTCGCCGTAGAACAATGGTTGCAGAATTGCAGCAACATCGCGTTGGGTCTAAAATAATAAAAAATCTAGTGTAGAGCAGAAACTTTTGAATGGTTCATTAATTCGGTTATAAGCCAAGTAATTGATCAGTTACTATCATATTGACGGCATAACATTTTAGTCTATTTCATAGAATTTAAGTCAGTTCAAATATATAAATAAAATAAATTTATTTTATATGTAATCAAAATAATGACTAAAGATAAAAGTTTTGTTACATTTTTCATGATGTATTGTGATAAATACGATTTAATTCTAACCTGCAATGCCGGGGATAGAATGTTTTCAGTGGCGTTTTGATCACCACCCGCTGTTGGTGCTGCCATCACAATGCTAAATGAATCTTCTTCTCCGTCTTCAAGAGGAATGTTCCGTAACCTAAAGAAAATCGCGTTGAATATAATATACGATAAAAATAACAAATATGTAAATTATTTTATTGAATTGAACTGATTTTGTGCCCTTTTACATATCTCCTGCTAGTCTAAATGTATTTCTTTGAACTGAGTATTCTTTAGTAACATTTTAAGAATATTTGAAAAAGTCAATACAACATATTAACTTTAAACAATTTGGATATTTTTTGTAATTTTAGTAAGATATAGACGAAAACTTACTTAGGGTTAATCAGTTTTCGAATTTATGTTTGTTTTAAAACATAGGTTTTTCACATATAAAATAAAAGTTTGTTACCTAAGAAGGTAGTTTTCAAAGATCATCTCAGTTGTGAGGACATCTTGGGAGAACCACACCATACCACAACGAGAGACTGTAGCCAGCGTTGCGTATTTCAGATCTTGAACCTGCACAGAAATGAATAAAACTTGAATTACTATTAGTATTGTCTTTTATTAAAATAACTTTTAGATATAGAAAAACACTTTTTTAACGGATTTGAAGGTATGTTTTATTATAAATTTACAATTATTTTACATAATTTTAAATTTAACCGACGTTTCTGACATTCAACACCTTTTGTCTTCAGTCACCGTGACCACGCACGCTGTAAAGCACGCGAAACGTCGGTTAAATTTAAAATGATGTAATTAAATAATTGTAAATTTATAATAAAACATAACTTCAAAGCCATTAAAAAAGTGTTTTTAAATTACTATTACTTGAACTGACAAAATATTTTGGATTTATTTTCAATTAAACAAATAATGTCGTCGCCACTCATACTGAAGTCATATCATGTGAAGACAAACACTTTCTTACCTCAAACATAACCCGTACGTTTGGCGGTAGAGACAATCGTTCACCGTTAGGTAGAGTAAGCAGTTTGTTATCGTCCAGCACCGAGTTAAGATTTTCCACCCACTCCGGATCAACATCACCATCGAATATGATCCATTGTCGTTTGTTTATTTCACCACGGACATTATCAATTATTTTTCTGAAAATTTAAAAATAATGTTACCTTTACGTGTTACAAATATTTTCATTTAAAAGTTTTAAAATATCTAATGTATAAAAGTCTCGTGTCACAATGTTCGTTCCCATATTTCTCCGAAACGGTTTCACCGATTCTTATAAATTTTTTTATGCGTATTCAGTAAGTCTGAGAATGGGCTACTATATATCTTTCAAACCCCTAAGTGATAAGGGGTGTCCACCCCAAAAAAATTGTTTTAATTTTTTTATGATACAGCATACAAAAATACATACAACCCATATTTTTATTGAACTAAAAAATTTTTTCCTAGAAATAATATACAAAGAACATTTAAGTCACTAATTTAATTACCTTAATATGTGAGTGAACAATCCATCGGTCCATTCACGGGTGTTAGGGTCTAGAACACCATATAAGGTTTCTTTGGACATAGCCTTAGGGTCAATCACGTGGGCAACGCCTTCTACGCCCTCATATCTGTAAGATAATGTTAAATAATTATGAGCCGTGTTTAATTATCCTTATACGCACTATAGACCTGTAACTGAGTTATGAGGGAGTTATTCTATAAATGGCTTACCGTTCTAATGCCTTCAGTAAAACACGCCAAGCTGTAGACTTTCCACTTCCAGAAGGACCGACCATCATTAGACCATGATTCAACTTGCAGATTTGGTAGAGTTGAAGGACCTAATATAAGGAACATATTTTAATTTTGCCGTATAGAGCGGTAGTAATTAATCGTCAACAGAATTTTCATATCTATATTATATAGTATGTAACAAAAGGTATAGAATATAGAGCAATCCTTGCAGTTTTGCGTAATTTTAAAGCATTTGTCACAAACAAGTAGAAATACGTATTACACGAACGTAGTACACGAAATCAAATAATTCGCCAACTGTATCTACACTGCAAATAAAAAAGAAATATCGACCTTATAGAAAAGAACACTAAGGTGCATTATAACTGTGCATGTGGGTGTTTTCAAATGTCTTGTGAAATGTATTGTGCCATGACGTGTACAACAAGCCGATAAATGTAAAGTGTACGCGCATAATATGTTGAGCTAGCGAAACCAGAACTTGTACTGAGTATTGATTCTCCATATCCTGCGAATAAGTGAAGCCCAACAATGACTAAAGAAACACGTGCAAATAACCAGAACTAACACAACAGTGACTAGTGGAAAAAAGCATATGCACCCAATATTTGTTCTGTTATAAAGTTCCACCCGAACGGAGATTCTCATGAATACTGGCGATAAATAAAATACTTTTTTAAAAAACAAAATTAATGACAATGGAATAACACAGATTGAATTTTTGTCATTATAGAACAAATGTTAGGGGCAACAATAAGTCGACAACTGTGCGAGAGTAAACACGTAGACCAAACTGGACACAAGAAAAGACCTCCATAGTTTGCAGCACTAACCTTCTCGATCCACGTGCTGTGTTCGGCTCGCGACGCTGCGCTGAGCTTCTACGTGCCGTTACGGGTTAGCATGGAAACGCATACACTCACTCACGTACCCGTTACCGGTACGTACGTACGTACGTAACATGCTTTTACGAGTTATTTTCGTCACATGTATAAAAAATTACGTAATTTTAATGCGTAACGAATATAAAACGTAGTGTTAAAAATATTATTTGTAAATTAGTGATGCATGACTGAACCAACACCATTATGATGTTATGATCATGAATAAAATAATTAATTTATGAAGTAAATTATAAAAATATGTGCGGCAGCAGATATATTACTTATATAAAAATTTTAGTTTTGTTAATTATTATCCTATTGTAATGATTAGATATTTTTTTTACCTTTTCCATCCATGTGTTTCCTTGCTCGTCGCCTTCTCCACACACGAGGAATTCTTCAGCACAAACGGCACGAATTTCGTTCTTAAGACCTATTATAAATAGAATAATGTGTTTAAATAGAAACAAAGTTAAATCTAAAGATTTAGTGAAAAATGTGTCCAAAATTCAGTCAAATAATTTTTAATTGTTCGGTTTTCACGGTACGAATATTGAATACTAGTTAGTTAGGTTAGCTATAACGATTGCTGTTATTTTAAAATAGCTTGCATTCTTAATAAAAGCTCACCGGTCATTTCAGCTCGTGTGTATCCAACGTTGGGGAACACATCATTAAGCAGAGAGAAGAGTAGAGGTATATCTTCTGCTACCAACTTAGGAACCATGGTCTCACAAACTGATTGGATAAGAATGTCTTGTTCTGGGAGAGATTCCGCTATTGAGGCCTCATCGGGCACTTCTGTGTCGCGTTCTTTAAGATTTTCCTGCAAATTAAATTTGATAAATTAAGCTTTTTAAATTGCAACGACCCTTTATATTTTTTTAAATAAAAATATTCGTTGTCTTAGTGTCGGTAAATTATGATAGGTTGAGGGTAGCGGAAAAAGATAGACATGGACGGTGAATGCCGTGTTTTGGACGGTCTTGATTTGTAAATTGTTTTCTTGTGAATTTTTTTGTAATTTTGTAAGGGGAAGGGTAAGTTGTCTTTAATTATTAATTAAGGATTTAATTTTTATTTTTTGAAGTTCTGTTTTTTTTAGGTTTGGGCAACGCCTTTAAATAAGGTCAAATTATAGGGTAATAGTTAATTTAATTTTTAGTTGAATCTTATTTCAGTTATTGTATTGTTGTAGACTACTTTTTTGTAGTTATTTTTTATAAATTTCCTGCACTCGTTCGTTTTATTTTACATAAATATAACGATTAATAACACATGAAATGGTGTTACGTGGTGTACTTCACTGATGTTCCACTGATAATTTTAGATGTAAGGACAAACAAATGTATAACACATACCTTTATCTTCTGAATGCGATCACGCTTGACGTTACCAGCGGAGACAAGTACGGATTTCAGAGCTCGAAGTCCAAAATCGTAGTGAGATTGGTTGGACAGTTGTTCGTCGCAGAGCCTAAAACATTATTACAGTTACTAAGTGAATTTTGAATGAAAATAATTACATTTGGAATTTTATTTGGAAATAAAAAGTGATTCGAGTTTCCATGTCCGTTTTTAAACCCCTCGGATTTAAGATGTGTTATTGTATATGTGACATGACAGGCAATAAATTAATAAAATATCGATGTAAGAATAAAAAAGGTCTTACTTGAAGAAGGGAACAATCTTGCAGGCCAGTTTCTCAGCAGTTCTGAACCCTTGGCTAAACAACATGACCTCTGCAATGAGTTGCCTATCGGGTGTGGTCATAGCAAGACTGCGGAACAGCTTTTTCAAGTTATCAGGAAGATTGGAACGACCGGCGTATCCAGGGTTCATTGTTATGAAAATGGCCATATCTTGACTGACGCGGACTTGTTTGCCAACCAGCTCCACTGTGATTGACTTGGCTGAAAATGAAGAATTGTATTTATGCATATTATATTTAACGTATAATAATTTTTAAATAATTCTCTACATAGTAGCATATCATTCAAACATATCAAACACTACGACACGCAAAACTCGTCGAGCGAGTTTGCTTAACTTGCCGAAACCGCGTACAAATTATTTGAAGAGGTGTATTAAGTTTGAGGGTGTGCAATTATTTAATAAATTACCGTCTAAAATTGAAAATATTAGCGTGTTTAATCAATTTAAAAGGGCATTAAAGGGCAGAGATACATATCTGAATGCGCCTAGAAGACTAAAATTTGGGCGTTTGTCTGATGGTGACGTGCATCTTGTTCGTATTTTCATATTAAGTTTATCATGTCAAAAAAAATCATTTTGAGATAATGAGAAAGAAAGTTTTTAAATGTTGAATTCAATTATGCGTACAAGCTGGAAATCGATTTTTTTATTGTTTTTATTTGTACATTGCAATGCGTATAAAAGTTTAAGTGTGAAAACGATTGAAATAATCAATCTCGATTTCAAATTTTAAACAAGACGATAATAAGATATTTAAATAAATATTTATACCTGTATTATCGCCTTCCTGATGACTCTTTAGTGCCTCCTGTATGGTTTGAACTTGTTGCGATACAGCAGATAACATCCTTTCTTCGAGACGATTAAACTCGTCGAAGCAACCCCAAGCGCCGACCTAAATATTATTATTAATATTTAAGAATTAAATTGATAAAAGTGAAGCTTTATAATAAATTTGTATAACACTGAAATATCTAAAATAGAAATACCTGACATAGACCAACAAAGATTCTTCCCATGGCCTGGAAATCGAATGTCTCGTCACAATTGAAGACGAGCACAAACCGACCCAGTTGGTTACCCAAAGCTTTTACGGATTCCGTTTTACCGGTACCAGCCGGACCTATTAACAAAATTTCATATTATTAAAACTATGTAATAACTAAAGTGAATTTTTTTAAAGAACTTTGAAGAACTATTTTATTATTACCTACTTATAATAACTGTCAAAATGTCATATCATTTTTATTTGAGCACAAGATTATTAAAGTCTATGTTTTGTTTAATTTTGAAATGAAATATTTTAAGAAATGTATACATACCAAACGGAGAACCGCCAAGTCTTGCCTCCAAAGCCTGGGTCATGGTCAAGTAACAGCGGTCTGTAAGTGGTGTTTGTACCAAACGGTCTTGCACGCCGAGGTATTCAAAACCATATAGGAATTTCGCATTTGCCATGTGAATTGTGAGTTGTTGAAGAACCTATAACACAAAAATGCTTTTTAAATAAATAAATGTATGTATTTTTCCAAGGAATTTTAATTTTTATCTCTGAACTTTTTAGTTATATATTTTTGACGTGACAACGTCGTCAAATCGATGAACGCCGGCTGCACGCACGAAAAAGCATGACTCATTGTACGCTTGCACTGCATCTATCTCTCTTCCACTAGTTTAGCCTATGCGTCCGAGGATTCACTTCTTCTTTGTATCCATACAAAATAGTGATAATTCATTAAAATGATTCAATTTTATACATAAAAGAACTTATTAATCTATGGTCCGTAAACCGACTTTACAGACAACCACTTTTTTCTTCTAAATATTGCCTTGAAAACATTCAGGCACCAAAATCATAGTAGTACGTCTCAAACAATAACCCTCTAAACCTCAAATAGCTGTTTTTTCCTAATTGCTTCCGTCACTTGTTTTCAATAAATGTCATGTTGTAATAACCTTCTAGAACTAATTGCGTAAGTTCTATACTTACGCTCTCTCTATAGAAGATCTTGAGAAGAAAATGTTTAACAAATTATAATAACAATATATGACTGCTACGTTCGATCGTAAAATTTACAGATTTCCGAAAGTGAACGTAAGCCTTTATATATTATATATATGACTTTATATGTAAAGTTATTAGGAATTACACTCACATCATTGTTCCTAGGATCAAAGTAGAATCGCATCTCTGAGAGCCAATCAAACGAGCGTGCGCTGTTGACATCATTGGCGATGAGACGTCGTGTTACCGTTCGCTTGTGAACAAACTCGTTTATCTGTGGACAAAACAAGTTAATATTATATTTTACACACAATCTAAATATCAATAAAATGATAGTTGCCTTTCCTTTACATGTAATTATGTTAAATTTTTATATGTATTATAAAGCAACAAAGTGTATATAAATAAATAATATGCACTGTATTGTAACGTCAAATTCCCTCAAACGTCATCTTTCGTAGTCGAAATGTGTGTTTTTTTTTTAAAGACAATTCACACCAATTGACCTAGTCCCATGCTAAGCTGGTGAAGCTTGTGTTATGGGTACTAGGCAACGGATATACATACATATTATAGATAGATAGACATATAAATACATATTTAAACGCCCAAGACCTAAGCACAACACCAAATGCTCATCACATCGATGTTCGTCTCAGCCGGGGATCGAACCCGGGACCCATGGATTCGCAGTAACTAACCACTAGACCAATGAGTCGTCAACAACTCAAAACAACTCAAAAATGAGAAAATGTGTAGGAATTTAAGCGTCGCTATACAGTTCACTCTGTATTTTCTTGATAATTTTTTTGGCGTTAAATTTTGTACGTCCATGAACGTTTTTGAAATCATTGCATATTTTAGACATATTAGCTGAGATATTCCGGTATTATATATAAAAGAAGTTTACCAAATGTTCCAGTTTCTTTCTTCTCAAAGGCGGTTGCTCCTGTAGTACAGAGTCAGCAAGTATATTTAACATGTTCTCAACGTGAGATAAGACTCGCTTGAGGCCATCACCTCCACCGCCGACTAAAGCTGCATCTACGTCTTCGGACCAGAGAATTTGTACGGCCAACACAACAATTTGAGCCTGAGGACGGGAAAGTATAATGAAAATAAATATAAGTAATAATAAAAATAATTGAATCCTGGGATAAACGTAACAATTTGTTAAATATGTTTAAAGAACTTTATTCTTGGTGTTGTAGGTAGTGGGTACCGTACACATCGGCTCCCGTGTAAAAATACAATTAAAAATAGAAATTCCCCTTATATTGCTATAATGTTGTTTTAAATGAATTAAGCAAGGCAAATTAGTGCAGTGTGTGACTTTTCCAAGTTGTTGTGTTAATGGGATAATCAAATTTTCAACATAATAACAAGCGCTCTGGTGCAGTGGCCGTTTTAAAACATCAACAATACGCTAAATGGAAAAATACGCAAGTGAATCATAACATTAACATTATTTTGCATTTGATAGTTTTTTGATTAATTATAATAATCATATGCATAGATTCAGTGAAGTTCGAGTTTTTGTTCAACGTGGCGCGTTGTGCGTTTGTACTCAGCTATTGGACTGGAATATATACTATTATTTCGGCTGATTAATCGACCGCCCGCTCGGCGCAGTGTTGCAGAGCGCTGCCATAATATCGTTATATAGTGTCTGACGTGGTTCCAATCCAGGCATCCCACTTGTTTTTGTTTTTATTTATTTTTTATTAAAAGTTGCTATGGCGCCTTCAAATTGTTGTGCTAGCTGTCATATTGAGCTACCAAAAAAGGATTTTTTATGCTGTCATATCTGCAAGTTAAAATACGACCTAGAATGTGCTAATGTCTCCCGCAAGCGCTTTGTTGAGATGGTCGCAAGACAAAAGGCGTCATTTAGATGTCCCGAATGCTCTAGGAAACCGACTAATGTTAGCAATGCAAAGACGTCATTGCTGACTTGTGAAAATTCCGATGGAAGCCCCCATAGTATGAGCTCACAAGAAGCAAGTCCGGAGAGTGAACCTCCGTGCTCTAAAGTAACGCAGCGAATAAAGCCATCACATGGACCCCCTTCACAACTACCAGAACTAGAACCATATGTCACTGAAGATAAATTGCGAGATATCTTACAACAGGAGTTATCTTCAGTCCTCACTGTGACAATAAAGCGATTGGTGACATCGGAACTTAATAATCTCACTGAAAGGGTTGTTGGGTTCCAGGACACAATCTGCTTCCTGAGTCGACAATTTGAGGATATAAAGTCTTCTCTTGAGGAGAAGGACATCGCAATAGTGAATCTAAAAAAAGATAATGAGAGGTTAAAGTCTAATGTGGCTGACCTAACGAACCGGCTAACTTCTGTTGAACTACATGCCCGGGAGAATAATATATTGATTAATGGGATCCCTGAGAATAGGTCAGAAAATTTATTTGAAACTGTCCTTCGTATAGCCAAGACTGTGGACTGTCCCCTCACTCAAGTTGATATTCAGCACGTAACAAGGGTTGCTAAAATAACTAATAGCAGTGATAGGCCTCGGTCCGTGGTAGCCAAGTTATGTAGCCCGCGTACACGTGACTTTGTTCTGGCTGCTGTGAGCAAATTTAATAGGAAGAATCCACAAGAGAAATTAAACTCTCATCATCTTGGTATCGAAGGAACTAAGAAACCTATTTATGTATCTGAACATCTTACATCAGTTAACAATGCTCTTTACGCGGCCACACGCTTGAAAGCAAAAGAGAAGCAGTATAAATTTGTATGGGTTCGCAACGGACGCGTTTTTACAAGAAAGAACGAAAACTGCCAAGCCTTGCTTATTAAGAATAACGAAACCTTAAATCTTTTAACATAGTATAGTATATTAGATTGTAAGCTTTTTGTTGTATCTTTAGTCTAGTAACACACTGATTTTTTTTTACGATGCTTGAAATTTATTATCAAAACGTACAGGGGTTGAGAACTAAAACGGCAAGCTTTCTCAAATATTTGTCAACTTCTAATTACAAGATCATCGCTCTAACTGAAACTTGGCTGAAATCTGGTATTTCAAACATGGAATTATTTGACAATAGATACACTGTTTATCGTAGAGATCGTTCAAGTTCTACCAATACCAAATCGGATGGTGGAGGTGTCATACTGGGAGTCTCCAAAGAAATTTCTTCTTTCAGAGTTGAGGCATGGGAATCGGATGTGGAGGACTTATGGGTCACCTTACATATAAATATTAATAAAATAATAAAGAAACTTTCGATATGTGAAGTATACCTGCCTCCTCCTGTTAAGATTGGGACTTTGACACATTTTTTAGACAGCGTCGACAGAGCTTTAATCTTAAGTGATGATGTCAATCTAGGGTTCATTAATTGGAGATCGCTAAATAATGAAGTTTTTATAACACCTTGTAATTATAACAATACACTTGGCTTTGCCTTTATTAATTTTATGTCTATGAATAGCCCAAATCAATGTAATAGTATAGGTAATAGTGATGATCGTTTCTTGTATTTAGTATTAAGTAATATGTCTAGTATTAATGTATCAGCCCCCTCCGACTCGTTAAGTAAAATATACGCGAATCATCCTAGTTTATTGTTAAGTATTAAATATTCTAAAATATCTTTTTTGCGAACGAGAGGTAATACTTAACTAAGTTTTTAAAAAGCTGACTATGTGTCTATTATAGGGGATCTGAAAACCATTGATTGGAATGATAGCCTACGCGCTCATAATAATGTTAATGATATGGCATCTGAGTTCTACAAAATCCTTAACACCTTGTATATTATGTTTTAATTGTATTTTTTACATTTTTTACATTTTAAATTTCTATTTTTTGTTTGTGAAACTTGTGTTTACGTTAATTGTCACACATTTTAGATGTAAGTTTTTGTAAAATAATTAGTAGATTAAGTATTGTGTGTGATGTCGTAAGCCTAATAAATAAAAAAAAAAATAAAAAAAAAATCTTATTAAAAAAAATACAATTTTATTTTCATGAGACATTAATTATTATGCCAATTGTACATCGCCCAACAATCGTAAGTCCAACAGGAGTTTTAATTTTGTCTTCTGGGGTAAAATAATGTGTTATTTTAAAACACGTTTATATTTATCAATTTTTTATTTTATATAACAACGGGAAGGAGGCTCATCTAAAAATACCCCCCACCCATGGACACATTGTCAGAAGGCTCGCAAGTACGTTGCCGGCATTTTAAGAATCGGTACGCTCTTTTCTTGAAGGAACCTAAGTCGAATTGGTTCAGAAATAATTCAGTGGACAGCTGGTTCTACATAGTGGCAGTGTAAATACAAAAATTATTGTAATGGTCTTACGATGCAATGTTTAGTCCGTTTCGTGTATTGCCATTGTATAATATGGAACAAAGACAAAAATATGTCTTAATATTCATCTTGAATTACTATTACTTGTACGTTATATTTACTTACCTTACTGGAAGGACCAAAACTTCTGAAAATCGTTAATTAATTCAATTGCTACTATTTAAAATAACGTAACTTACTTGATATTTATCACACCATTCGATGAACTTCTGCGGGTCGACATTTCCGTCTTTGAACTGCTTTACGTCAGCGACTGAGTCTTTGAGACGACAAGCGAGGGTCACGCGCATCTCTCGCTCGACCATTGAGAGCCAGGAGTTGATTTTGGGATTCTCAACTGTTGATACCGGCGATGTAAAGTATACCTAAAAAAATATTGTATTAGCCGATTCCTCTTTTTAAGTTGAGAGACACAATATTAAAGTGTACAAATTATGAGTTTGAAAAAAGAAAGTTTGAATAGAAATAAAGACATTTTCGGATCAAAATTACTGAATGTACTATTATGGTAAATTAATAAAAAAACAAAAGAAGCCTACTCATTAAGGTTTTTGAAGTTTTACCCTCACAGAGAAACAATCATCCACATAGTAGCTTCTTCTAGTTATTTTTAATTCATTTTTATTAAATAAATATCATAAAAATAATATGATCTAATATTATCGTATTAAGTCTCGCCTGTCTCATTTCAACACAGCATAAACCCAATTTAACAGAAAAGGACGAAAACTTTTAGTTTTTGAATCAAAAGGGAATATTTAAAGCTAAAAGGACAGACTATCTTAAACTACTCACTTCTTCGCCTTCCCGTGAAGCGATACCGTTAATGATTGTGTTATCCTCATTCAGTATAATTGCAGCAACACCCGCAAACATCTTCTTAAAGTGCTTTTGCAGACGAGCAATATTCTTGCTGTTACCAATTATCTCCAAGAGATCTTCGTCTCCCACAAAGTAGAACCTAAGAAAATAACATTTATGATATTGATTTTTTTCGTCTATATGGAGTTTGTCGTGGCTCGTGTACTTTGATTACTATATTTCTACTATACATGTGTCTTTACTAAGACATCATGGAACATAACGATCTAGCCTAACTTAAGACTAGTAAGTAATTTAAGTCTAACCTAATTTACTAATAAGGATTTTTACATAAGGAAGTGTCCAATAACACTACTAACAGTCTCTATTAAAGGGAACACATTTTGTTCTTGGGTTCCATTCTTTTCACTCACTTTTTAGCACTTATACGAACGTGCACAAACACTAAAAGTGGATGAAGCGAGAGGAAGTGGTTGGAAACTGGAAGTGTCTGAAGTTTTCGCTTATCGTAATGAATTTTCTGATTACCTTTCAGGTGGTATAATTTAATTTTAGATGAGGATAGATAACTACAACGCCAAACTGTATGCTCCTATTTTATCATCAGTAGGTTCTTTGGATTATCTCCATATGGTAGCAAATATAAATACGAAGACGAAATATAGGCACGTAAATAGGTTTGCAGCCTATATTCATATTTTTTATGTATTAGACCGATAATTGAACAAAATAACCAAAAAAATTAATCACAAAAATGAACAAAAATAACACACAAAAAATTTAAATATATTAAGAATAACATACCTTGGGAAACTGCTTCTTTCTCTTTCTAGATATTCACCCAAAGCCTTTTGTATTTTTCCAAGTAAGTCTGCAAGACGTTCAAGAGATCGCTGAACTCCAGGAATATTCAACACATCCATAACCATTGGGGATTTGCTTACTTTCTTCATTAGACCGAGGAATTCAGAACTGGAAAAAAAAATATATTGTTAAAAAATCTTGTAGTGCATGTTTAGAATAAAGAATATGTCTTAAAACAATTGTATTTTCACTGTTTGACAGTTTAAATTATAGTTAGTTTAGGGCCCTGATTTTAGTTTTTATTACGATTGACATTACTTTAACTCTAACAATCAATAAGAAGCAACTAGATATTTCGGCCAAACTAATACAACGAACTAGAACATAGAAAAAGTTAGTTAAAACGTCTCTCATATTTCGTATGCTTTTATTTTTTGGATTGTGTTTCTATAGATATTTACAATACTTACATATTAAAATTAAATACAAATTTAAATACAATTTAAAAGGAAAAAAGAAGAAAATAAAATACTTTTTTTTACTAAAGAAATATTATAAATATATATACAAACAAAAGACACGGCTGCGTATAAGTAGGTATTACGATAGTTTATAAATGATAAAAATATATTTTTTGTATAAAGATATTAAAAGTACTATCAATGTATATAGAAAGTGAAATATTGTTAAATATCGCCCATCCGGTTACAGGAAGGGGTTTCTGTTATTATTATCTTAAGTTATATTATTTAGTTTTATTATTATGTTAAGTTATTATGCTATATTATTTAATTTAAGGTCTTTTTCTCATATTTATCTTATATTATGTTTGTGCACACCGTCACCTATTATCGAGGCCACAAATTACTTCTAATTTGTATAACTCGTCTCTTTTCGTATTTTTTTTGTAATGAGTGGCTTATACTCGTATGTATATAATTAAATACCTAATGCTCTGGAATCTGCTAGTTTCAACCGGTAGCAAAGTTTTGATGTCAGCCGAACCACTGAATATGCCTTCGAGGTAGACCCAGCGTCTCTGCACATCGATCCACACATCGAACAACGCGTTGATACGGTTGAGTTTCTCTTCCCATGTAAGAGCTTCTTCTTCAAACACCTTTAAACAGAATAAAGTTATATTTTAAACAATTATAAAAAACTTCCCGTAACCGACGAGTATGAATGGTGATGTCATGAAAGTGAATGAGCAAGGGTAAATCCGTGCTCTCTGCCTATCCATTCAGGAAAAAGTCGTGAATATTAAAATAAATATTGTGTTTTTAATTATAAATTTATGGTTTTATTTTTATAAGGAATTATCGATTTGACATTATTAAACTATTAGGTAAGGCAACTTAAATCATCAAAGAACAAACTAAAACGCACATTTAATGGCAAACATTTAATAAGCGGCCGTTGCCTAATAGTCTGCCTGTTGTTTATTAATAGCCACACAAGATTGTTATTTTTTTTATATTTAAGTTTTAAGACCTAAAATTTAAAATGTCCTACCTTATAATAAGGCGACAGCTTCATAGCAGCAACACTATTGATATGCTCCTTAACTTTGTTGAATAAATCATCCCAACCACGAATTATCTTGCATTTGTTTTGATAGTTGATCAAGTCCAGTTCGTAACTCTGCCATGATTCACGAACCTGTTTTAATGGAGATGGTATAAAATCGTTGTTTGAAATATAAAAATAGTTTAAAACTAGATAAACATTATCCGTAAATTGTACATAATCACTCTCATAAAACATGATACATATGCTTCAAATCTCGTAACTTAAATCCAAAACATTTTTGACATACAGCAGTCATACTATTATTTTTATACGGTTATAATAACTTTCACCAAGATATAGATATACAAACGCGTATTAGATTTTAACATATTATCCTAGTTCGCTAAGTTTAACTACTCGCGGGACTCAGAATTCGTGTACGACGTACGCATACGTGTCAGGGTAGGTTTTAAAAAACTGAGTAAAATATAAAAATTAATAAAAGAAAATACATACACATTGTAAGTGCATAAAATGGTTGACGAAAACTAAGATCCGCACAAATATTTGATGTAGCATAGTCTATTAGTGCAATATATTGGAGTGCTCAATACCAAGATTTGTTAATGAGCTACCGGGGTCCTTATAAAACAGTTATAAGAGGAAACTTCAAATAAAAAAACAGCTTAAAACATTTTTATATTAGTGACGCAATGAAGCGTGTGGTTTTGGAGCCATAAAATCATTGCTTTTATATAATAAATAAGATGTCGCCGCCACTAGGACGTCAAGTTATACTCGACGAGCATTATATATTTTGTACCTGCTTCAAGAACTCCTCGAGAGCCATCTCACCCTGCGCCACAGACACAACATCGCGCACAGTATGTTCATTATGCAGTAGGTCCGCATCCCAAACCTGGCCCAAGGTCAGCTCAGACAGAGACCATTCCACTTTCAAAGCGCGGCACAGTTGACGCCAGTGTCGCTCTTTGAGGGCGTCCGATTTCAACTCCACGATCAACATGTTCACCTGGTAATATATATTGCAATTTACTGAACGGCTTTATAGATTTGATAAATTGGGATACAGCTACTACAAGAGATTATCTTTTCTTATAATAGCTGAAGCCCATTTATTAAATTATGGTCTTTGGCCTTAAAACTCTTAAAGTATTAATTAAAATTCCGTCAAATCTAATTAAATTTAATACCACTAAAACTCTGTAATAGATCAGAAAACCCAAATAGATACCAAAGAAAGAGTCTAATTTGTATCAGATTTACATTATTTTGTATGAAAAAAAAAACATATTTCCCAAATACCATTCTGTATAGATAATGTAAAATAAAAACTTTATTTTGCTAACATTTTTCTAATATCATAAACAATTATATTTATACCTTGGTGTAAGACTGGAGCAACTTGCGAACGTATTCATAGCTGTCGTACATACGCAAGCGAGCTGGTAATTCTTTCAACTCATTCAACATTGCTTCTAATTGTTGCCTGAAAGACAATAACATTACTATTAATATTATAGTATAGAAATTTTATTACAATTTAACAGGCATTTAACACAAATCGGCATCCTCTTGAATAGTTCAAACTAGGGTTTATACTTTATAGTTACAGTTTTACAAAGACACACAATTTGTGTCCTGGGTTTTTGTATCAAAGATTCATAATTAGAGCGTTATAATACGGTCCAAATACGATAAATAAAAATACCTGCCACAATGCTTTTCGACTACACTAATTTAGATATTTTTTTGGAAACAAATTGTATAAAAGAAAATGAAAAAAATATACAATGTTTTTGTAAAAAAAATATTAAAAATATATGATACTTTACTCTCTTTGAATAATCCATACATTAAATCGTATAGATAACTTAACTATGTTAGGGTACAGCTAGTACAACGAAAAAGTTACCTGAGCTTCCTAGGCTGTACAGAGAGCCAAGGTTTATCGCGAATATCATCGATTTGTGTCCAGATCTTGCTAAGCGAAGACCAAACACCGCGCAAGTCTTGCAATTCTTCTAGTGCGACTGTCATACGCTCGTTGTTCACTGAGCTACCTGATAGAACAAATAAACAAAGATTTTCGGATCAAAATTGGAGTAAAAAGAATTATTTACTATTTTATGTTTATACTTATGTTTGAAATAAATGCGTGTGCGAAACTTGTGAAAAGTTATATGAATAAAATAAGAAAACACTTTTTGTGTGTGAAAACTATACTTTTATGTAGCGCCAGTAAAATCTGAAACTGAATAGCAAAAATATGCGAAGGCTATTTATTCAGTTAATATTAGACCCAAAGCTCAAGTTAATTTCAACCTCATAAATTGTCCCGCACCTTGTTAACTGTATACACGCAAATCTTAAAATAACACCTGAAAATTTCAGAGGTATTTTTAAGATTTTTTTTTGGTCAACCTAAGACGTGATTATTGATAAACTCCATAAAACGTTTGTATTATATTCCATTTATTATGTAAAGCGATAATAAAAAAAATACACTAATTCTTTATCTCTCAATATCTTACATGCCTTAGAAAATCGTCCCAGTAACTAACACTTTTAGAATTAATTAAATTCGAAAAAACTGTCTTAAACCTTTCAGTAACCACGATACGCTACGTAAATCTCTCGACTATTAAAACGGAACATTTATCGCGTCTCTTCTTCAACCAACTTTCGTTAAATCAATTTCTATTAACTAATTCACCTTTAGCGATATACGGCTTTCAACTTTTAAAACAGTTAAATCTTTTTTTCACCTTTTGCACTGAGAGGGGTTTACTGAAATCTTAAAAGTTTACTTTTATCATTATTTTAAAATTTAACAACCTCCGAACCTATTGTCGGACAATATAGCGGAAGTTTATGAGCAGACGACGATTTTATCGGTAAGAAAATTATTATACATCGTTTAGAAATTTAGTTGAAAATTTGAAATAACTAGACGTTTTTTTATCAGTAATTACGAAAAACAACTGTTTCTACCAAATATGGTAGAGGCAGAAAGGCACTTATGACCTTAACAAAATCTCGCTATTAACTTCTGTTATGAAAGTATACTGACCCGTATCATGAAGTTCCAAAGCCTCTTTTGCCTTAGCAACGTTGTCCCTTTCGTCTTTAAGGCGCGTGTACCGTGTCTCCATCGCATTAAGACGGATCAAAGCGTCTTCTGGTCGAGTAGAGCCATCAGTGGGCTTACTGCGTTCCCATTCAGTGAGGAATTCAACTGTACGAGATTCGACCGCTTTGTCTTCAGCAACGATCTTTTGTTGGAGGGATGCCACCTATAAAATTTGAATATTTACATATATTTTCTTACCAAACTTTACTTAAAACACCATATTTACACAATAAATTAGTGGTCTTATCGCCAATTTTAAAAATTTCCACAAATTCAGTTTTATTGTCATTTTTATAAGTAACAAATATTATTTCTATATGAACATACCTGTGTCTGAATCGAAGAATCCTTCCTGCGCATGATTTCGTTAAATGCGCTCCATTCTCCTTCTATATTGTCAACGTGGAGCCAAGTAGATGGAAATTGGAATCTGTACGGAAAGAAAATTACATAAGTATTATGAAACTTAACGTTATCGTCGGGACAGTGATTTTATATATACGCATTTAATCCAGTATAGGGTAGTTTATTTTATACATTAATATATTCTAGGCTTATATTCGTCAAACAAATTAAATAAATCGAACTACTGGCTACAACCTTTTTAGGTCTGGGGCTCAGATTTCTGTATCTGTTTTATAATCATTTATCAATGTAATAGGCAAGTAGGTGATCAGCCTCCTGTGCCCGACACACGCTGTCAACGTTTTGGGTCTAAGGCAAGTCGGTTTCCTCACGATATTTTGCTTCACCCAATGTTAAATGCTCATATAGAAAGTCCATTGGTACACAGCCGGGCATCGAACCTACGACCTCAGGGATGAGAGTCGCACGCCGAAGCCACTGGGCCAACACTGCTCACATATTTGTCAAAACTCTTGTTCAAAGATCGATAAACGAGTTTTTGGCTAAATAAATCACATGATAATAAAATCTAAGTTACATTTCCCATAAATGAGGTTCAACTAAGTCCAACGTATTTAATAATTACCTTTGTCTCTCCAGAATACGTTGAGCCTCTCGGTAAATATCGACCTGCTTTTCCCAGGCCAACACCTCACGCTTCAGTTGCTGTACGTATGTGATAAGAGATACCGCATCACTGGTGGATGCTGCCTCTGTGTAAGTGAATTTTTTTAATTGATTATATTTGTATTCTCGAAATATTCTGTATTATAATATGTATAAATAAAGTAAATAGTATAGCTTTTAGTCGTAAGAATGCTTACTGATCTCAAAAAAAAACCAGTCAAAAGCCGGGTTATGTTGTCCGACCAACAATATTAACTAATTAATAAAGAACTTTACGTTTTGTCTTGATATATCATAATTATCCTATTGGACATATTCAACATAGATAACACAAAAGATTCTACTTATATATACTATATTTTCTGTTTTTATCTATATTTTTATATATATCAAATAACGTACTACGAAGTATTTTGATCGATGTATCTATATTTCACTTTAATATTTAAACTTTATTCCACGCTTCAAGGTACAATTAAAGATCAAAGACGTAGAACTAAAAATAATTTTTGTGAGAAAATTCAGTGTGCATGATATGTACACCCGTGCACGTAGTACGTGCATGCGCACGTAAGTACGTTAATGATCATATGAAAAACCTCCCATCTCCCTAGAATGTCTCACCTCAAACCACCACGTAATAAATAATAATGTAAGGGACTAAATTTGAGAGGGACCATATAATAAATTAGTCTAAATATTTATTGGGAAAATAACCTCACAAAAGATAATACTTTAGTGAAGATAGCAAATGTTAAATTATATCTTACCAATGGTTTGCTGTTCCAGCTGTCCCCTGGACTTGGCAAGGCTGCTATGGAAGGCCACCATTTCCCCACCAAGGAGTGCACCAAATTTGCCCAACACTTCCTTGTGCCACGCGTCGTATTTCAGCGCGACTTTACTTTGCACGCGAGCGAAGTCAATCACTACGGGCCCGTATTCACGGCGGGTGTCCGATGTATCGAATGTCGTACGAGATTTCCTTTTATTAAAGACAAGTAAAAAGAAAATATTAAACGGCAGAATCAATATAAGAGAAAACTTGGGAAAATTATAGAAATTATTGGTTCGACTTAAAACTATCTTATCGTATCGAACACTAGTTCGTATAACACGAATTAGTGCGGGTGCTTCAGGGTACAAAATGTTACTAACATTATAAAATTGATTTCAAGATGCATTAAATAATTAGTTAGAGTTCGTAAAGAACGTATGAAAATTCAACAAGAAATTACTGTCTATCATTTGATAATTTAAAAAAAAAACTAATTCAACCTAAAGCAGCATTTCTCGAAGAATCAAACTTAAGTTTACTTACTTTATGTCGTTCAGGCATTTAATCCACAATGTAATATCTTCTCCCAGTCGACCATACAAGGTCTCGGGTTGTAGATCCCATAGGGCTTGATAACTATTTAAAAAAAAAGATTTATTAGCATTTCATGTCTCCACCTTCTATTTAAAACTTTGTATGAATGTTGCCTCCTCCTAATTTTTACAGAGAAGTTGTAGAGATAAGAGAGATTTTGTTGAGAAACAGTCATATAATACTCTAGAAGCATTTTGAAATGTTTGGTCCCCTTTATTCATTTGCAAATTGACACAAAAGTTTATATCCCACACTTTTTTTTAAAACAGGGGCAAACGGCAAGGTTCAGTGATACCGCCGCTCATGGACACTCACATTGCCAGAAGGCTCGCAAGTGCGTTGACAGGATTTTAAGAATTGGTACGCTTTTTTCTTGAAGGAATGTTCGCTCTCTGAGCATCCACCACTCAGCTCGGGTGCTCAGCGTCCCGGTGGAGGAAGGGGATTCTCCACCACGAGACATGTGGTACATGTGGTCCCTGCGGTAGTAAGTTTCTTCTGCACATTTTTATACGAGAATTTTAACTCACCGTAGCCATTCATCGACATATTCTCGTACTTGCGATATTTTCTTTTCAATCGCATCATACACATTCTCGAGCGGCGAAGCGGCTCCCGGCAGTTTGGTCAGTAGGTTTCTGTAGGTCGCTGTTTGTGCGCGAGCGACTCCTACTTGATACCTGAAATGCACGTTTATTTTTGTTACATGACAATTAGAACCATTCCAAATAAAATTCAACAATAATTATGCACCATAACACAGTGTATGAACAATGGTTTAAGTCTCAAATTGTGTAAGTACAGTTCGTTGTGTCCTCAAAAAAATTGAGTAAGCCAAAATTTGACGACTTTGTCAGATCAAGCAATTTTGTAATTAAATTAGAAATTATTTTAATTGGTTAAAATTGTTTTTTTTTCGCTTCTGTCCGTATAACGAAAATTCTCTACATCGAAAAAAAATGCTCGGCCCATTAAAATTCGTTACACTGAACTTCAAAAATTAAAGAAAAGTTTTTATTTTGTAATTTATCACAGAGATTATATATGACCGCGTAAAAACGGAAAATCACAATACGTTACCTATAAAAAATTTAGCTTGTGGTGAAAGAATTTTCGAAATCAATTCAAAAGTTTTACTAACTTCCTTAAAATCAACGTGGGGCCTAATCCCAATTCGAAAATGTACCCAACGTTTTGAAAATTAACTTACTGTGTTTCCTAGTGTTTTCTTCCGTAAATCTATCATTTAAATATCTTAAGTGAACTTAAATGATAGGTTTTTCTAATTCAATGTTTAATATGACAAATTATGTAAGCCAAAAAAAGTTGGGAAACACTCGTCTAGAGACTTACACATATAATTTACATACAAAAAGTTTTGTCTATTGCCAACGGAAAGCAATTTTATTATAAACTATGGAAAGAAAAGGAAATATACAAACCTAGTACTCTGCAAGCGATGCTGGCTGGTAACAACAGCCTGCCAGGCGAACATCTGCCGCATTAGCTGGAAACGCGCCTCTTCCAGTGACGGGAATAAATACATTTGCTGGTTTGTTATACGCACTTCGTGTACGACGCGAGCGATCTGTATTCATAGAAATACGCATATTAGTGGAGTAAAAAATTAAGTATTGGCCTAGTGGCTTCAGTGTTCGACTCTCATCCCTGAGGTCGGAGGTTCGATTCCCGGCTGTGCACCAATGGACTTTCTTCCTATGTGCGCATCTAACATTGGCTCGAACAGTAAAGGAAAACATCGCGAGGAAACCGCCTGAAGGCAAGCCGCCTTAGATCTAGAAAGTCGACGGCGTGTGTTAGGCATAGGAGGCTGATTACCCACTTGTTTATTAGATTGACAAATGATCATGAAACAGATACTAGACCTAGAAAAGCTTAAAGCGCCACTGATTTTGAATTTAGGATGAAGTTAAATCAAGTATGACGTTCATCTAACAGGACATTAAAATTCCGTGATTTGACAGAACAATATTTTTCCAAAGCTGGAATATGTTTTAAAAAGAAAATGGTAATTAAACTTACAATCAAACTCTTCGCAAATCAAGTGTTATCCTATATGTCACAGGTTTAAAATATTAGAAAAGCAAAACAATACCTCTGGTTCACCACCCGGTTTGTGTGTTGGCTCAGTGGGCGAGTATGTATCCATAGACAGGTCCATCTCGTTCGTCTTTCCAAGTAGTGCTGCGGTCCAGGCTTCAATGCCAGCTTGTAAACGAGCAGCTAAACTTTTTTCAACCTATAACAGCGAGATATAATATAATTTTTGCTAAAAACATTTTAAGTGAGCAGTGTTGGCCTAGTGGCTTCAGCGTGCGACTCTCATACTTGAGGTCGTAAGTTCGATCTCCGGCTGTGCACCAATGGACTTTCTATGTGCGCATTTAACATTATTAAAACATCGTGAGGAGACCGACTTGTCTTAGACCCAAAAAGTCGACGGCGTATGTCAAGCACTGGAGGCTGATCACCTACTTGCCTATTTGATTTAAAAATGATCATGAAACAGATCAGAATCTGAGGCCAAGACCTAAAGAGGTTGAAGCGCCACTGATTTTTTTTAAAACATTTTAAATCAATGTTATTCGCTGTTAAATAATATTTATTTTTAACACAAATCATCAGTTTTATACACAGGAAACTATGAGAAGCTTTGTTAATTTTCAAGACCTATTTGGAACTATACTATTCTTGTACTGTACTAATAAATATATTACCTCTTCGTCGAGCCGCTGTACCCACAAGTGTAAGTTGCTGTACTGTCTAAGAGATAATTCATCAATGGCCCTCTGCAAGCGGCTAAGGATTTCCGCAAGGCTTTGAGCGGAGTACGGGCACGTCTCTAGAGAACGTACGTCGACAGAGATTTGCTCCTCAACAGCCAGAAGATCTTCAACCTGTTAAAACGATATCATTTATAGCGTTAAAATCATCAGTTAAAATGGAGTCCAAAACCCTTTGCACTAAAACGGTTTACTTCAGTATTGTGGAGTTGGGTTATGTAAATGTTGGACTTAAGGGTTAAAATTCAGAGGCAAACTGTGACTGCTAATTGTTGGATTTTACTACGATAAATACATACAAGAGTCACACTTAATAACCACAAATCTAACTAACCTAAGCTACTGGGGTTAGACGTTAGGAATTAATTAACCAGTTGGTAAATAATTCACAAAAGAATATATACATATGTTTTAATGTGAGAACTGTAGAAAAAATACAACAAGTAAAGATACTATAGAATCTTTCAAAACATTGTTTTCATATAAAAAGCTATTTGGGTAGAGTATAAAATATTACCTTTTCTTGGAAAATAAGAACAACTTCACTCAGTTTCTGCACGTATGGATCGAGTTTGTACGACTCCCATACGAGCGCCATCCCCTCCGATACTTGATTCAGTACGTCTCGACGTAAACCAGCCACCAGAGGAATTATAGATGCCTTGTCGCGAATCTATTACAAAGTATCAAAATTAAAATAAATATATTCGAAAGGGAAGATCTTTTCTTATTATAAACAAAAACATAACGAAAGCTAAAAAGTTTTAATTACAAAAAATATATATAAAGCTATAATAATGACTGAATATTTCCTTATAGAAACAGTAAGCGGCACTTCTTTATTGATAAAAAACCCAAATATGAACAAACTAAACATTATGGTAAACATGCTCTACAAATACAAATAAATCTACCTTTGTATGGTTCCTATTATTTAGCTGCGTGAAAAAATACGTGTTTTTAGTGACACCTACATTATTCATACAAAATATTTATGACCTTTAAAACGTATGAAACTCACACTACGAATAAATAAACTTGTCATGTATTTAATAATCATTCACTTTATTTATTGATCAATGATTTGGTGTCATCTAATTTGTATTGTGTTTTCTAATGTATATAAAGCTGATTGTTTGCTATGTGCGTTTTTTGTGTGATTTAATTCTTTAGATATACCTTTTCCAACGTCCGTTCGTACGTACGTACGCTTTCTATGAGCGAAATGGCAAACGGGTAAAGTTGGTTCGCTTGATGAGCTTTGTTCACGATCGCTAGGGGAACTCTGAAAGGCATTAGAATATTGTTTTAATGAAATCTATTAATTACTGTATTAAAAACTTAGTAAAGTATAAAACGCGGATATCTTTTTGAGACTTTTCATATAATTTATTGGTGTAATAATAGTCAAATATTTTTTGAAACATACCTGAAACCCAAATTTTTCAAATTGCGCACTTCCTTGTACAGCGTGATGATTTCGGGCAAAAAGTTAACTTTTAATTTGAGTATTGTAGCTCCAGTTTTAGTGGACCGAGCGCGGACTGTCTCTATGGCGAAGATTCGGCCAGATACGCCTAGATTTCGTTGTTGTACCTACACAAGAAAGCATTTAAAAAAATATAAGTACATATATAATAACAGAGAACAAAGAAATTGTATTAATTTTAGTTGTGTTTTATGTAAGTAACATTAAAATTCTAAATAACACAATTTTGATATATCACCTCTGATAACTCAATTTTTACCGTCTAAAACCGTGTTTTAAATTGTGTGAACATTAATTCTAAAATGGCAACATTTAATTCTAATTCATACAAATTTAAATACCTTTAAAAACACACTGGTTTTAATAAAGTAAAGCGAATTTTGGTGACAATCCATAACAATACCAAATAGTTACTAAGGTCGTTAAATTCGATATTTCTTTAAGAAAACTTTAATTCACACACTCACTACGGCATTTGCTCTAAGCACAATTGATTTTATAAAGTATCTATGTAAAGTATGGTTAATAAAATCCACGAACCTTTCGTGACCATTCGTCAAACACTTCTTGTGTATCGAGCTTAAGTCGGAAACTGTCGCCATCTGCTTTTAGTTTTTGCCCTTCGATATGGTTCTCCCAACCTTTGCCTATGAATTTTATTGATTATAATAGTGCGTGATCGATAATTAGGATTAAAATAAAATTAGGTTTTACGAAAATATATTTCCATGAGAAAGTCTTTCTTATATAAATTATTAAATATGATTTAATATATATACTAAAAGGAACATATTCATACAATTTCTTACACTGAACTTACCAAGTACATCTTCAACTCTTTTCAAATAAGCTGTCAATTGGTGATCGATTTGCTTTGCCCAAATAATGGAACCCGCTACAGGTGGCAGGTCTCGTACCAAAGACAATCGGGAGCACTTCGATTGAGGATATTGCACCTGGATTAAATAACATTTATCGTAAAATGGAAAGCCCTATTATATAGCTGGGAGGTAAATAATGGAATCAACAAAATTTTGTATTGTATTTTTTAGGCAACAATAAGTTTTCAAAGTCTAATTCATATAGGTAACACAATATACACTTATGAACGTCTAAGAAATGCTTCTAATTTTACATTTACTGCCAGTTCTCAAATCAAGGGCGTCGAACGGAAGGGAAGAACTTGCAATTAACTCTCCGCCACTCTTTTTAATCGCCAAGTTTTTTATTTTACACAACGTTTGTGAGGAGCCACACACATGACATCTTAAGTACTAAATAATATCAAAATAAATTAAAAACAAAGACTTGTCCTCTATCAGCAGGAGACATGGTGAAATAGGTGCACGCACTTACATTCTCGTGGGAACAACACGCAAATACATAGTCGAAATAACTAACATCACCGCATACACGAATTCAAGTACGACTAAATTTTATGGAAATACGGCAATTAGTACCTTAAACTTTTCATGTAGTTTCTCAATGTCGTCCTTGACACGTTGAATGAGCTGCGTTTGATACTCCCGTATGGCGCCTCTGATGTGCGGACGGACGAATAAAGCGTTGAACCGAGAGAAGATACGGAACATTTCGTTGGCGTTCTTTGCTGTACCCAGTTGGTCTCTGAGGTGGGCTGTTATACGGGTCTCAACGCGATCTAAAAATTCATAGATATTATCCAAACCAATTTTTTTAAACAAAGAACATATTCAAATTGACGTGTTATTTTTGTGTTCCGTTTTAAATCTAATTGAGCACCAATGGAATTTATTTCTATGTGCACATTTAACATTTGCTCAAACGGTGAAGGAAAAAATCGTGAGGAAACCGACATGTCTTAGACCCAAAAAGTCGACAGCGTGTGTCAGGCACTGGAGGCTAATCACCTACCTGCCTATTAGATTTAAAAATTATCATAAAACAGATTCAGAAATCTGAGGCTAAGACCTAAAGAGGTTGTAGCGCCACTGATTTATTTTTATTTAAATCTAAATGACTCCAAAGGAAATAAAGAACGATGAAAACACTTTGGATTTTTAAAGTTAATTCAAATCGATCTTATATGATGAAATGTAACGTAATAAAAATTCATTTATGTGGAAAAAGTATGATAGAAATTAGGACTGCGACAATAAAACAATTAATTTAATCCGGTGTAAATAAATGATTTAAAAAGTCAAAAATATACCAATTCTATCTTCATAACGTCGCACTGCCGCCTCCCACGCATCGCATCCTTCGCGAGATATATCCAAGCAGTCCACTTCCTTCACATTCTCGTAAGCGAGGTTTACCTATAATAAAGTGAACATTTCGATGATAATGAAACTAAAACCCTTATTCATAAACACGTTTTGCCGTTAAATAATTATATTGCAAAGTTGAGGTGGTTTTGGTCGGTCTTAGTAGGTCGGTAAGGTCTTGTTTATACAAGAAAGTTTAGTAACGAATTATTTTATTAATATAGTATTCCATATTACTCTGGAATTCCATGTATATATTTACATGTTTTTGAAGTACCTACGAGTATATGTTTAAATTTACAGAATAATACAATCTAAATTATGGTAGGTATATTACATTTGAAACCACTGCGGTTTGTATTAATGTAACAATAGCATTCTTGTTAGGAGAGAATGCATATATTTCTTCAACTTGTTTTTTTATGTTTCTTAACTTTAAGCTATTTAAGAACTGAAAGAGTCCATTAGTTAATTCAGCTCCCATTTTAACTTAACTACACAAACATTACCTCAGCAATGGCATTGGCATCTGCCGCATCCATGGGCAGGGAGTGGTGTTGAGCTGGTTCTCCACTACCACCAGTATCAGCTGCTGGAGTTGCTCGGGGACGTAGCACCTATAAAATATATTTAATAAGTCAACAACATTATAGCACTGGACTTCCTTTCTTACAAAAAGATGATTATAATTTCGTCAAATACATGGAAAATATTTGGTTGTATCTAGTTTTATCAATAGACCGAAAGTGGTTTATTTTTTTATAAACGGGTAAAGCTATATTTTTGTCCAAAATCTACACTATTTTTTAGATTACAAAAGATTTTTTTTGAATATGATTATTACAAAGAATAATAACTGTTAAATTTCATTTGATAGTTCAGCTATAATATAGTAGATTGTTATAATTTCAGTGTAATATGTCTGCTATATATTTTATTAATTTTCTTTATAATAATACTAATAGCCTTTAATTCAGATACCTACTTTTACATTTCTATTTCAATCTTCTTTTAGGTATCTGTGAAGCCAAATCCCGCTATTCCTCTCTGCACTATGCCACCATCTACGGTCTACCATCTGCTGTTTCTTTAATTTGGTCTATCCTTCTTTTAAGTTATCTCCCTCATTTTCGTTTGCTGTACATTGGGCACCAGTTTAGTACTTTTTTGCTCCACTTTTTTGTTCTTCTTGCCGAGTGCCCCGCCCATTTCCTCTTTAGTTTATTAATTTTTCATAACATTTGTTACCTTAGTTGATTTTCTTATTTTTAATTTTGTCTATTCTTTTCTTCCCTATCATATTCCACGTCCATCGATCTTTGACACACATTTTTTTATAACGAGGTTTATTAAGCTTTCCAACAATTTTCCTTTTCAGAAATAGAAGCAAGGAGTAGTTTACCAAACTAAAATAAAACGTACCCTCAACATAACAGTACGAAGCTGCTCGTGATGCCGACGGAAGCGTCGCATATGCTCCATACGAGCTTGAAGACGCTTGTGGGACGGCGAGACACGCCATACCATCTTAAGGTGCTCGTCTCGCTTCTTCTTTACTATATCGCTGTAATAAAATTAACAAATACAATTGGAATACACAAAATTTCTATCAAATGGGAAGAAAACCTATGCGGTTGTATGTAGTACTAATATAATTATACACTTTTTACATAATATGTTTTATTTGCTTTGCTTTGTTCCATTTGGTTCGCCCAAATAATTATATGTCTTATGTAGTTTTGCACTTCTTGCGTTCACCTTTATCTAATTATTTCTTTTCTTTCAGTGGTTGCCTGGAAGAGATCACTCGAAAGCGATAAGGCCGCCAGTTGGTTTCCTTTTTGAAGTTATACTTCTTTAGGCGCGTTATGAAAAATTGATGAGAGTGAAATTTAACGATGCGCGCGCACCGTGACACAAAATTAACAGAATGTAGTCGCCCACGGAAGATGCTACGGTATTGGACATAATTTAAAAACAACATTCGAATAATAATAGAATTTATGTTACACTTAATGTAAGTGTAATAATAAATATTTATTTATTTAATTTTTCAAATGTAAACTGAACTTTATTGACTATAATGACTCCTTTTCTAGTCTTTGATTATTTAATTGTAATTAATTATTTGCATGCAATCAAAAACAATTTTTAATAATAGTAAAACTTCTTACGCGCGTACATAAGTAAACGCACCCTTTTTTTATTTAAGTATTTTAATTTAACTATTATTCAGTATACTTGGAATGAAGTATTAATTAATAAAAAAAATAAAAATAAACAACATTGATATTTTGAGGTTGGCTATTATTGTCATTGTCAAAAAAATAAAATTACTTCCTTCGTAATTATACCTTACACAGCTTGCCATATAAATCCATTCTTGTAGCACCGTCTTAACTAATATTCTTGAGTCTCTTTTGTTCACAGCTTAAGTACAATGTGACAGAGTGACGAAGAGTTAAGAGTGCAGTTAATGAATTGAAAATTGGGTATCATTCTGGTCTAAGGAGAATTATCTCCAACTTATTAAAGTTCAGCAATCAATTATGTTGTTCAGTTTAGCAGCAAAAATTATGTATTTTCATTAAAAAAGTAATATCAATATTAACTTACCGCAATAATCCCTGAAGTTTCTCATATTCGTCATCCCAGCATGAGAACACTTCAAAGCATTGCGTCATTACTCTTTCGAAGTCTTCAAAGGGGATGTGCATCAACCGCCGAGTACCTAGAACCTGTCAGAGGATAATTTTTACTCTGATGTTTTTAATACATTTTCAACTCATGTAGCACTAAACCATTTATAATGCGTTTTTGTAGATAAATGTAGTTGAATGCAAACCACTCTACTCACGTGAATTTAGCTACTTGATGAAATTAAAACTTGATCAAATTTTTGTTTATTTAATCTATTGTCATGTGGTCTAAAAATGTCTCGTCTAAATATTGAAAAAAAAAATAATTTAATGCATATTTTTTACCTTGAGTAGTTGTTGTCCAAGGTCACGCGAGATAGCTTCAACAAGCCTCAGCCCACGTTGGATTGGGTATTTTGTGGATCGGATCTTACGTAGATGGGAAAATATTTGTTGAACTGCCAATCTGAAAGTACATCAACTTCAAAGCCCGGCTTTATCTGTATATTTAAAAGGATTGCTGTTCACTTATCTCGCTAAAACTCGAGAATGGCTGGATCCATTTGGCTAATTGTAATCTTAAAATATTTGTGGAAGTTCAGGGAAGATTTCAACGGTGGAAAACATATTCCAATTAAAAACTGTTCCTAGCTGGGAAATATTTATTGTCTTAGTAGAAATACAAAATTGTCACTTGGTTGTAATATATTTATATTCTGATTCAGAGATTTGTGTTTCATAGGTGTAGTATGAGGTCCTATCTCTTTGATCTGTTTTAAAAATTTTGTATTAAGTTTTGACACAAATATATGTTGGTGATATAAAGTTCACCGGGTCATCTAGTTTTATATATTTTTACATAACAGCGAAAACCATTCTTCATCTAACATTTGGGCGGACAGATTTATTGCATCTCTTCATTCTATTAACATTTTAGGTAGCACACAATTGTTTCACAGAGATTCGAATCTTTATATTTTAACAAGAACAATATTATTTATGACATGAAGTCAAATTGAGGGTTTTAATGAATAAAAATGTTAACATGATGAACATACCTTATTCTTTCAAGTTCAGTAGCACTGAGTAAATCATTAATTGGAAAGTCTTTCATCAGCGGGTTATAATCAGAAACAGTAGCGAGAGCTTGTTTAAGACCGGTGTCAGTGTCAAATGAGACTGTGGCATGGAAACGCTTGCCATATTTCAAGATCTCCAGTGTTAATGCAACCTGTTAAAATGGTATTAGAAAAATCAATATTAATATTTGGCTTTCATATGATTACTGCCTACTATTTAAAAGAGCATGGATTATGAGCTTGGCTTAAATAGTTTTTTTTTAAAATATTAATCATACAATCTTTGCGACTATAAGTAGGCTTAAATGTCTTAAAACTATTATATGCTTGGGCTATGAAAAAAGGGAAAAGAATAATATAAGAACTAATATTGTGTTACCTCAATACTTTCTCTTTTTTCTTGAATGCGATGCAGGGCTCTCTCCAAATTAAGCCAAAATGAGATCTCCTGAAGGGCCGTGCCGTTTGATGGGTCACGATCAAGTTTAGTCACCTATAAAATAAATAATATAATAGATAATTCATTTTCATTAATTCTTGTAAAAAAATCCAAAATTTTAGGTATTCTAAAAAATACTGTCTAATAATAGAAATTGTAAAAAAAACTAATTATATTACCTTTTGAATTTCCTTTATCCATCGGTTTACTCCATTTTGTAGCGAATTAAGAAATGTTGAATCCTCTACCTTATCACCAAAATCGGCCACACGTGGCTTTCTACCCTCATCTGCAGCTCTAGAATAATGTACAAAAAGGAAATTGTAATATTTCTCTTCGCAATGATTAATATAAATATCGTCCACATGGATTTGTGCAATTCATTAAGAAGTTCCTTAGTTCATAAGATAAACTTGGTCTTCCTAGGTAGTTGTCAGTAACTCTTCAGACATCAGAATCTTATTTTCATAAGGTGTCAATTTGGTTAATTAAATCAATATACATATATTGTAAAGTTGGCCGGTAAAGCCAAAACAGAGTTAATATGACCAAGTATGCTTATTAATTTAAGCAAACTGATTGAAGAAAACCCAAATATAGAGGTTTAAGTTTGGGTATTGGTACTGTAGTTTTGGCATTTGTTGTAAGTTTGAAATCTTTAACATACCTCTTAATGACAGCAGCAACCAAAGGGTGAACAGGCAGAGTTATTTCTGGAATATCAATATTCTGTTGAAGGTGTAAGAGACCCATTTCCAACTCAGCTATTTTCTTTTCTACAGATGGTGCCATTTTGTCTCCATCCCTGTAAATATAACTTATTGATAAAAAATAAATCAGTGTAATTGCACTCTTTTAACTAAGGTAATCTTTCATCTCATCCTGTAATTTTTGTGTTTATGCTGTGAAAAAATATGGATGAGGACTGTTTTATATTTTATGATTAAGGGTTAATCCCACAGAACTCATTCTATGAATGTAAGCTTTACAAGTAGTTGGCGCTTATAAGGAGATTAAATCATATTTAAATCAAAACAAAAATGTAAAATACTATTATAGATATTTAAAAAAAATTGTAAAGATTCTATAACTTTGAATTAAGATTTATAGAATTTAAAGTGATTTAGATTTAAAAATATACCTGTCAGCTCTTCCACTCTCCTTAACATAGCTTTTAAAGAATGGAGCCATGGTCTTGCTAATGAAGGCATGTAGAGTTTCATATGGAGACCCATCAGATAAATTAATGAGGCGGAGTTGACTATGGATAGACTTATCCGCTTCAATCACTGCACCTCTTTTGATACAAACCAATGCTGCCACTCGTGGTGATGTAAAGTGGACCTGTATTCAAAACAAATTAAGTAATTTTAGTTACAGATTAGAAGTCATAAGTTTATTATAGCAGTGGTTTAATAAATAACTACAGCAATTATTTCAGAGACAAATTAAAATTGTATGTACCTCATTGCCGATCTGATACGTAACTGCCTCCTTTTCCTCTTCTCCTTCTGTTGGCTGTTCGCTGTCATCTTCTGCAACAAGAAATAAGTATCTATAAATTAAGTAATATAATTCAAAACGTATATGGTTCATCATTTACATAAACAACGTCATCACTCGTCGGCTAGTGGGTGGGCCATTGTTTCTTACCTTTAAGGGAAAATCTCTGTACATACAGCGAAGTGACTTGACAATCCGAAATAAACTTTCTAATGCAATCTTGATTAACTTTATCGTCTAAAGCTGCATTCAATGCCGGTGGCACGATGTCATCCTCCGGTAAAAGTACCGTTGCAGCGCGACGAAGGTAATTTGCGAAGTCTTGGAAATCAACGACTACCACATTTTGCGCTTCTGGGGCATTTTCACTCCCATCAAGGGAGTCTCCCATGGTTACAATAGATTTGTGGAAATCTTCCTCTTTAAGTTGTTCCAATAAGAAAAATCAATATATCTGCAACAGCACAAATGACGTCAGTTATCAGTACCAGCTGCAGGCTGCAAGTTGCATATGGTGACATTTGACAACTGACTACCAAGTAGAAGTGCCACATACAATTTTACAATTGACAAAATATTTGACAATGATGACAATAGCTGAGACGAAGGCGAATTGTAGTCAGACCGGAAACAACTAAAAACCAGGGGCCTTAGTCAGGGTGAGAAGTCGAAAACTTAATTTGTATGGAAATGACAGTTCGTGTCGAAAAGTTTTCATACAAATTTAGTTTTTGACGTTCTACATACACTACTGTTAAGGCATCTTGACTAAGGCCTGAACCTTGAAGTGTTCTTTTCTACTGTATACTAGTTTAATCCTTGGGATTGATTTGCTCCAGTTTAAACAATTTGTATGATGACAATACTTGGCGATTAAAAAGAGTGGCGGCAAGTTTCTTGCCAGTTCTTCTTACTCGCTCTACGCCCTTGACTTGCAAACTGGTAGTAAATATAAATTTACAATTAATTTAACTTCTTTCTGACAAATCATAAGTGTACTTGTTTACCTACATGAATAAAGATATTTTGAGTTTTGATATATCTATTAACATTCCTATCACCTCCTATCATAGCTATAATCTCCTTAATATTGTATTATATAATTGCCTACCGTTCTGCTGTAATGTTTGTATATAATTATAAGTTATCTGTGAAACTGTTTCAGGATTCATCAAATATTATCTAACTTTATATTTCATTTCTTAATTTTGTTCCTATTAAAGTAAATTATTTATTTGTTTCTTAATAAATAAATAAATACCAACGTTCTTATTCACGAAATCTCAATCAGTCTAATAGCACGGCTTACTAAACTTTATTTTTCATCTGTCTCTTTTACATCTTTTACAGTTGTCATCTCAGCGTAAAGACAATTTGACAGAATGAGGAGAAAAAGAATTACTGAGGGGCCTCATAGCCTAGCGGTCTTATTAAGTGGCAGCTAGGTGAGAGGGTACCGGGTTTGATACCCGGTTCGAGGGTAAGTTTAAATTTAATTTAAATTTGTTCTCGGCCTTTGGGAGCGTTGTGCGGTACCGGGCGAGTGCTTAAACCGTACATGGAGGACACGGTCGAATTTTGAAGGCTAAGTATAAGATTTTTATAATTCGTAAATTATAAAAATCTTATACATGACGCTGGTTAATGCACAAACCGTGCCAGAGCTATTAAAAAAAAAAGAGAATTACTAAGTATAAAAAGTGCTATTGCACTATTCCAGTGATTCCCAACGTGGGGCCCACGTCCCGAGGCATTTTGATTGTTAGGAGGGGATATTTGAAAATGTATTAAAATTATTTGGAATTTGAATTTCAGTTTTTCTTTATATGTTTTAAAATTTACTTATTGTGTTTAGTTCATCCTAGTAATTTATTCTAAAACCTATCATTTAAGTTTCTTAAGTGAACAATTACATCTTTTAATATTAAAAATTATGTATGTTAGATAAAGAGCATAAGAATTTTAGAAAGGCTAAGGTGGGGCAGGCACAACAAAGGTTGGAAAACAGTGCACTATACAACAGTCTATTGGCTATGTGATAGTATAAAAAAAAGTTTTATTAAGAGTAACCCGTATAGAATATGGCTTTAAAAAGTGCAATAAGAATATACAGAAAAAAAATCGAAAATAATCATTAATTTATCAAGATGACATGACACACAACGGTTACGGGTTAGACGAATCGACCATGACGTAACATGCTTGTAAATAATGTCTTCTATCTAATCATAATACTGTTTTGAAGTTTAACTTCGTTGAAGACTGATTTCGATCGAAATTTTAAACAATTTGGCTGCGTTGTAAAAAAGTGCTTGAAGTTATTAATTTAAAATGAATTTGTAATTTTCTCTTAAAATTCCTAATTGAATTAAAAATAACAATTTGTGTAGAATCATGGTCACCAATTGCTTTTCCCTCCAAATCTTGTCATGTTATGTGGCGATACCAATATAGTCCACCACATTGTTTATAATATTATGCTTAAAATGCCGAGGTACCATTATATATTCAACGCATGGCCTTTTTTATGTGCGAGTAGAATGCAATTTAAAAATTCGCGTTTTATTTAATAGCGAATAAATTTTAAGAAAAAATTTCCAAACCTATATTATTCGCCTGAAAGGTAGTTGATACAGCAAAGCTTTGTAGGCTTCAATTAACCTTTTCAAAAAGTTGTTTGAAATTGTTTAGAGGTAAACATATACGTAAGGGAAGTAAGTATGTATTTCCTGTCAAAAAGCTACCCTTTAAAACTCTTTATAGCAACCTCTTTCCTTTAACGTGATTTTCAATGGAGTTGCCGTCCAATGCTTTTCTTTATTCCTCATAGTCAACAAAAAATCTGCCTATATGATAATACATTGGCAAGCAATATTCTACCATATTAGAACGTGTTCAAGTATACTTTAGATCGGAAATGCCTTCGTTATAAATGATCACGGAGGTGAATATCGGCAGAGCAGGCCATAAAGGCAGTGATTCGAGGAGCGTTTCAACAGTTAACAAGCTCGCTGTAATAAGATATCGGACATTCTATCATAGTGGAAAATGTCACCATTATGTTCTATAGAACAAAGGTATTATCAAATACCACCACACCCATTTTTATCTACACAAATTGTAGAATTCTACGAATAATTATTAATCTTATAGAACCTTGGGGTCTTGTTGAGAGCGATACAATTATATAATTATTGTTATACATATTATAAATATTTGAATAGCCTCCGCAAACAGCCTCGCCTGCAGCTTTGTCCACGCGGATTTGTGTATGCTGTTGTACATATTTAAGTCAATTTATCTATAAAATAATACACCTAAATCTTCTTTAGAAATTACATTATGAATTATTGAAAAAAACACATCAATTAAATATAAAATAAAAATTATAAAGGCAGGTAATATTTATATTTTAATAATTGAATCCGTTTGCTGAAAATCGTTTCTTAAACGGAGATGTGTGTTCTGGATAAAAACTGCGTAAGTCGATAGGACATTTCTTCCTCTTCAAATAATACCGTGTAAAGACGATTGCATAAACAACATTATTTCGAGCTTGGAGTGATATAGCTTTTTGATATTTCAGTTAAAGCCACGCTTGGAGTTTACATTTGTTTGTTGGTTGGATTCGAGGCTTAATATTAATAGAATTGTGCGTTTTTTTAAGAAGAAAAAATCTTGAATTAAGTACTCCTTAAAATTACCGTATATAAATTTACACCACCAGGACCACTTGAATCCCCCTAAATTTGGGAGGAAAACCTCACAGTTGGACTCACTTCTCTAAGAAGTTTTTGCATGCACTACTAGATGGCGGGAGTAGTTTATGACAGAGTGCTTTTTTCTGATTGATTCAACTACATAATATATTCAAATCTTTAATTTCAAAACAATAGTCATTAATGTCAAATATGTTGTAGATTCGTTGTTGAAACTGGTAAAGTTTGGTGTTATTTTTAAATATTAGTTAATATGAGTTCTGGGTACCGGAGGGGATACTGAGAATTAAATCGTACTGATACCGTGTTATTCTTCGAATAGTTCGAACAACTGGGCTTACAAGAAGTAAGAACTAACTCTATAATAATATAGATCCTTCAACTGCTGGGATATTTATTTTTAATTAATATAATTCGACACCGACTGGAACTGGACTGATTTAAATATGTACTTTTTATTAAAATACTACATTATTCAATAAATTTTAGACGCTAGGCGACAACAAATACTCGTAGAACAAAATAAATGAATTTATTATTTAAAACGTTAACTCGTGGAACGAGATTACGTTAAGTCGTAAACAGAATAAGGCTCTACAAGCCGTTATGGAGTGATCAAGCATCAATGTGCAGATGCATGTTGATACATGTGTGAACTCGTCGGCAGTACGTAGATTATTATTTATTAAAGGAACACCCGAATCGCGCGCGGCCCGCGCAAACTGGAGTCCGGCGCGGAAATTATCAACGGTTCTAAGTTAATCCACAATACGCATTGTTTGATTCATATTTGTATAAGGTGAGCTAACGTTTATTTAAAAAATATACGTTTAATATCAAGTTCAATATCAAGTTACTGTTTTATTTTAATGAACACACAAAATAATTTAAATCGCAAGCTTGCGCTACGAAATGGAAAATAACGAATATCTATCTGTTTTTGAAATCTTTAAGATACAGCCATTAACAGCATTCTTTAGAAAAACGTGCATCTTTCGACGCGGATCTGTACTCAACGATCACTTTGCGTATCCCATTTTAAGTAGTTCGGAAGTTTCCAAAGGGGTGAAGTTGGGAGGTAATTTGTCGCTAAAATCCTTATTTATTGCAACAGAGAAGTTGGATCGGCCCCGGGGGCAAATTCGCGAAGTTGGCTCCTTTAACTTCGCTCCACTGAATACCTACCGACACCTTGAACACATATTGAGGTTGAAACGTTTTGTTTCACTTGATATACGGCCGAGGTGAATAGGTACACTATTTAAAACGATTCCTATATAGCATTGTATGCACCGCAGAGGACATTAAACCATTTGCCAATTTGTTAGACAAATTATAGTTGGAAATTTCACCTCTTCATTTCGCAATTGCGAAAATTTTAAAAATGTCACCTTCGATTAGTCAAGGTCATTTATATATATTCTTAATCGTTTACTTTATGGTATGATGTTGTCTTTGAATTATTGTATAGGTAAAGTTAACTACAATTTTATATAGTGACTAAAAACTTAGCATAACGTGTTAAGGAGATACGGAAGTTCGCGTCCGCTTCAGTTTGTTGGTGGATTTGAGTTGAACAATATTGTTTTACAAATATTTGCATAGCTCTTTCAGTGTTTGCACAGCGCTTGTAGATCAGCGCTACAGTACGCTGTCCAACATTAAATTTTAT